TGACTGAGTTTTCAAAGTCCGCTTTTGCCATTGCTGGATAGAATATGAGTTGGGTTCTTGATTATTGAGGCTGATGGGATAAAGATCCCCAAATATCCCATCTGGTGAAACCCTTCTAGAATTTTATGTTATGCTGTAGAATTAGAAACTTCTTTTGGGGTCAAAAGGGGCTAAAGATTTCAGATTGTATTGTTGTTGATTAGTTGGTTTTGGCTTTGGTTTGGTGTCGTCGAGTCGAGTTGGCAACTTGGCATGCTGGTTTCAGTTTCTGTGGTTTCTTGGAAGATAAAACGCTTACAAAAAGCATAGGCGCTTGGTCTCAACTTGTAGAATTTGGTTCAATATCACAGGTCTAGTCCTAGAATTCTTGAATTTCAAGCTTTGAATATTTTCAGTTACATCTGACCTCAATCAAGAAAGAAAGATGGTAGGAACTACCGAAGCAACGGGCCAAAATGTCCATGCAAATGGCTTGATTCAGAACTCCAATGGTTCTTTAGAAGAGAAGCTTGACGAGCTTCGACATCTCATGGGCAAAGCAGAAGGCGATCCGCTAAGAATTGTTGGTGTTGGGGCAGGTGCTTGGGGTAGTGTATTCACTGCTTTGTTGCAGGATAGTTATGGTCACCTAAGAGATAAGGTTCTGATAAGAATATGGAGGAGACCTGGAAGGGCAGTTGATAGGGCCACAGCTGAGCACTTATTCGAAGTGATCAATTCAAGGGAGGATGTCTTGAGGAGACTGATTAGGCGGTGTGCTTACTTGAAGTATGTAGAGGCAAGATTAGGTGATCGGACTCTGTATGCAGATGAGATTTTGAAGGATGGCTTCTGCTTGAATATGATTGACACTCCGCTTTGCCCTTTAAAGGTTGTTGCTAACTTGCAGGAAGCTGTGTGGGATGCTGATATTGTGATTAATGGCTTGCCATCAACGGAAACTCGCCAGGTGTTTGAGGAAATTAGAAGGTATTGGCAAGAGAGAATAACAGTGCCTGTAATCATATCCCTGGCAAAGGGTGTAGAAGCTGAGTTGGGGCCTCAGCCTCGCATACTAACTCCCACCCAGATGATCAATCGAGCTAGTAAGCCACATTAACTGTTTGAACCTATTTGCTGAGTTCACAATGAAGTTCATATTAATATGAATCTTGCTCCTTTTCTTGCAGCTGGAATCCCTATAGAGAACATTCTCTATCTTGGAGGACCAAATATCGCTTCAGAGATTTATAATAAAGAATATGCTAATGCTCGAATTTGTGGGGCTGAAAAGTGGAGGAAACCATTGGCGAAGTTTTTAAGGCAGCCCCACTTTATTGTGTGGGACAACGGTGATCTTGTTACTCATGAAGTTATGGGCGGTTTGAAGAATGTCTATGCCATTGGAGCTGGTAAGATTTAGTTTCTTGCAAGTATACTAAGACTTGGGCATCACAGAATAAGTTGTTAGGAGATATTAGTTTAAAGATTAGGAATAACCCTGGAACGAGGCAAATTCTGCAATTCGTGTTAATGTATTATCAAAACATGATCTATTCACCCTAAAAAAGGAAAAAGAAAAACAAAGGTGTTGAGCCACTGGCCTACTTTCCTTATGTAGCAGTTAGTATGGTGATTCTAGACTTGTTTTGATCTTTAAATAGTAGATATTACTGGATTCCCTATATTACATAATCTCCAAGATGTTAAAGGTTTACACATTATTTCCATGAATATCTCTTGACTAACAAGTCAGGATGCTAAACACTAAGTTGAAATTCAAATCTGCATATTTAACCTCCAATATGTTTCCACAGGAATGGTAGCAGCTCTAACCAATGAGAGTGCCACCAGCAAATCAGTATACTTTGCACACTGTACATCTGAGATGATTTTTATCACTCATCTCTTGGCAGAAGAGCCAGAAAAACTTGCTGGGCCTTTGTTGGCTGACACTTATGTAACCCTGTTGAAAGGTCGTAATGCATGGTATGGGCAACAGTTGGCCAAAGGGGCACTGAGCCTTGAAATGGGTGATAGCATCAAGGGAAAGGGAATGATTCAGGTATGAACTTTTCTGTTCCAAGTGTATTGAATTTGAATAAACAGTTTTTGGTTGATTTAGCAAGAGTTGAGTCAGTAGTTGTCTGACTCAAAGCATCCTATGTGATCCTGTCTTTTAATTCCTTTTAGGAATATTAATCTCATTATTTTGGCAGGGTGTCTCTGCTGTGAAAGCCTTTTATGAGCTGCTTAGTCAGTTCAGCCTGAGTGTCTTACACCCTGAAGAAAACAAACATGTAGCTCCAGTGGAGCTTTGCCCCATTTTGAGGATGCTATATAAGATACTCATCACGAGGTATTCAATCTCTTTTCCGCCAGTGGCTAAATGATGTTTTCATTATTCCATAAAGCCCCCCCCTCTCTTTTCTTTCAGATGTGCACAGACCATGCTCCAACTAGAGTTTTAACCAGATATATGTTGATTGAACTATATTGTAAATGCACCATAGTCTAGATTTTTCATTGTTTCATAAGTGTAAGCTGATGCCTCCTCTTTAATTTCAATGTTCAGGGAGTTTCCATTACAAGCCATCCTAGAAGCATTAAGGGATGAAACCATGTATGACCCAAAAGATCGTATCGAGATAGCACAAACTCACGTGTTCTACAGACCATCACTTCTTGGTCAGCAGCCATGATAAAAGATGTTCCAGTTTCCTTGCAGTAATTCTTGGCAGATGTAAATTTGATAAAGAAGTCCATAGTCTAGGTTCTATAGTTTAAGGATGAGGTGCAGTGGAGGTGAATAACTAGACCAGTTAAGGCAAATGTCATGACCTTTGTGAGAGTGTGTTTTTTCAATTCCTTCATTTGTTTTTCCCTTTATTTTGTATCATCCATTTGTAATAGCTGGTTCTTAATGTCAATGAACTCAAGTTTGGGTTTAAGAATGAATTTTAAAAGTGTCAGTGGCAGCAATACGTAACATGCCATTTGCCATTCCTATTGGTCAACAAAGGCTTAAAGAGAAGAACAAAGTGAAAATGGATTTACGGTCAAATTCATCATTGATAAACAAAGCTTAGCATTTCTTCTGTTAATAGAAGTAAACCCAATGAGCCACAGCCAAAGCCAAATGGACTTAGAACGACATCGTATGGTGGGAGATTTCTTTTGTATTAAGCTTTTAATCGTCGAAAGCGCTGTGCTTTGGGGGCAGTCGTTTCCCAGCGCCAGCGGTGGATAATTTAGCAAGAAGAGAGCGAGATGTCTCTGGTAGACTACGCATCCTCCTCAGACGACGACGTTTCAGACTCCGAACGTGAACCACCACAACAACGCCATGAGCCACCGCCACCTCCACTCCCGCGAACCCCTTCCCCTCCTAAAACTCAGTGAGCATAACATTCCTTGATTGGTCTTTCAAATTTTCATTTTTTTTAAATATTTCACAACTTGTCAAGGTGGTTGATTTAATTTGCAATGGAATTTGCAGGGCATCAGGGTCGTCGGTGGATCAAAAGCCCGAAACTTTTGAGAGGCTTCCAGATGCTTCGATGCTCTTGAACTCTCCGACGGTTTCATTGTTAAGCGGCAACGACCATGCATCTGTAGTAGCGGCGGCGATGGCGGAAAGTGCGTCGCGTAAGAGAGACTCGAAGGGGATGATGGGGTTGGGTTCCAGTGGTGGTGCAGCAGCGGCACCAAGGGCTAAACTTCCTAGAGCTACCTTACCTCATTCCAAGAGCGTTCCTGATACGGGAGGTGGCCTCCTTGTTCCTCCTCAGCTCAAAGGAAGGTCTCAATGCTTCCCTTTTACTTATTTCCTTTCTAACATTTCAAAGCTGCTATTTTCGCTGGGGCCTTAAACATCTTGTTTAAAAGAATCAATTGAAATTGTGTGCAAACGCATCATCTACTTGATTTGAGTACAACTTTGGGTAGCATTTGATGATTTAGCTACCCTCGAACATATAGTTTTCTGCTCAATAGAGCGGCTAATTGTTCAGAATTAGTACTTTGCCATTGCTGAAGATTTAAGCCATGAATCAAGTGCATCTTTTTTTCACTTTGAACAACTCAAGTGACACAACTTTAATCTTAGGTCCCTAGAAGTTAAAGCTATTTTACTTTGCTTGCGGAAAGGTCTTTATTCACAGGCTTACGGCGTCACTGAAAAAATAGTGACGAATTCTTACTAGCCAAATCTTGATTCTGTTTCTATGAAGGTCTTCATCACAAGAATTTGGAAATTTTACAGCTTTGCTCTTATGTCTCAAGAAGCAAATCATTTGTGCTTTTCCAAGTGAAAGAGGTTTTTCTTATGCTGGTGAACTCTGACATACCATTCACCATTTATATGACCTAAAGTTCCTTGCACCCCATGTGGAGTAGTTTAATATCTGAACCTTCTTGCTGAATCATCCATGTCGTGTCTATGTATTGATGTGCTATGTTGAATATCATTCTTTTATGTTAGAGAAAGTTTGTTGTTACTGATTCATGGTTCAATTTTTGGCAGGAGTAATGTGGTCACAGAAGATATCAGCAAGCTATTCGTCAGCAGACAGGCTATTGCACAGCCTAGAGGACCTGAAAACCAGTCGTAGTTCATTTCCTCTTGAAATTGTTGCTTTGTACAAGCCCAAAACAGGTCAACAACTTGAGGATTTTGATTTTCTATAAATGTAAAGAATAATTTTGCACATGCTTGGATACTCTAGTTTGGCTGAAGGCATGCAGACGCAGTGGGTTCATATATTCCTCTTGCAGAATTCATTGATGGAAGTGGCTAATTATTCAAATTAACTTTAGCTTTAATGATAGAATTTTTAGGAGAAATTGACAACTTATGGAAATGACTAAGTTTGAGTTGATTGCCTCCCCCACTTGATTTCATGTGCGTGTATGATTTCTTTGCATTGTTTTGAAGACAGCTACTGTAACTTATTGGCTTTACAGTCAAACAAGTTTGCTACAGAATTTAACATGCATTCTAGCATTTTGTATTGGGATTTATTAGGGTAAGGTTTCAAGATTAAGGTTAGGAAGATTGTTGTTGATTTGCTGGCAAAAAAGGCTGTCAAGTCGGTTTAAAATTTGCAAAAGAATAAAGAATCGTAAGAATTTCTCTCCAATGAAAGAATTTTGTTTTGCCTATATGTTACGACCATCGTTTTGAATTGATTTCCTCGAGTCTGAACCTGCATTGGCATTTCTAACGACCTGGATGATTCATGCCATATCTGGACCATTTGGGAGTGGTTCGTAGCCATCATGGTTCGTGGTTGTGGGAACTTCCTTGCTTTTCTCAACGGGAATGCATTTGAGGATAACAGCAACGATGAGGCTTCCTGCTCCGAGTAAGATGCTGACCAGCCATAAGTCCCAGCTCAGTGGCACAGTGTTTGCAAAAGTACCCAACAATTCGACTATTATGCTTTGGAAAGCCACTGTAGAGACCATCACCATAATGAATAGCCAACTATCAAAGATGCCTCGGATAACATTTATCTTCTCCATATCCCTGCTATTGATTTCATTGAACACCTGAAACAATAGAAACAAAGTGATATAAAAATCAGAGTTGAACAACTAAAATATGCCTTCTCCAGCCATCAAAAAGCAAAGGTCTTGTCTCCTTCTGGGAAGATAACCAGAGAACTTTTTGCAACTACATTATAAAAGTGAAGAAAAGGGTTATTGAAGATCAAGGCGCAGCACCTGGCAAAATACGAAGGTATTGAAGAGGACTGTGTTCAAAGTGGCAGTAGCATCTGAACCAGAAAGCTGCAAAAGCCGTTTGCCATCAAACTTGAGAATTGCAAGTACGATCAATTGATAAATGCTCTGGCCGATGATATTCCTCCACATGATCCTGGTGATGAAAGCTACATCCCTTCCAATAGGAGGTCTTTTCATCAGGCCCTCATGAGGAGGTTCTGTAGCCAATGCCAATGCACCGAGAGTGTCCATGATCATGTTCACCCACAGCAGCTGAACAGCCGTGAGAGGAGCAGAACCTGAAATATTGCTTCTCAAGGAACATTAGTCATCTGCATTATCTAAAGACAGGCTTAAGCTGAAACCAAGAAACAAATTTGCTACAGATGTTTTAATAAGGTTAGCATTTGTAGATGAAAGTACCTGAGATGCATGCAGAAATGAAATTGAGCATGAGAGCGACAATGTTAACTGTGAGCTGGAACTGTACAAACTTTTGGATATTGATATAAACTGCACGCCCCCATCTGGCAACATTCTGAATAGTCGTGAAATTATCATCCATTATGATAACATCGGCATTTTCTTTTGCAACCTGAAGATGGTCATGAAGAAAGATGCTTAGCTAACAATATAAGAGAAACTTGCTAAGCGGACTTGGAAACGCTTAATTGTTACAAATACTAAGCTGAGAATGACAACAAACCTCTGTTCCGGCTATTCCCATAGCAAGTCCAATGTCAGCCTCATGCAAAGCAGGTGCATCGTTTGTCCCATCACCAGTCACTGCCACGACTTCTTTAAACTCCTTCCTCAAGTGGGTTACTAGCTTGTGCTTATCCAAGGGCAATGATCGGGCCATAACCTGCAAATGTTTCAAGCATATTATGAGGACTTTACACAGGCTTACTTTGGTTCTGCTTTCAGCTCCAGACATATTTCTGAAATGCATGAATAAGAAACAATTTTCTGATCTTTTCTAGTATAAACTGCATTTGAAGCACCAATTGTTCTTAGAAAAACAGAACAAGTTTCTGGTAGGCAGAAAAAAAAAAGTAGATGTTTCAACCGAGACACATCTTGGTTGAGAAGAGAAAAGGTTTTCATAACAAAAAAACCCAAATTCTTAAAGCAATGGCAAGACCTGCAGTTTTGGAAGTGTCTCCTCCATCTGCTGCGGACTCATGTCACGAAAATCAGGCCCTTCAATTGCCAAACCATCATCTGTCAAAATTCCACATTCTCTTGCTATAGCTTTAGCGGTATTAATGTTGTCTCCAGTGACCATCCGCACAGTAATCCCAGCGGCTAAACAAGTTTTCACTGCTTCCTTTACCCCCGGACGCACAGGATCCTTAATTCCAACCACAGCTATGAGTGTATAGTTATCTTCAGGAATGCTGTCTCCTTTAGAAGTGTCCTTTACATCCTTGAAAGCCAAGCATAGAGTCCTTAGGGCTTCACAGGCGAAGCCATTAATCACATCAGTGATGCACTTCTTCTGTTCTCCGGATAGAGGCTCAGCATTCCCATCAGCATTGATTATCTTATTGCAAGATTTTAAAATTATTTCTGATGCACCTTTGCAAAATGCTCTGTGCCCACCACCGTTAGATAGGGAGACAAGGACGGACATCTTTTTCTTCACTGAATTGAAGGGCTCAACTTTCAGAATTTCAGATTCCTTCCTATGGATTTTGAAGTCACCCCCCAGAAGCAAACCAAACTCTAATATTGCTATCTCTGTTGGAGAACCTAATATGTTATTCTTTCCATCTTTTCCTTTGACTACTTCTGCACCCGTATTTTGAAATATGGACTGCAAAAGTATGTTGAATGCTTCTCCAGTGATTGAGGACTGCAAAACTTCCTCACTTTGGTTGCCTTCAATTTTTATTGTTCGTCCACAAGTCCAAATTTTATTGACAGCCATATGATTAGTAGTCAGTGTCCCCGTCTTATCAGTGCAAATGGTAGTAGCTGATCCCATTGTCTCACATGCAGAGAGATGTCTAACAAGAGCTTTATCACTCATCAACTTTTTCATCGCAAATGCAAGACTTAATGTTACTGCCAGTGGTAACCCTTCCGGAACTGCAACTACAATAATAGTCACTGCAGTGGCAAAAAAATTCATGAGTATCAGTGCGTCACTCACAGACCAGTCTGCGATCTCACCATGCAGTGCCTTTGTCACAACAAACCTTATGGTCAGAACCAAAAGTGTCAAGACAGCAAAACCCAAACCAATCTTTCCAATAACGGTGGCAACTCCATTGAGCTTCACCTGTAGAGGTGTTTCATCTTCTCCACCTTCACTTAGAGTAACCATCAGTCTTCCCCATTCAGTCCTCATACCAACTGTAGTCACCAACATTTTGGCGGAGCCATCTTGGACTTTTGTCCCTGCGAGAAGAAAAGGCCTCTGTTGAGTAACAGTTACAGGCTCACTCTCACCTGACAAGCTTGATTCATCAATTGATAAGCTGTAACCAGATATAAGAACACCATCTGCAGGAACTTGATCTCCAATTGATAGATGAACAATATCCCCAACCACCAAATCATAGATAGAAATCTTCTGCCTGCATCCATCTCTGGTGACCTGAACAACTATGTTTTTCTTCTCTTTATCCAAGTCTTTGAATTGCAAGGACTGCTTGTAATCACTTATGGCCGTGACCAAAACCACCAGGAAAATGCAGAGTACAATTCCTATCCCATCAAACATACCTGCAGGCCACCCTTCAGTAGCAATTCCAACACCTATAGAAACAGCAGCACATACCATGAGAATAATCAAAGTCAAGTCATGCAGGGCTTCCCATACAAACATCCAAAAGGATCTAGCAGGTTTCTCAGCAAATTGGTTGCAGCCATATATTTTTTGCCTGAGTGGAATATTAGTTGGAACAACACCGTCGGTCAGAGATACAGAGACCTTTTTTGCTAAGCCTTCAACTCCTCCATGATCTTCGAAGCTCTTCATGTCATGGGAGTGAACAACGAATGCTAGCTCATCAGCTCCAATGTCAAAACCAGCTTGCCTGACATCTTCCGGAAGCTTGTATTGGACTCGCTTGCCTGCTGTTCTAATTGCCAGATATAGACTTAGATGATTGAAAGGGGAAAAGAATAATTTGGATGGATGAGGAGATAATCATCTAGTAGAGATCATACCATCGATGAAATGCAACGCCGCTTTTTGCACGTAAAGAGCTACTCTTAACTTTTCCTGGCAAAACATGATGACAGTGTAATAAGTGCAGAGATATCTTGGAAAACCAAATGTACACTATTCGGGGAAAGGCAGAAGCGTCCAGAATATATGGACTAGTACTATTTACGTAATAGCACAGTTCTTCAAATTTTAAGGCTGGCCAGACTAATTTTATGGTGGTAAACTTGGGGACACGATCACTGATCACAGATCACAAGGTCAAAGTCTACCAGGCAGATTATCCTGTATTAAGAATCAGATTATGACATTTTAACCACGAACACAGCTTCAATAGGAACTGCAGATTGCGTTCCCTGGTCTTTTGTATAGTTATTTAGGTGAACTTTTGAAGGAGATTCTGGGCTGTTATTCTCACGATCAGAGTGATAGCCATGAATTTTCTTTTTACTTCTCTCTGGTTTCAATATATCATGAAGTTTCAAAAAAAAAAAAAAGGAACTGCAGATTGAATGCTATCCAAGCCGAGAAACATACAAAAAGCTGCCATAGCCGTAAACCATCTTGATTTTAACTAGATTTCCAACATCCCACACAGATCATATCATGTAAGACATTAATCTAGCTTTAAAGTGCTGTTTAACCGCCAATATTAAGCAAGATGCAATGCATGCGATGATGACAGTTAGTTGACTCAAAGTACACTTTTCTCATAAAAAGGGTGAATAACCACACAAGACCTTCATAAAAAAGGAAAAATATACAGCTGCATGAAGCAAAAATGACGAAGTGCACTGCCAAACCAGAGAGAACATTGAAAATGTTTGCTTGCTGCCTCCACCAGAACATACTTAACACACACTAACAGGGATTTGACTCTATAGACATCATCAGTGGCCCAGTTGTTTCCAACAATCCACCTTATAAACAGATATCTTTGTACCACAAAATTCAGAACAGTAATTTGGAACCAAATTACTTACAATTAGGCTAAAGCTTGACGTTTAGAGTTTCATAACTGAACAAGTTAAGACTTCAATGAGCAATTAAAGAATCATTTATTCCCTTGAGTCATTTTAGCCGAGCAATATGATGATTTCATCATTTAGCAAACAGTTTGCTTTCTTAGTTTAGTGGCTGTTTCAGTTGGTAATTTTTCCACTGTACCAAACAAAATCAATTACTCCAATGATTTGTATAAAGCATGGTACTTAACATTTTGACCAACATTAATTGTTACAGGACATTAAAAAAAAGAAGACTATGATTGTATCTACCATTCGACAAACCAGAAAAGACAAGAGTGTATCTAACTAACTTTGGCTAAGTGGATTGTCCCATCTAGTAATGGATTTTTGGGACTGATGTTTCCTTGTTCGCTACTAAGAACATATAGCTGACGAGATTGTAAAAGAAATTTGCTATCTGGTCAGGATTCTTGACAAGAAAGTAATAATAACTTCCTTGCTTTATCCAGGTATATATGCACCACTTCTTCTGATGATAGAAAAGAAGACCGGCTTGTTATTGCCAAATTAAACTTTAAATTTTCTGCGGAATTTTAGCTCATTTTAGGAGGAATAAACCTAACAAATAAAAAAACAGTCAATTTGATTAGCTCACGCCTTCACTAAACAATATACAATACAAGTCAATGATTCCCAATATTACTAACAAACAACACACAAATGGAATGTCATCTTTATCCTCTTCAGCTTTCTTTTCTTTCAACGTTTTCACCATGTTCCAAAAAGAGTCATATGAACTACTTTTAAAATATTCCAAAAGGTCATTTCAGCAGCAATTGTTTAAGTTTTGTTTAAATTTGGACCATGCAAACCTACCTCCTCACTCTGGTCCATTAGTGCGAGCTCTTGAGAATAATCAGACATGACTCAGACGACGCCTTTTTTACGACAAACAGTTTGTGAATTGAAAAAGATTAGCTAGTTGCATATATAGGGAGAAAAAGTGGGTGAAAAGGGCTCCAACCTTTTTGACCCGTACTTTGAAATTCTATGGAAGAAACTTCTTTTGGTTTGAAATTACAGATGACAGAAGAGACTGGTCCCGAAGCCTAGGAAAGTTCCCATTGTTCCCCAACTGCCAACTACAGAATCAGATGCCAGCTCAAAGCAAGAACCAAAGTTCAGCAGCCATCAATGAATGGACTTGGTTTTATTTTCTGCGTACGTAGTTGATATGATTGTACGCGTTTTCGACATTTCTAACGAGGAAGCTGACCTCAGAAAACATGCCAAATGACCGCCCCATCAGGGAGAATTGAAGGACTGTACTGTTTGCTTCTTATATCACGCAATTAATTAGTTTGTATTATGTAGAGGTAGACGACGACGACGACTATCTTGCTAGCCTGCCAGCCTGCGCTTTGTTTGTTTCGCGCAAATCAATATGAACCAAATGAGACGATAGGGTGAACCACATGAGTCTCAGTCAGGGACATCCTGATAGAGTGCAAACAAACAATAACATTTGTTTCTTGTACTTGAAGGCATTGACTGGTCTAATTAAAAAGGTGAAGAAACTATATATGAACAAGAGACCTACACACGCAGCTAGTTAGCTCATATTCACATTGATCAAAATCCTATAGTACTCGGGCGGGCTTATGCTCAAATTGTTGTTCAACCATGTTGGCAAAAAGGTTGGGAATCTTAATTGATGCGAGAAAAACATGAGCCCCCTTTGACCTGCAACTTGAAAAAGGGCAGCTAGCTAGGATGGTTTCATACGAACCCTTTCCGATCAAGCGAGGCGAGAGGCTTGCCTCAATTCAATAGGAAAATTGCCAACCATGGCTAACTAGCTCATCCATTTGATCGTGGAGGATTAACAATATAAGCAATATACAATAATTACTATAAAAACAACAAATTAATTAAGCCAATTATATATATATATATATATATATATAAATATTGCTTGTGTTTGAGATTAAAATGGTAGTAGGTAAAATATTATTCAAAGAGAAATAGTATGAATCATCAAGTGGTGAAGATATGAACGGGAAAAGGGAAAATGAAAAAAAACCTGGAGGTTTATGCGCTTGCGGTCAGCTTCAGCACGTTTAGCAAGATCAGCAACCATGCGAAACCTGCGGCGAGGGTTCTTGACCACAGAAACTGCACGTCTCCATCTCCTCAGAGCTTCTTCCGATGGCCTTTTGTGTTCGACAGCAAAGTTCTTTCTCAAGTAATCCTCCATATCTATAACTGATGAATATGATGGACAGCGTTAGATTTCTGTCTCAAATCTGAGAAACTTAATTTGCATGCGCAGCGCAGAAGATGAAGGAGGGCTACGTTTCCATGGATTAATGGATTGTTTTGAAGAAAGGTTCAAACCCTACCGCGATTGGCGGGAACAAGGAAGTGAGAGAGTTTATCTATGTTTAATGCGCTGCTTATACGTTGATGCTTAACATGTCTCAAATTGAAACCCTTTTTTTTTATATGTGATGAAACTTACCAAGTTCCAACTATACAATAAGAGACATGTCATAAACTTCAACATCTCTTTCTATAATTTGGATTATGTAAAAGGTAGACTTACCTCTTTCTATAATTAAATTATGTGAGAGTTGTTTGCATTTTCAATTATCATGGTAAGAATCTATTCCGGCACATAAAGAGAAAAAGAAGTTGAATTAGGAGCAGCCCACGTTTCCATGGATCAGAAGAAAAACATAAAACAAAATCATAGCAACCCAACTGGCCTGCTAGCTAGCCTCATCAACCAGTTTGCTTGACCTCATCAAACTTGACTGGATCAGATAGTCTTTGACAAAGGTTAAAGATCAGGGCTGAGCTTCTTCAGAGAATTGGGCTGTAACCCTCTTTTATATCCATTCAAGCTTTTGGGCTTTTATAAAACGTAAGTCCACTTCATCCAAGATATGCTTCAACCATTTCTGCTTAACCAAAGTTAATGTTCATGTTGGCATCCCCTCCTCTTGTTTCCTTCTCATCAAAACTATCCAAGGATTGAAGTTTCAGGTAAGTGATTTGAGCTGACAGAAGTCAGCAAAATTCGCACATGAATATCGTGTCTTGCTTTTTGTTTCCAAAGTAGAATTCCTGGAACCAAGCCGCCTCAAAACCTGTTCATGTTTTAGGAAAGATGATAATCATCAATCCCCTCTAATCATTGATCATTGTCAAGAAACGTAAGCAATTGTAACTCTAATTAAGGAATAAAAATATGCTAGTGGGCAACCGGTATGATTAACAAGTCTTGAGCACCGCGAGTTGGACTTTGGACTTTTGATAATCTCTTTGGTTTATGAGAATGATTACAACATAAACCACAAAGAACAACTCTCCTGGAAACCAAACAAGTCTCCGCCTTTCAGGAAAGGCAAGGAAACTGCCGCGCAAGGACTAACCCTCTCTACGTGTCATGCTGTAGACCATGACGGCTTGTACTTATCCGGTTATCCCCTTTGCCACTAGCCACTTGCCAGCCTGTTTTGGTCTTTATCTTTTCTTTTCTTTTTCTTATTTTTTTACTGGTAGAAACTTTCTTTCCTGGCTATTGATCACAGACTTCAAGGGCACAGTGAAAGTAGACAAAACACCCGGAAAGGGAAATATAAAGAAAAATCTTTTAGTAACACCTTGACAGTGTTACAGACAGTCGCAGAAAGAAAGCACACAGAGCCCAAAAGATTCCTGGACGTAGTGCAGTGCAGCCGTGCACTTTTGTCATACGTGGGGCATCACATCTTACTCTTACTTTAAGATCTAAGGGAGTGTCCTTTCCTGTCAACAAGAAGCCTAAAGAAAGAGAAAGAAAGTGAATTGAAGGGACGGAGCTATGCTCTCCTATGCAGCAAGGGCAGAGAAAAAACAGGTGGCTTCAATCACTCACATGGGTGGGTGCTGGTGGGGAGGACCCACTTACAACCTGGCACTTTGATAAATATACTTACTAGTAAAACATGAGTGGGTCCCAGCCCCAGTGTCAGCCACCCATGTGACGTTGTGCCTTTGTGGCCCTTCCTGTTTCCCCTCAAAGAGTGGCCAGATCTCAACTCAAATAAAAGCCATTGCATGACCCCACCCTCTTGAATAATGCTTCCCCATTGCATTCTTACAAAGTGACAACTTTCTTGTCCTGGCGGTAAACAAATAATAAAGCTTGAAAAAACACACAGTAGAGCAAAGAAAGCAAATCAGATTTAGAACCCTTTTTTTTTTTTTGCCTTCTTTCTGATTTTCCGGTGCTTTTGCTAGTAAAATTTTTCTCTTTCTATCTGTCTCATAGTCTTATGGGGTTGACACTGTGTGGCAACTGGTTACAAAATAAGACCAAATACACAGGGTACACTTTGAACTGAGATTCGACTAATGTCTGTAACCCTTTCCCTCCTATCCCTCCAGGCAGATCCCCATCTTTTGCCCTACAGGGCAATTCATTACAATTTGAATTTACCATTGTTCCCTGCTTCTGCTTTGATGCTGTTCAGAAAAGATTTTTGATTATACCCTACCAAACATAGACTAACTAAAGAACTAAATATGGGCTTTTCCTTGTGTCTTCCAGGGAAACCATCAGTGCTGGAAAAAAGGAGGGAGGGGAAAGAAATTACAGTTCAAGGGGAGTTACAACTACACATTGACTGTGTGATCCTTTTTGTTTTCTTCTGTGCTTTTTACCTGTGGTCCAAACTTCAACTACTGAAACAATAGATAACAATATTACAACAAAAGAAAGGAATGGCTGACCCACTTCCTTCAATGCCTTTTACGTATGCATTTTGTATGGTAGTAAGTAGTATAGTATTTCATGACGATGATGACGATGGTTGAGGGTTCGGATTGTAGTGGCGGCTCTCTACATATCTCTGATGTGATTTTTTGTTGTTTGGTTATACTTTCAAGCTTCCTGTAAAGATAAGTTATCCTCGTTAGAAAAACCAAAAACATGATTTTGAAAGCATATAAAAGCAAAACAGAAATAATGCATTATGGAAAAGAATCCTAAGCCATTCATTTTACCTTAAGCACAGGAAGCTAAATTCCAACAGGGCAAGTCGGGCCACCAGTGCCCGCATACATACCAATGGTCCCAGGTCCAGACGAGAACCTGAATTGAGAGGCACAAGTCAAGTTACAAATCGATTATAGAGAATACGTTTATAACCGTAATGATAGTATTGTTGAATCGACAAGAGTGGCTTTCGTAGTGACAATAATATACCTGGGCATTTGGCAGTTGTAGGAGTTGAAGGATGCCAAGTCTAAGGCATTATTTGCAGGTAGTAAGGTTGAAGAAACCCAATTACTGTTAACAGAAGAAGCCGTGACTGAAGCATCCTTATCCACATCAGCATTGGAGAAAGCTGGCAAGTACTCTCCAGAGCATTTTGTAGGAGATGCAAAAGGACTATCTGGAAGGTTGTGCTCCAAACTGCATTTAGTTACAAAACATGTATAAATTTACAATAGATAGGCTATTTGATCATCCCCGCACCAGAAATCAAACCATACAGATCACTGAAATTAACTAAATAGAAATTGCACGCAAATCTAAGCAAAAACAACATATTTGCCTTTCTCTGGGTTTAGTCCTGATTTTAATATGAATGCACAAAGTTCCACTAGTTTGTATACTTTTCTAGCAGATCACCGTTTTCACAATGAGGGTCTCCTTGCCACTACCATTCTCTTCAGTACTGGCTGATTCTTTACCAGCAGCATTTGCAGTACCGGCTACTTGTTTCTCGGGAGCAGTGACAGATATAGCGGGCACAGGGCTTGAACAATTCTCTGCAATGGGAAGATTGCAAGTCAATTCCTTTTAACAGTATCAAGTGCCGATTCATATGCACTAGGCAAAGTATCACTGGACGATTGATTCTGATATTTGAATGGAAAGGTGTACCTTGTGGAGCTTCTTGACTATTGTGAAATTGAGGAAGCACAAGGGACTGGCTGAACAGGTTTGGTGAGTGAGTAGGTGAAGGAATGGGACTTCCACTAGAGAGAGCCCTGTGATGGTGATGCTTCTTGACATCAAGAAGTTGCAGACCCATCAACCTTCTATTTTGAAGCTCAAGGGCTTGCTGGAGATCAGCTTGCTCCTCCAATTTTCTCCTCCATAACATGTCCTGGGAATTGTAAATCATCCTTGCTCCTAATCGCACACATAGACATTATTAGGCATATACACCTCACATCGAAGATAAATGAACGACATTGTTGGTTCCTTGGCTTCTGCTTACCAAGCTGATGGTCAAATGGGTCTCTGGAATCAAGGCCAGTTGGAGTACCACAAGGAGAGAACTCTCCTCTCTCCACTTGTGGCGGCTGCTGCTTCCTGCAAAATAACGAGTAGCATTAAAAGATACAGTTTCACATCGGCAAGTCCTCCGAAAGTAGGATTATTAAGTGCGAGAGAGAGTGCCTGTACTTGTCTGGGACTTTTCCTTTCTCCTTGTAAGGCTTCACCAGAACCCGAGCGTCGCAAACAAAATGAGGATTGCCTTTAGCCAGAATGATCTTCACAGTCTCAGGATAAACGAAAGTAACAAATCCAAACATTCTCTTTTGTTGGTATGGTATCCTCACATCCTGAACCGGTCCATAAATACTTCAAGAAGAAACACTATAATTTTAGCAACAAAGGTGAATTTCCCCAACGGCATCAACATAGAACCTAAAAGTACAGTATTCAACAACAAAAACCTGAAATAATTTGACACATCCTCCTCTCTGAAAGTGCTATCAGCTGGGAAAGTCAAGTAGATCTGTCTTGACGCTGGATTTATCATTCCTGCTTCACCGTTTATGGAAAAACCGTTCCTTTCAAGCCTGGAACGGTTAAATTTGTTCATATCATCACCCATCATCAAAGCCGCTGCAGCCCTATAGTTTCAGTCAAAAGCGAAAATTTTAAAAATACTTCACGCCAAAGAACAAGTCAAGACTCCATCTTTACCAGCATACTAGATAGAACAAGGAGGAATTAATCACTATGTACCTCTGAGTATCATTTTGTTGCTGTTGAAGAAACAAATTCATGCACTTTGGGGAGTAAGGAAAAGAAGCAGAACCCATGAGCTGAGACACAGCAGCCAACCTTTGCTGCTGAGCGGATTTAGATCTAAGTAACTCATGGCACTGGTCCATCATCTCAACCTTGTTAGGTGACCCAACCATGGCAGTACCATCTGCACCAGCAACCATTGAACCAGACTCCCCGAGCGCACCATGGATAAATCTGCAATTATTCCCATTTTTACAGTACCCTCTAGCAAAATACAAGCAGGGTCTCCACCCAAACCCTGAAGCCGGGTCATCAGCTCCCAAAATATCGCTCACAGAGCTACTCTTCCTGTGAAAAGAGCTTCCCCAATACGAGGGGAAACCCATGGTGTCAGTGCTGCCACAACCAGTAGCAGCTGAACTTGAGGATAAGTCAGCTGCTTGTGAGTAGAACAAATCATGGTTTTTGGGGTTAAGATTTGGTGAGCCTTCATTGAGAAAAGATAGTTGGTCTTGAAGTTGAAACTCATCAATAATATCAGTAGCTCCTCCATTTCCATAGAAGGGTAAAGACGAAGGATTTAAAGACCCACTGCTCGGACTGATCAACTCGTCATGATTAGGAAGATCAGATAAAGCACTCCAAGATGAACTACCAGAAGATGTAGAAGGGTTGGTAGGGATCGCGAGAGAGGGTGGAAGATTGACTCCAGCACCGTTCCCTAGAAACCTGGAAGCAGATGAGCTTTGTCTTGAAACAGTAACAGGATTTGGGTTGTTTGCAAGAAAAGGAGATGGAGATGATGGAGTTGAGGGTGTAGTAGGAGAGTTAGTGGGAAGACCAAGCTCTTTTTTTGCCTTGAGAACTACTGAGTGAACTAAAGCTTCAGGTCCAAAGGCTAAACGAATCATCTCCTTCTCGCCGTGATCTTGAATGAGCAGCAGACCATGATTTTGGAAGCATTTTCTGGTTCTAAGTTTTGGATTTTGAGAACACAATTCTGGTTGCTTCATAACCATCCATAATGGAAATACACCAACCCCCAACACTCTCCAAATAATGTTTAGTTGCTGTATACTTTTACTTTCCTTCTTTGATTTTGATTTTTGAGAGAGTGCGTAATTTAGTGTTTTGAGTAAGCTCTTTACAAGTAAAACTTCTTTCTCAACCACAAACTCTACCTATTAACTTGTGACCAGTTAGCAGCAGTGCAGTGTCTCTCTTATCCTTCCCTCTTTCTCTTATTCCTGCCAAAAAAATAAAACAGCCATGAAAGAAACGTAAAGAAGATAAATTTATAGAAAAGAAGGGAAAAGAAAGCGTCAAAAGGAGTATTCCCGTGTGGAGATTTAAAAGGAAGAAAATATGGTGGTTGAATTTCTTTATAAAGCAAACATGAGCAAAAGTTGCAGTGGCCAAAGAAGAAAGAGCAACAACCCTACTCCTTTTTCTCCTTCATTTTCCTTTATGGAGAGAACTGAGAAGAGAGAGCTTCCTAGCCCCTTTCCCTTCTCACCGTTTCTAGTAATTAAATTTGAAAAAACAGTTTTCAGGTAGGGGAGTACGGGCTTACCCATATAAGAGAGGATAGATTGTGATTTTTAGGGACTTTGGCCTTTATCTTTCTCTTCTGACGAGATGACTAGCAAAAGGGTTAGAAAGGGCTCAAGTCTACTGTTTCTGTCTCTGAATTTGAGCTTTCAGCTTTCAAACTTACTACAAAAGCCAAACCACCGCCTTTCTTTCAAGCCTGTGAGCATCAGCAGCAGCAGCAGAGGTACCATCAATTGCTTCACTGCTGCTGCCGGTTTTGGGTTCTGGAGCTATTTTGAGCAGTCAAAGCTGAAGGCTTTGGAGCTCTCAAGTCTTGCCTCCGTCTCTTGGAAATTTCTTTCTTTTTATCTCTCTCTCTCTCTCTCTCTCTCTCTGTTCTTTGAAGTTATAAGTAAAAAACAAAGAAAAGAAAAGAAAAGAAGGGTAAGTGGCAGTGAGAGAGTGTGTGGGGAGTTGGGGTTATTCGAGTGGATCCAGATCTGCGCTTCAAATACTGCACGTTCTCTTTCCTCAATGCCCTCGCTCACTTAACGCTACTTTTATTAGTCCTTAACTCTTTCATCAGATTAAACTCCCACAGTGACCTTTTCCCCTTTATCTTCCCTCCTCTGCCATTGTTTCTCAGTCTCAACTTGATGACAGTAATAATTAACTAAATGAATGCCTGCAATACTTGTTAACTGATATTTGTAAAAAAAAGTTTTTGTAGAATACCCGTTAATCATATTCATACCCTCGCTTACTAGTATACTAAAAATAATGAACACATACAACATTAAGAATTGAAGACACTGATCTACTCCACTGCTGTCCTTCTGGAAGAGTACAATACGCCCCAATGGGAAATGAGATTGGGGGGACCCATTCGGGAGGATGATGATTGGGGGGTGAAGGGCAAGCGCTGTCCCTTTGCCCACATCGGGAGCACCATGTTCATGTGGGTGGGAGTCAAATGCCTCGGCCATTCTCCAATCGATAATCGATTTCGATTGCTCTCCACAAAAGGAAAAGTCCTACCCTCTCTCACTACCTTTGCCAAAAATTCCATCTGCTTTTTCGGTATAAAAGCAAAAAGCAAAATCTTAATAATTTATATGTCTTACTACTAGTAGCCCTTTATTTGGAAGTAAAATTTAACACATCAACTCACTAGTAATCTGCATTGGAATTGGTTGAGTCTGTGCTGTTGGCTAGAATGATACTACAAAGAAAGAAAACTTGGTTTTGAGGCATTTGTTATGAACGTTCCTGCAACACATGCCACCCTCTCCTTTTTCCCCTCCGAAGGGTTTCTTCTTCTTGCTGACTCCCCTCAAAAATAATTGTTATTAGAGTCTGAAGGATTGATGATTATGGTAGCAGATAGTAATGTCCAAACATGTAAAGAGTAAGAAAGGGAGGCAAAAGAGTTTTGCTGTTTTTGATGGCAGAAAATAACAAAAGGGAGAGGCAAAGGCTCCCTTGTAGTAGCAGTAGCAGTAGTATTTTTATGAGGTAAGGGTTTCCTCCCTCCTTTCTCATCAATTGTCTGTTTATGAGATGAGACGCCCCCACAAGGCCACAAACAAATAAATGATGACTGAATCTCTTCAAGGACCCCAACCCCATCTCACTCCTCATTATAATTCACAGCGCATATCTCAATTATTCACTCACTTTTCTTCACCGTTTTAATGTTTATTACTGTATGGTATGATGTGTACAGAGAGAGAGAGAGATCATTGCTTCTTGGGGGTTTATGCCACTTGCCACCACCCTTCCACCAGTTCCCAATCCCCATAGAATGATAGGTGATAGATGATGAACAACGGAACATTGAGCAAGAACAAGAAAAGAAAACTGGGAAAATATTGAAACCTGAAAAAGCATCATGGCATTCATGATTCATGATCAGGGTTTAAGAGGGAAACTACAGTGCTCCCACATGGGGGTGTGGGTCTGGGCACCATTATTATTCTCCTTTTTTATGCATTCATATAGCTATATTTACCAATGTGGATGCTAATCATTTACATTCATTATTCATATCATCCAATCTCTCCTCTTTATTGTCAACGTAATTGTTTCAACTTTGAAACTTCACCTTGTTAATAATCTCATCTGCTGAAAATTTTCAAAACGTAGTACTCCTCCTTTTTCCGCATATGCATAAAGCTTTTGTCCTTACATCACTTCTTTCAAAGACCATGGTTCCATATTCCACAAAACAGAAATACATTAACTAAAGTGGAAAGATGCTTTGGCGGTGTTAATCACATGCTTAGCACTGCGCGTATGTGCATACATATGAGTAGAAAGTTGGTTTTGTCTATAAAGTAGTATTAGGGTGAATGGGGTGGTCAGATAATATATCAATTATCAAGTTGTTCCCCTCTCTCTATCATTGCAAATTTACAAAAGTGTATGGGAAAAGGGGACTATTCATAGTGGACGCAATCAAAGCACCTTTGAAGAATTGGCAGTCATGGAATATTTTGAGGCTACTGTTTGTTGCTGTGTAAAAGAGATATATATATGTGGATGTGTCTGATCTCACCACGTTTCCGTTTCCCTCCTTTTCTCTTACGCTGAGGCAGTGAAGTGAAAAATCATTTGCAACTCATGTAGATAGATAAGATTAGATGCTGTTCCTTTCCCGAACTGGGGTCCGGAACCCTGAATAATCATGATTGTGACCTAAGTCAGGTGGAAATCAGCAGAAATACTAGTGTCATCGATCATTTATAATGGCAATATCATGTTGAAACCCTTCCCTTAAAGGAAATATCATTGCCACTCTATAAATCCCCCTACTCAAATTCAACTCAGACTCACGTACGTTTCTTCAAGATATGGAGGACTGACCATGAAACCAAACAACATCATACAAATTTGGAAGGTTATTGATTCTCAACAACCTTTGGCTCCCTCTTGACTAGGAAAATAGGTGTATCACGACCCACATTACTACCAAACTGCAATGTTATTATTTAATCAAATTCCAAACGAAAGCACATTTTGCTAAACCCCCTACGAACAATATGCTCAAGAAATGCCTTGTGAGATTAGGACTTTGATTATTTGAGCTAGAGTACTGTTAAGGCAAACATCTTACCAAGTTGGTGGCCTGTCTTGGTGAAATTTAGTGATTGGTTAAAACATGATAAAGAAATTTCAATAATAGAAGCAATATGACCCATAATTTTCATTTTCGAGTCCTTTAAAGAAAAAGTATCACGTAATAACATTAACTTGAGTGACGATTGACATATAATTTAACTGAAATCATTAGCGATGCTAATGATTTATTAAGCACACTTTTCTAAGAGGGGGTAAATTGTAATCACATAGATTACTTACCCTAGGTAGCAAAAGGATTAACTGCTGCTTTGTACAGCATTTTATGATTAAGATACGAAGCTTAAGCTAGCCACACAATTTGCTCAATTATGGAAAGGAAGAAAAGAGACATGGCCCCAAAAGTTACACTAATGCCAACCTACCAACCAGAGAGAGAGAGAGAGAGAGAGAGGAGGAGGTTAATCCAACTAAAGCAATAATCAGAGGGTAACAAGAGGTGGGCAGTCCCTACAACAAATGAAAATTTGAAATAGAGACATGAATTTGTGTTCCCTAGGAAAACAACTTTGTGAAAAGATGGGGGGAGTAGGCATTTGCTTGGATTTGCAAGAAGTCTATAAATGGAGAGGAGCTTTGTGTCGAACAAAGATACCTTGTCTGCCCCTTAATCACGATACCAAATGCAATCAGGCTTTTAATTTTCAGGCTCACTACTGTCTGCTTGATTGTTTCCCTGCCTTTGTGCAAAGCTTTTCTTTTTATCTAACCTTAGCTTGTTGCTATGGTCTCAAGTTAAACAGTGTTGTCTTTGCACGCTCCTCTGCACGTGTGGTGTCATGCATGGTTTCCAACACCTTTCGGCTGTTGTCCTCGCTTCACATGTCCTGTGAGAAAGAGATGATCATTTTCTTTTCTTTCTTGCTTTTTTGTTCCAAGTAGAAAGAGATCATTTCACACATGCATAAAGGCCTTCTTTTTTTCTTCCTTTTATGCAACACGAGAACCTCATTACTAAAAATCAGAGTTGCTTCTGTTAATGTTACCCCCTTTTGCTTGGCTTGTTCTTCACTTGTTGAGAATTGCATAAACCATTCATTAGCATTGAAGCTGTCTTTCTTCTCGAAAATGATTCCTCATGACTTTGGGATTCTTACCAATTTTTGATATTAAAACTTGCTATTTATATACAGGAAAACATGGACACCAGGAAAGGCATGCACTGAAACAAAAAGGATGGGCAGTTTTATTTAACTTCTCGATTCACTTAAGCGCAATAATCACAGTAAACAGAAAAGCAACTCAAGATGTTACAGTGTAATTAATTTGGCAAGCCAATGGTTGGGTTCATATATATATATATATTCTGCAAATATTTTTGTTTTCCATGTTATGCAAAGTCGTCTCCTTTCACCATGCTAGCTACTTTATGTATAAAATAAAAAACTTGAAGAAAAGGATGCAGCTGCTTTGTTTTCCCAAATAAATACGTTATGGCCCAGCGCCAGCTCCAGCGGCCACCTCCACTCAACACTTGCCTGTTTAAACTTTTCTTTCCCTCTTCTTTGGTCAATGATTGGATAGGAAATAAATTTGGACCATTATGTTCCATCAAAAGCAGAAAAAAAAAAAATATAACTATGATGAACCACACCACACCCCCTCCGGTTACTTCCATGTTCCCACCCTGATTAATATCTTCATTTTGCTAAAAAAAAAAAAAAAACCAAGCCCCTCTCTTTCCTTATTTCACATTGACAGAAACCACAGTATACTTAGCCTTGCATGCAATCATTCATGAATTGTAATATGATCATCATGATTCTTTTGAAAATCAATATCATCCTCATGATCATCTTCAAGTAGAGTAAAACAACCAATGAAAAATGGAAAAGAAAAGGTACCTTCATCTCATTTTATTATAAAGATTAGGAAGATGTATACCAAGGAATGTGGGAGAATACCTTTTGTTTTGAAGCAGTAATGAGGTGGCTACGTGGACGTTCCATTAGGTTGAAGCGTAAATGACCATGTTATATAGTACACTGCTATGTCGTTTTCATTTTTTCTTTCAATTTATCTAGTCATTTATTTTTGAGAAATGGCATGCAAATTTAGAATCTTTCAATTATTAAACTTGATGGGTTCATCATACTAGTTTTTCTTATCCAAAAATGGCTTTGTTCTCGGTGTTGCGTTGAGAGTTCATTACTACTAATTACTATGAATATAGGATTTGGGGAGGGGAGGAAGCATTAAACTACAATATACGACTAGCAACATTGGTTGGGGGGCTTGAGGAATCTTGTCTCTGAATCATGAAATATTATGATATGATTAAAAAAATAATAGTACAATACAAAAGAAAAGACAAGCCGAGAATCGAGATATTAAAAGAACAAGGGAGGAAACTTGGAAATAAAAATAGGGCAAGGAGAGACAGAAGGACGGAGGAGGAACAGGATAACCCATGTGGCCTCCTGTGCTGCCTGATTTGTCTTGAAATGAAATGAAAGCCCCGTATACATATTTATTTCTACTTTGTTTTATTTTTAAAGGCAAATGGGGGAAGCAGTGTGAGCATGAATGATTTGGATGCATGGGACCCCTCACTGCTTCGTTGGCCAAATTGCCCATTCAATGAAGTCAGAGAGAGAGGTTGGCTCAGCTTTCCTTTGCTGGATGTGACTCTGCACTGTTCAACCTGTCTGCTTCTTCTGCTTTTGTGGTCTTTTTTTCCTTTATAAATCCCCTCTGAAATGTTACTTATCTTATGCAGGAGTATCGATTCACTATGAGTACTAGCAGGTAAGACTTCTTAGGAAGAAAATGATTGTTCACAACTCTTTGATTTGGGTCCATATTTCGCCAATAATAACTTAAATTAAGTCCAATTTTTGGTCTAAACTTCTTTTCAGGTCAGACATCCCGGATGACGCTTGAAAGCGAGAGAGGCTTTCGTCCTCTTGTTGCGTGAGTGATTTCTATTAAAAGGCCTGGTTTCATACGATGGTAAAATGCAGACCGTAGTCGGCCCTAACCTGAACGGAATTGGGTCCAAATACGAAGGCACTATCTGATCCAGCTGCATCTCCTCTTCGAAAACGAAGAGAGTTGGGCCCAATTAACTTGTGTTTTCTGATAAGCGCACAGTCGGCCTCCTACAACATGTATGCAGTCCAATTGTCCATAGCGACAGAGATGCTGCCATGCTTTTACCTACTTCTTCAACTACCCTTGACTTAAAAGAAAATTATCAATTTCATTTGCTAGTCAAAAGAACTGGTATGGAAACTTGAATCTTGCACGACCTTTCCTTTTATAATCAATTGACAGCATGCAAGAATGAAGTAAGATAACAATATGACCTATCAACAACAATTATCCAGCAAGCAGGGAAGACAAATTTTAACTGCACTATTATGCTATTCCATGTGATTTCAAAAGGAGCAGCAGTGTAAATATTTACATGCTAGTACTAGTATTATATAAGCTGTTAAAAGATCAAAACAAGATGTTATGTTCTTGACTCTCGGTTACATGGTTCCGTCAGGCTAAAGTTGTAGTATTCAGGCATGTGATACATATGCATTTACGGTGGTAATCAACCTAACAAACACTCCTCGCATTGTTATTCTATATACCAGGGCATGTAATGCTATGCTTGCATAATGAGCATACTGGAAAAGACCTGGACAGACTTTTTATGGATGAAGATCAAATATATGGAGACTTACAAATGAGCTCTTCCCTTGCAGTTACTCATCTTGGGGTGCACATGACACCAAGATTTTGACTGCGTTCACGTGGTGTCCTTCAACACTTCCATCTGATTTATGTTAGCTTGACAATTTACAATTGCAGGCTGACAGTTTCCTTCCCAGGATATATTCATTTTCTCGCTTCCACCAATGCTAGCCTGTGATGACGATCCTGCATGTGGATGGAAGCATGGCAAATCGGTCTGACATTGTAGACCGATTGACTCATCAGTAGATTGCAGCCCACAATCACCTTCCTTCAAAATAGTGGCATTGTTACACTGCTTTTGGAAGGGGAAAACACCCAGCTCACCATCAATCTTTGCTCTAAGGTCTACCAAAAGGCTTCTGAGCCTTAGAACCTCTGCTTCAAGTGTTGTCTGTCCTTGTAATTTTCTGACTAGTTGCTGGTTCAGTAAGCGCAATTTCTTAACTTCCTCTTCCAAATAAGCAGTATGTGCCTTCTTTTTCTCTCTATACTTCCGGACTGCTTCTCTATTCCCTGAAGGCCTCCTTGGTTTCAAACTAGAGCTGTTCTTATTGTTCTGGTGATCATCCTCTTCAGATGTAATAACTTGGGTATGTGTGTGGTAGCAGGTATGTGTATGTGCGGCATCAGGGCCAGGTGGGTTGCAAGTGTGAGTGTGAGTACATGTTCTGGTGTTCTTGAAGAATTCGTCAATTATTAAATCTACAGATGTTGAATCCTGAAAATTGCTAGATGAATCAGGGTTGGATAGTAGAACATGATCTGAAAGCTCTACCTCCCCATCATCCATGTTTCCGTTCATCCCTGGCGCTCCTAACAAAAGCTACTTACAGCTAAGCATCACAATTCAGAAGCGAGCGCACATCTGCAGGACAAGACTCTAACTTTTCATAAATAAGCGCCACCACTGCTACCAAGCAGCAATCTTTTTATGCAATGAAGCTAACTAATTAATTATCATACTAATTTATTGATAACAATATTAATTAATCGCGACGAAAAAGCAGGATTCCCACACCACAATCGATATGACAACTCGAGAATATATGCAAAGAAGCACAGGGCTTCCAATAAGAGAATCAATCGATTGTCCAGCGCATCAAGTGTCACAATCAAGAATATTAAGTAGGAAACAGCTTGAGATTGAAAAGCAGAGAAAAATCCTTAATGACTTCTAAGAGAAGTCGGTTTTTAACATACCAATAAAGCATGCTGTCTTGGCAATGAAAAGAAAACCCAGATGGAAACTGCTCACAAGAAGGTGATAAGAAGCATAAAGACAAGATTTTGACATAGAAATCAATCACAATCGAAAGCTGCAGAAGAAGAAGAAGAATTGTACAGGATCTGAGGGGAGGGGAGGAAAAAACCCAAGATGATGATGTGCATCAAAATAGGGATTACCTGATGTTTTTAGCAAGATGGTATGAGCATGATCATGATGGTTCAACTCCCCTGGCAGGCAGGCATTGTCAGGGAAGCAAAGGGGGCAACAAGTAAAAGCATTTCTGCCTCTGGTGTACTTTTCTATGCATTTTATCTGTTGGAAATAAGTTGTATAAGTCCACAAGACTTTTGACGTCGGCCTGCGTCATGCCTCGCAGTCAGGGACATTGTTTAACTAACCCCTTTTCATTTCTTTCTTGTCTGCTCGTTAAGTAGCCAGCTGGCACGATTCAACGCCATGCAGACTGCCTGCACTATTTCATTTCGCCTTCCCATTTTCTCGTAGATCCAAAGCTTAAGCTTACCACTTTTGTCCCTTTGGAAGCAGGAATTTTCCTTGGATAGGACAATGGCAGTTATATGTTGGCGGGTGGAGCTGGCTGTAAATGGGCCATGGAAAGACAGGATTAATGGACTCAATTGGGCTTAAAAATCGTCTAAGCCCATGTCGTCATAATGGTTTACTATATGTGGAAAGGGCAGACATTACAAGTCCAACTCAACGTCCAACCAACTGGTGTTTTTTTTTTTTATTTTATATTAAAATTTTGGAAAATTGAGACATCTCCTCCATTTTTTACTCCCACTGAATCGCTTCCAAGTTTCTTCTTCTACTTCCAAACTCCCTACTTCTTCTTCTTCTTCTTCTTCGTGGTGGTGGTGTTGTTTTGGAGCTACTGATTGCTGGACAAAAACGACATGTCAAACTTTTGGAATCAGACCCGAGCAGCGACGTCTCTGATCAGACGCCTTAAACGGAGCATCATCAATCCTACGGCTGTTGCTCGCCCGAAATGTTTTACAACGGCGGAGGGCCACCGTCCCAGCCTTGTCCATAAGCGCAGCCTCGACATCCTTCATGATCCTTGGTTCAACAAGGTGCTTTTTTTTTCTTTAAATCTTAGCTCGGATTCGAATGCTCAGTCCCCGATTTGAGTTTTCAAAAAGCTGATTTCGTTACTTATGCCCCTTTTTAGCTTCAATTAGCTACAGGAGTTCAGTTTTCTTATTTGGTTTAATGCGTTTGGTGTTAGGGAACAGCATTTTCCATGACGGAACGAGATCGTCTGGATCTTCGTGGCCTTCTTCCTCCGAATATAATGTCTCCTGAACAGCAAATTGAACGCTTCAGTAAGTTTTATTGATATAGGACTGGTGCTTATGCTGCTGAGCAATATGAAATCCTTCTATGTATGGATTTTGAATGATCAATCGGCTTTTGCTGACCATGATGGCACACATTGTTATGTCCATGATTTTCATATCGGTAATTCATTAATTAACAGTGGTTGATTTGAAGAGGCTTGAAGTTCAAGCTAGAGATGGACCATCTGATCCCAATGCTCTTGCCAAGTGGCGGATTCTTAATCGGTTGCATGACAGAAATGAGACCATGTACTATAAGGTAAATTCATTTTATGTTCTCCATGCTGATCTCTATAATGCTTTTAGAAGTTAGCTTTTAAAAGTTTCTCTTCTTCCACCTAATGATATTGTCTGTGTAGTTGTTGTTCATTCCAGCTAGTTGGAAAGAACAATATGTGATTCCTTTGAATTTGGATGTGTAGATTCTTTCTAATGATAAGATAACTGGTTATCAGAAAAACTCCTTTTCACCTCCTTAATGCTATAACACATTCTCCAATGTCTAACAAATGTTTCTATGAAATCCAATAACACGACTACTATCAGTCAAATGCCATTGTATTAATTACTTATTATACTTAGTTTCTTCTTCTGCTTTTTCTGAGTTTCATGTTGCTTCCATTTTTTGTTAATGGAATGACTCCATTATTCCTTCCCCATTAATTATTTCACTTTCGGTTCCCTATAAGCCATCTCCAATGCGATAACAACCATCTTTCCTACATTCTTACTTGAAATTAGCTTAAAGTGTCAAGAAAAAGAATCACTATGGCATGCTTTAGTGGCTTTACTTGTGCATATCTTTTCTTCAGAGTATGTAGTATGTATGCAGTGACTCTGTCATCTTCTCGATGATATATCTAAAGGATATTTATTTCTGACTCTGACAGGTTTTAATTGCCAACATTGAGGAATATGCTCCTATAGTTTACACTCCAACTGTCGGTCTTGTTTGCCAGAACTATAGTGGTCTGTTTAGGAGGCCTCGAGGAATGTACTTTAGTGCAGAAGATCGTGGAGAAATGATGTCTATGGTTTACAACTGGCCTGCTGATCAGGTCTGCATTACATATCAATGATGCAGTATATTGTAGAACTTCTTTCCTTAGTTGAATTGATCCCACTTGTGGAGCTATGTCCTCGATTGCTTTGTTGTGGCCCTGCCTGGTGATAAAATGAAATGGTTTTCTATGACATGCATATTTTAGTCCTATGCTTTAATACGGTTTTGACTTGTTATTTTGTCTTTTCTGTTTCTTTTGTGCACGGTAAAATATCCCTTTGCCTTTCGCTTTGTGGTGTATGGGCAGCATGTCTTTTCAATTTTGACTACCATCAGGCTCAATGGGCAACTTCTTGTGGAGAAATTAAATGTTGTAGAGCTGCTCTTGAATTTTGAAACTTAGACATCCAAGTTTGTTCTTTATAGATATTTGTTTTTGACTCAGTGATTACTTCATTCAGTTACCTGTAGTTCAAGTTCCGGCAACATAATTATTTGTCTTCGTAGTGCGACAAAATAATGCTGGATTCTTCTTCCTTTATCAGATCAGGTTTAGTATTAGCTTGCATGAATTTTGGTATCAGTATTTCAGAAACACTTTGGTTTTTTATGGAGACTAGTTTGCAGGTTGATAAGCTTCCAGTTTATTTATTTTGTTTTATTGAGTACAGGTTGATATGATAGTTGTTACGGATGGAAGCAGAATATTGGGTCTTGGAGACCTTGGAGTTCAGGGAATTGGAATTGCTATAGGGAAGCTGGATTTGTATGTTGCTGCTGCTGGTATCAATCCTCAGAGGGTATGTTATTCTTTTTCTACTCTTTTATTTTATATGCCAGAAGTTTTTATTACGTCGATGTTTATAATAGAAAACACAGAGTTTCCCCTAAAGATTGTCAGTCTATATGCCTGCATTTCAGATGCTGGAATAATGGAATAAGGATTTATATGATAACATTTGTAAATACTCAAGTTCTATATCCATTTTCTTTGGTTTTTTAATCTCCGTACTTCAGAGTAGCTTTACTTTCTGAAAATGATATGAGAGAGTTAGACTTGATTGTGTGTTGATCTTCATTGTTTGTGGGCTCATTGCAAGTCTCAGTCACTTAATTTTTTTGTTTTCAACCATTTTCTAATCTTATTAAATGGCAGTTCATATCATGCTAATTTTTGTGGTCTTGCCCAGCTTGACCATATACTGGGAATTTTACAAATATTTCCTCTGTTTTCTCCCTTGCATTAGGTACTTCCTGTCATGATTGATGTTGGAACTAACAATGAGAAGTTGCTTAAAGACCCCTTGTGTAAGTTTTCCATTATCCAATTTTGGGGAACCATAAAAAGAGAAATTATGAAGCTTTGACTTCTTGTTGTGATGCTTGTAGTCTGTGGCCTTACTAGCACTAGCCAATTTTCATTAGCTAGACATCTTGTACTTGCATGCTTTCTGAGTTAATTTTATGTTCTGCAAAAGAATGAAGATTACATATTTACATAATTTTTTGACAATAGATCTGGGGCTTCAACAACATCGTCTTGATGGTGATGAGTATATTGCCGTGATTGATGAATTCATGGAGGCTGTTTTTACTCGTTGGCCAAATGTGATTGTGCAGGTACATAGATATGTCTATCTTGTTAAACAGAATAATGTCTAGAATTAAATTGGAGTACCTTTATTTAAGAGATATGAGCAGATTTGGTTTTCTGCAGTTTGAAGATTTCCAGAGTAAGTGGGCCTTTAAGTTATTGCAGCGTTATAGAAATACATACAGGATGTTCAATGATGATGTCCAGGTAATTGAGATTTTCTCTTGATACAAGATAATCTATCATGTTGACTTGATTTATTAATGCAAAACATTCCATTTGTTGTCACCTGTTTCTTTGGATATCATATTTTAAGTTCTGTTTAAGCAATTTATAATGTATTCTTTCAAATGTTACTATTCCAATTTTATGTTCTAATTTATTCTTAGCCACTATTTGATTTATTTTATTGAGATTTAATTGCCTTTACATTCTGGCATAATTTCTATCAATTTACTAAGCAGGGAACAGCTGGGGTTGCAATTGCTGGTCTTCTTGGAGCTGTAAGAGCACAGGGGAGGCCAATGATTGACTTTCCGAAGCAAAAGATTGTTGTTGCTGGTGCTGGAAGGTTAGTTTTGTAGCTTACTCTGTGAGGCTAAGTTGTGGATTGTCATAATACCAATATTAGGGAAGAGATAACATGGCTATGTTAGATATTTATATATGTGATGGTTGCTTTTAGTGCTTAGACTGTTTCCATTGGTACCTGATTTACTAAATTCCTCACTTATGAACTGAAATTGGATTATAGCAAGTTAATTACTTTGTGCTAGATGTGTTTTCATTTGTTCTCCCTGTATGTCTGAAAAAAAAAAAAAGAAATGATTCCTCCAAATAAAAAATTAGAACTCTTTCTTGGCTTATTATTCATCTTACTCTATATGGAAGCTTTATATTGCTCATGCTTAAGATGGTTTGGTTGTTGGTTTGCTTGTGGCTGGATTTCTTCTCATTTTATCAGACATTTCCATAAATTTGTTGTATCTGCTGACTGATTTGTTTGCTATTTTTTGGTCTTTTTAGTGTTTTCCTGTGAAAACTAATACGGAAGACTCTGCATGCTAGTAGGAGATATTAGGGCTTGTTTGCATAATCTTTATACTGTTGCAGTGCAGGAATAGGGGTTCTCAATGCTGCAAGGAAAACAATGGCAAGGATGTTAGGAAATAACGAGACTGCTTTTGATAGCGCAAAGAGTCAATTCTGGGTTGTTGATGCCAACGTAAGTAGTATACTCCCTTAAAACTAAAGAATTTTTGGTTAGAGAGTTGTGCTTTTAAGGCCAATAGGTTTTTTTTCAATATTTGGGCATAGTTTTTCATCTAATATTTCATCCTGAAATTGGAAAGCTAATGAGAAGGTAGTGGATGGAGGAATATGCCAGGAAGATAGAACTGGTGAATTGGGCCATCAGCTACTTCCTACCATGTTATGACTTTGCCTTGCTTTCAAAAGGCAGGAACACTATAAGTAGATTAAAAGATGGCTAAAATAACGATATGATTGCATTCATTGTTATCAGTATCACAACACCATTTCTTGTGATGCCTTAAAGCTAAATAACCAGTTGATTATACAAGTTACATTTCTACACATTATAAAGTTATTTGTGGTCATTTTTACATTTTGCTGCTGTAGATTCTGGCTGTTAGAATGTGATGGCTTAATGTAACCTTTGCATAGTTATCTTGCCATGAGGAAGACCAAATTGCATTAGCTATACATTCTAATTAAATGTGTTGATTGGATCCAGGGTCTTATCACAGAGCAACGTGAAAATATTGATCCAGTGGCCCTGCCATTTGCAAGGAAAATCAAAGAAGCTGGTCGTCAGGGATTAAGGGAGGGTGCAAGTCTTGTGGAAGTGGTCTGTGAAATGCTAGCGCAGTAACACTTTTTCAAGTCAATATATTATAGTAGATTACAGTGTCATGTTATTTTCCATGTGTGAAATAATGGAGCCCTGTTGGCAAATGACTTTTGTCTCATTATGTTCTTTCCTGTTTTAGTTTTTACCTGCTTCTAAGTTGTGTCATAAGATATATTGTGATGTCTCCGTTTCTCTTTCCGAATTGTAAGACCTTTCTTTAATCTGACTAAACAGGTGGAGCAAGTGAAGCCAGATGTGCTTCTTGGGTTATCTGCAGTTGGAGGATTGTTCTCCAAAGAGGTATAAAGCGAATTTACATATCAAGCAATACATTGGCTCCTGCTGTTTAAGAGAATGATTGAATCTACGATCACAGTCTGAACATCATTTGTGTTAATTGGCAATTTAGCAGAATGTTAATTTATTTTTTTAGAATTAACAACTTTTTAGATCCTGAAGCCCTGTGATCATCCACCTTATTATGAGAATGTATTGCTTGTAAAGCAAAGATTCACTATTTGCATTTCCTTTTCCATATATTTAAATCTGAAGAAAGTGTTCAGATGGTATACTGTAAAATTTGGCAATTGGCTTCCAGATTGCAGAAGGAATATTTTTGAAATTTTAGACTTAGTTTTGTTCCTCAGAATCTATGCGTTTCATTAACCTTCTAGCCAAATCTATTTTGCCTGTCTTTTTGCAAATTGGGTAAAGTTTATTTTTTGTTTTAGGTGTTAGAAGCTCTTAAAGGTTCAACTTCCACTAGACCAGCCATCTTTGCGATGTCAAACCCTACAAAAAATGGTATAATTTTTTTAATTTTTTTGGGGATATAAGATTAGGGCCTTCCATATTCCATATTTGTAAACAAATTCGTTTTGATCTTTTATCCTTTTCTTTTTCTATTTATTACAGCCGAGTGCACCCCAGAGGAAGCCTTCTCCATTGTAGGTGACAACATTATATTTGCAAGTGGAAGTCCTTTTAGAGATGTTGATCTTGGTATGTGCCAAGGCTATATTATTAAACATAGTCCACATAGTATTCTTTTTAATTTTTGTAGTCCTTTGCAATTTGCTCACATGTGGGGCTGGTTTAAATATATTTTTGCTACCAACCTAAGCTCTGTTTATTATAAATGCCTGAACTTGTATAAGATTATAGCTGGTAATTGTACAAGCTGCTCATTTGTCACCTGAATTTCTATAGCATCTTGATTTTGATACAAGTTCTGAACATAAAATTTTTTCCCTAATATTCTCGAACGAGAGTGAAAGGTCTACTGATTGTAACTTTTGAACAATTTAGGAGATGGCCACGTTGGGCATTGCAACCAAGGAAACAACATGTATCTCTTTCCAGGGTCAGTTTTGCCAATTCATTTCATAAAGATGTCTTTTATTAATGTTTCTCTAATTAATCATTTCTAAACTTTCACTCATCTTTTATGCAGTATTGGACTTGGAACTCTTCTATCTGGTTCTAGGATCATTTCAGACGGCATGCTACAGGCTGCAGCAGAACGGTGTGTCTCATTTGTCTTTTGTTTTTGATAAATATATTTGTGAATGCTGAGTTCAGAATATTTCAACGGGCAAGGCAGTTACTGCATACCACTCGCACGGAGCTACTTCAAATTCTGCATGAAGAAATTTAGAGATTAGGATCTGTTTGTTATCACTTTCTAATCCTTTTAATTATGTTGCGGATTTTATGAGTTACTTACTTGTGGACCAAGTCCTGATTTATTGTAATATTTTATTAACTTACTAGAATTTTTTAGTTGCCCCAAATGGTATGCTAGTTTTGATGGGTGTACGCCAGGAGCTCTCTGATATAGGGACTTGGATAATTAATTGCTTAAAGAGGAAGATTTGGTGCTTAGCCACTGAATTGGAAACTGACTCGTGTTATGTTCAATTGACAAATGCAGTCTGGCTGCATACATGACTGAAGAGGAGGTTCTCAAGGGGATCATATACCCTCCAATATCTAAGTATGTGATGAGTGGCCTTTCTTTTTTGTCTTTCTGTCACCTGGCGAATGAAGTTAAGAGCTTTCAACTTAAAGCCGTTGGCTAAGTCTATAATTTTGTTTGTAGGATAAGGGATATAACAAAGGAGGTAGCTGCAGCAGTGGTGAAGGAAGCTGTAGAAGAAGATCTGGCAGAAGGATATCGTGACATCGATGCTCGAGAGCTCCAAAAAATCTGTCAGAGCCAGGTAATCTGGCAGTTGATCTGTAAATGTCCATCTTCCCATGTTTCCAGCACTGAAAAACTTGACAATGACAAACCTGTTTGTTTATATGCAGGAGGAACTTTTAGAATACGTGCAGAAGAGCATGTGGAGTCCAGAATACCCAACTCTGGTTTACAAGAAGGATTAGCCTGCCAGCCACCCACGCATGTTTTATCCATTCTAAAACATCCCCAGTCATAGATGTTGTGCACCAAATTATAAATCCAGCAGAGCTTGTGGTAAGCTAGTAATGCAAGAATGAAAGCATGCTTTCTTGGCACTTACACTGGACTAAACCTAGTACCAGCATCAATTCTTCTACTACATACTGATTTGGCTGGTCAGATAATTCATTGCGTGCAAGTATTGGCACCTATATTTCCAAGTTGCGTTGTAGATATAGATAAGTCTATTTTTAGATTCAAATGAGTGCACGATTTGCTTCTTCTAATCTGCATTGAACTGTTATATTGTCCAAAGGAATTTTGTTAATATGGGGCATGAAAACTAGAGATGGAAATTTCGCTGATGACAGAGAGAGAGAAGCTTCCAAGTTTGGGATGGGAACATTTATCATTTATTTAATTTAACTAGAAACAACATAACGAAGACAAATAACAGAAGTTGGATAGCTTAGCTGGATTATGATACCAAATATGGCTTCCCCTCTCTTGGTTCCTTGTCCTTACCCTCTCAGTCGACGGCATCTCAGCCGCCCATCAACCATCCACGTCAAAACATTTTTAATTTATAGAAAAGGAAAAGGCCCGAACCGAGGCAACAGTAGGGTACTGTTACTATATATAAAAAATTGATCTAGAACAAATCCTTGATTCCGCAACGGTTGTGGGCCTTTGGGCCCCCGACTTTCTGAATTTTCAAAATTCAAAAATTCAAACGCGTAAAGGTAAAGGATAGAAAGAAAGAGGGCAAAAACGGTGCGGGGCGTGGACTCAATCTTTGTCCAAGAAGGTCCGCTGATATTGCTTACTTTCCATCAATTTCCGCTCTTTCCCCTTTCTCAAGTCCATCGCTCTGCTACAAACCCAAGCTCCTTTCTATTCTTTTCAGCGTTCATTTCAAGTCCAAGCTTTCGTTTCTTCTAGAGCTTTCCTGATTTTTGAAGATCGAAGATGACCACCATGGAGAGCTTGATCGGCTTGGTTAATAGGATCCAGCGAGCATGTACGGTGCTCGGTGACTATGGCGGCGGCGATAACGCTTTCTCTTCCCTTTGGGAGGCTCTTCCCTCTGTCGCCGTCGTCGGTGGACAGGTTCTTCTTCTTCTTCTTCTACATCTTTTAGTTTCTAGATGTTTGCAGAAAAGGAGAGCAACTGGGGAAGACTTGTAGTCGATCGTCTAATATGAATTATGAGGCTTATTTTCTTTTGTATTTGTATTGTAAACAGAGCTCGGGGAAGTCTTCAGTGCTCGAGAGTATAGTCGGTCGTGACTTTCTTCCCAGAGGATCAGGTTCGTTCGTTTTTTCTTTTTTTCTGCCTTTTCTTTTTAAAATTTTAGTCTCTTGAATTGGAGTAATAGTGATGTTTAATTTGGTCCAGGAATCGTGACGAGACGGCCTCTGGTATTGCAGCTTCATAAGACAGACCAATCGTCACAGGAGTATGCTGAGTTTCTTCACCTGCCTAAGAGAAGATTCACGGATTTTGGTATGCTTTATTTTTTACAAAATATTCTAAGACCATATCTTTTTCACATGACTTTGCCTTTGGATACCTGAAAAATTACGAATTTGTTGGACGTTGCCATGTTTTAGCTTTCCTTTCTTCAAATTATGGGCAATTAAAAAAGAAAGAATAACACTTATCTTAAGTCCTTGTATTTGGACCTGCTAGTTGCAAATTCTGTTAAAGATGGATTTTTTTTTTCCTCCTAATTTGAGTTTGAAACTTGCAGCAATGGTCCGCAAAGAAATTCAGGATGAAACTGATAGAATAACTGGGAAGACCAAGCAGATATCTCCTGTTCCTATTCATCTCAGTATCTACTCTCCAAATGGTTCGTAACAACATCACAATTATGTTTCTTTTTTAATCAGAGTTATTTAACTAACACCATTTATTTTCTTCTGACAGTTGTCAACTTAACCCTGATTGATTTGCCCGGTTTAACAAAAGTTGCAGTCGGTAAGTGTTATTTTAATTCTTTCATCTGAATTTAACTTCATTGTTTGGCTTTCCTATTCAGTTGATGAATGTATATCATTATTCTTTCAGAGGGACAGCCTGAAGGTATTGTTCAAGACATTGAAACCATGGTTCGAACATATGTTGAGAAGGTAAGCACCTTGTAGACCTTAACCGTGCTTCGTTAACAGATCATGGTTTTTTACTCTCTCTCTCTCTCTCATGTTGAAGTGGACTGTTTTACTTAGATTCTGATGTTTACTGAAAAGAGAAAGGTTACTTAAGATCTTCTAATCAAAACTATATGAGAAATATCATCCTTGTTCATATGATTGATTGAACTAACCAACCTGTGATACCATTATTTTTTATTTGCTAAATCTTTAGATAAATACTTTTTGTTTGAAGTCTTATGTGCATAAACAATCTCAACTGGAAAATCTTAATTGTGTTTTATTTGCAATCTGAATCATTATTATGCTTCTTGCAGCCTAATTGTGTCATACTAGCTATATCTCCAGCCAATCAAGATATAGCAACTTCAGATGCTATAAAACTTGCTAGGGAAGTAGATCCTTCCGGTATGTATCTTTTTACTACGGCACCCATGCATATCCTTGCAAAGTAATTTTTGCTTGTTTATTCTTCTTTGACAAAATCTTGTGCCCCCATTTTACCAGGTGACCGAACATTCGGGGTGTTAACTAAGCTGGATCTTATGGACAAAGGGACTAATGCTCTGGATGTGAGTTCTTGTGCTGTCTCTTTTATATAGAATTTTTTTTAATTTACTGTATCTACGTGTCTTTATCTGTTGGTTTTCGTCTTGTTGCTGACTTTGTATGAAAACACGACACTTTTCATTTGCTATTTCCTTTCTTAAGGTTCTTGAAGGAAGATCTTACCGGCTGCAACATCCTTGGGTTGGAATTGTGAACCGTTCACAAGCTGATATAAACAAAAATGTGGACATGATTGTGGCAAGACGCAAGGAGCGTGAATATTTTGCCACTAGTCCAGACTATAGTCACTTAGCGAGTAAAATGGGTTCAGAGTATCTTGCAAAACTTCTTTCACAGGTTTGACTTTGAGTACATTCTATTTTAGGATTGATTTTGCAATCTTAAAGGATATCTCTCTGATGATGTTGCCTTGTTTTCAGCATTTGGAATCTGTAATCAGGGCTCGAATACCAAGTATCACTTCTTTGATAAACAAAAGCATTGATGAACTTGAATCAGAGATGGACTATCTTGGTAGGCCTATTGCTCTTGATGCTGGGGTGAGTAGCTTAGCTTTCCTATCCCCATATAAGTACAAGCTTCTTTCTGTGCTGTGTGTAATTGTGATGTTGTATTTTAGGCTCAATTATACACCATATTGGAACTTTGCCGTGCATTTGACCGGATATTCAAAGAGCATCTAGATGGAGGGTAAATTGCTTCTGCTACTAAATCATTTATCCTCTTTTGTTGCTTTCTTAGAGTAAGCCATTTTTCGTTCTCTGGCTGGTTATTGGCCTGAGTGCCTGTTCGGTCTAGCTTTTCTTCAGTTTATCTACCTCTTAAAAGCAAAAGCCAGGCGAAACAGGATTCAAGTATTAAAAATAATTTATCCTCGAATTAGATTCATGCTCTTGAGCTCATAATATGTTTAGACAGATTTGGACTGATTCATTGCTTTTGAAATGAAAATATCCTTAGTAAAGGTTGCAAAAATAATCTAATTCATTGCATCTCATGATTTGATGTATGGCTATACTTAATCTATAGGATCTAAATTTAAATAGATGTTAAGTCAGTGTTTAATTGACTATAGTACTTTAAAAATTTAAAATTATGAGCATCTTCCTTATTTGTTGCAAGCCATTACAGCTATAGAATTGCATGCTATAATACCACCTTTGGACTATGATATCTTAGGCGACCTGGAGGTGATCGTATTTATGGAGTTTTTGACAACCAGCTACCTGCTGCTTTGAGGAAGCTTCCCTTCGACCGGCATCTTTCTCTGCAAAATGTGAGGAGAGTAGTGTCTGAGGCAGATGGTTATCAACCACACTTGATAGCCCCTGAGCAAGGTTACAGGAGGCTCATTGAAGGGGCATTAAATTATTTCAGGGGACCAGCTGAAGCTTCTGTGGATGCTGTAAGTTGTCATCCTTTATTATTTTGTGGTCATGCAAGATCTATCTGGAAATCTTTTTGTAGTCAAAGTTCTGAAGTTGGCACACTAGTTTTAGCTGATATAATATTTTTGATGTAGGTTCACTTTGTCCTGAAAGAACTTGTGAGAAAATCTGTAGGGGAAACTCAGGTAAAAGTTTGGGAATTAATCTCATATTTTATATAGCTTAAGTTGTTCTAGTATCCTGCAAAAGGTGACAATCTTATGATGTTTGTATAAACAGGAATTAAAACGCTTTCCCACCCTGCAAGCTGAAATAGCAGCAGCTGCTAACGAGGCCTTGGAGAGATTTCGGGATGAGAGTAAGAAGACAGTTGTCCGATTGGTGGATATGGAGTCATCATATTTAACGGTGGATTTCTTCCGGAGGCTTCCACAGGAAGTAGATAAAGCAGGAAATCCCGCAGCCACAGCCACAGCCTCAAATACAGATCGGTATGGTGAGGGCCATTTTCGGAGGATAGGGTCAAATGTTTCCTCATATGTTGGAATGGTGTCAGAGACACTTAAGAACACAATTCCGAAGGCTGTGGTTTACTGTCAAGTTAAGGAGGCAAAACAATCATTGCTAAACCACTTTTACACACTGCTAGGGAAGAAAGAGGTAACGCCAATTTTCCTTAAATTTCAAAAAATTCTAATTATTAAGATTATAATATTTTCGTAAACATGGGTGAGACACTGCTCTGTGCATGTGGGTCATGTGTGACCTTCCTGCCATGTGCATATGCTATGGTGTATCATGTTTGTGACAGCATTCAGATTGAAGTGGTTGTATGGTTCTGGGTGTAGAGCAAAACAGTGCTTTGGATTTCTTGATACGGATTAACTGGTTGTATGGTTTTTGCATCTGTTTGTTTCAGGCAAAGCAGCTCTCGCAATTGTTAGACGAGGATCCAGCGTTGATGGAAAGGAGACAACAGTGTGCTAAAAGGCTTGAATTGTACAAGGCAGCAAGGGACGAGATAGATTCTGTATCATGGGCCCGATGATACTTGCTGTGTATTACAATATCATATAATTCCTAAAATGAATCATCCACATTGGAAACCAGCAGTAGTATAACTTTTGTTGATTGTTTGACAGCTTAGATTCTTTGTTAGATGTATTCTGGCTGTTATGCTATTCTTTATGACTCTGGAAATCTCGTGAGGGGTTGAATATTTATGTAGCAAAGTAGTGTTACGAATGTTTGAGTTTATCTATCTATTTAGCTCTTTCCGGGCCTTGCTCTCTACATTTTCCTTGATTGCGGCTCATCTATGCATCTCTGATTTGTATTAAATTTTGATAAGGTTGGAATGTAGGATTCAATCCCATTTGTTTGGCATGTTCTAAATGTCTCCCCTTGACGGGGAAACATTATTTCATGTGAAGAAGAATATTCCTATATATGTAAAAAGAAGAATATTCTATGATTTTTATTTAATAAAGGAACTCCCTTCTTTTATGACGAATTATAGTGGAAAGGGCAAGCAGACAAGGGCTCGTTAGATCTTTCTTTCTGACGCCGACACGGTTTTATCTCTTTTCGTCCTTTGAATTGAGACGAAAAAGGGAGGGAAAAAAAACCCCAAATAATTAGCTTTATTCAACGACACCCCGACTGACGTTTTTCAGCAGTTAGAATTACGCAAACAGCACAACCAGTTTTTGATTATGTTATTACGAATATACCCTTGGGAAGCCAATAACCGAAAAACGCTCCATCCCCCCCGGGTCCGGGCAACACTCATTTCAAAAGTGTTGGCCTGCCTGTATTTAAAAGGCCCTCTCTGCATTTCTTGGTTTCAATTTCCCCTGCCCTTCCAAGTTCCAATTTTGATCCAATCAGACAGAAAAGTCCTTTCTCCGTCACTTCATAATTCAGGTAAGCTAACGTCTCTCTTTCTCTCCTTCATTCTCTCTATCTGCTTGGATCCGATCTGATCACTCTCTTCTTGTTTTCTTTCCTCAATGCCAGCCAAAACGCCATCTTTATCCGTTTTCTGATTCGATCTGTGTAGGGTTGAGTGCTTCAGCTCATTTTTGTCTATTTTGTTTTTATAAAATTTCTTGGCTTCGCCTATGTGAATGTGATTGGATTTGAAATTCATGGATCCGATGTATTTTCTTTTGTTTAAGCGACGTTGCTTTTGTTTCTTGCATTTCCTGCATTGCTATAGATTCCTCCTACGTTTGTTTCCAAATCTTCTGAATTGCCTTTTGTTCCGCCATTTTTAAAAACTCAATGTTAACCTTGTGTGCGTAATTAAACAGATCAGATCATCGTGTTTTGTTTGGATTTCTTGCTTTTCTTGTTCGTTTTCTTGAACTATGTTCTTTTGGATTTATGCAGATTTAAACGCTCGGCAGTAAGCTAATTTTTCACTCATGGGAACTGTTGATGCTGCAAACAAGGTAATGAAGAATATGGAATTTATTCTGTTGATCCAATTGTTATTTATTAAAGAACAAAAGAGTTAGACTTTTCATGCATTAGGACGTTGTCAAAATACCTTCCTTTTGGAAAACTGATGCCCTCTCCAACCATCCTTTATCATAGATTCCCATTTTTCACCACCACATCAGCTTATGACATAACCTTCTGACTGCAGGATATCAGTGTTAGCTTGGCCGACAAAAAGCCAATAGTTGGTTTTGTTCTGGGTAAGCCACTCCCTGCTCTTTTATTTTTGTCTGTTAATTGTTGTACATTTAGCTTTTCATCCAGTTAATTCTCTTGTTGTTTGTAAATGCCTACAGACTCTTAAATTTTATTTTTTTTTCGTTGATTGAGCAGGTGGCCCGGGAAGTGGGAAAGGTACCCAGTGTGCAAATATTGTCCAACACTTTCTTTACACCCATCTCAGTGCTGGAGATCTTCTCCGAGCAGAAATTAAGTCTGGTTCTGAAAATGGGTATGACTTTCATGGCTGCAAAAGTTAGACATGCATAGATTTGTAGCTAACTTTAGACATTTGATTTACAGTCTGATCATTATACATGATTCAGATCTGGATTCAGCTTCACTTTAAGAAAACAATTAAACTTTTAGACTTACTGGATTGAGGAAAAACTTGTTTCTAATGATTGATTATCATTGTTATTTCTTGATGTGCCTAGTGCCTAGGTCGTTCCTTTTGAGATCTGATGGATTTTCTAATATAGAATTGTTTTCATTGAAGATTATTGGTTATTTTATCCCCAGCTAGTCAATCATTTAGACCAATAAGCTGTATCCTTGGAAATTTTCTAGGTTTGCCCTCTCTTTGGACATGACATGGAATGGTTTGATAAGCTATTTGCATCCTCTGTTCTGGTTTAATTCTAAGGACATGCGTCTTTGGTTCCTGAATCTGAACTGCATGTTTTCTGTGTTTGTTGCATTCTGACATTGAGTTGGAGGCAGAAGTGGGTGGAGGTTCATGTACTAATCTAGTTGTTTGTACTTTTATTTTCTTCGAGACCAGTTGTTTGTATTTGAACCTTTTTGTATGTAGAGAATTTTTTCTGATTACATCTGAACCATTTTCCCCATGCCACCCCATATCTGCAAGATCATTTTATACAAATTTAACACAGTATTGTCTTCTGATCTGCAGAACCATGATTCAGAATATGATCAAAGAGGGAAAGATCGTTCCTTCTGAGGTCACAATTAAGCTTCTTCAAAAAGCAATGCTTGAAAGTGGTAATGACAAGTTCCTTATTGATGGTTTTCCTCGTAATGAGGAAAACCGTGCAGCATTTGAAGCTGTTGTAAGTTTATCATTCTTTGGTTCCATATTTATTCTTGCAGTTTACATGCCCTTGTTCGTGTCTTTAACCTAGTCTTCGCAGCATCATTCAGTTAGATACTCTAACATGGTGAAAACTTGGTGGTTCTGCAGACTAAAATCGAGCCAGACTTTGTCCTGTTTTTCAATTGCCCTGAAGAAGAGATGGAGAGGCGTCTTCTGAGTAGGAACCAGGTTACTTGATTCTCTCTCTCCTTCTATGGGTCATTTATATGTTTTATATCAGAAGATCTCCTTGTTTCTTTTTGTCTTATGCCATTTTGTGTTGGTTTAATCTTTTTCTTTTCTTTCTAATGAAGGGAAGAGAAGATGATAACATTGAAACGATAAGGAAGCGATTCAAAGTGTTTCTAGAGTCCAGCATTCCTGTGATTGAGTACTATAAGGCCAAGGGGAAGGTTCGAGAGGTAAACTTCTGTTACTGAATTGTTTGGTTATTCTCTAGAGATTGGAATGTTTACTTCAGTTTACCTCAACTTCATATTGTGTTGCTATGACCTTTAGATTGATGCTGCAAAGCCCATTGAAGAGGTGTTTGAGGAAGTTAAAGTTGTGTTCACCCCAAAAGATGAAAAGGTACAGAGTCATAGTTGTATATGTAATCGTACGTTATTACTTTTCTTTGAAGCAGTCGATAGGTGCCCCATTAAAAGAATGTTTTTGTCATAAGAAGAAAAGAGGATAACCGTGTCATTGCCAGATGAACAGCATAGTATTTTCTATATTGTGATGTAAAGCATTAAGAATTTAATTATCATTGGGAGGTAGAGGATAACTATTTGACTGAGCCATTGAGGTGATGTATGGAACCAGAAAAAGAGTAGTACTTGTCCATAGCATGAGTTTTGTATCAAAACATGAAATTCTTACTGAAATATCCAGTGCTACAAGAACTCGAAAAATATTTGTTGCTCAAAATAATATATAGGTCTTGGCAACTGATCTGTGAAAGCTAGGAAAATAAATTCTTAATGTTTTAGGATAGATTTGGGATTACTTAGGAACCCACGAGGGTCATTTGAAGCACTCTCAATACATTAATTTTTGAATAATTAACGAGCAATTATATAACTGCTAAACAACTACAGAGAATAGTTTGATTACACAACATGGCTGGTTCAACGCATAAACCATATTGCTTTGCATGTTCCTCTCGACTGATATATGTGGCATATGCAGGTCACTGCCTAGGCTTTGCAACTCTACCAGCGTTGAAAGAGCAAATTCAGTCAAGGTGACTATCTTTATCCAAATTTCTGAAGTGCTCTATACCAAGCATACATTTTGTCACTGATATCACATTCCTCCGTGCAGGATATGTCACAGTTTGCTGCACATTTCTGTATTCTGATTTGTGAGGTTTTATATCACATAGTATTTGCCATTTTATGCTAGCAGTAGCTGGTTATATAGTTCATAGATACATGATGAGAGGTTGATACCTTCATATTCTTGTTATCGTAACGCTTATGCTGATAATTCACAATAAATTCTCCCATTTCTATAGTTATGATTGACGTGATTCTTATTCTTTTGCATTTTTATTGTTATTAAGTTTGCCTCTGTGAATGCTCTTGATATTTAAAGCTGAAAGAATAATCAAGTAATATATCTCAAATGCAACAGCAACTCGGAAGCTTTTATTGCTACTAAACTTAGAGCAAAACCAGGTATTTGAGGTTTAGTAAAAAATAATCCCAGTCTCCTTAATGGTGTCAAGGAGAATCCCAAGTTTCCCCTGGATTCTCTCATTCTTTTGGGCCTCATAAGACATAGCAAAGACATCAGCTTCCATGGACCTCTCAGCAATTAGCTTCCCTATAACCCTACATGCATTGTCGTCGGTGAGTGATGGTAATGTGTACCTCAGGTCCTTGGCATTTGTGCTGGCAACAGATATCACTTTGCTGGTATTCCTGTGCATCACTTTGGCGTGGATGAATCGCTTTGAAAAAAAGACATTCAGTAAGAAGGGTCTCATGTACATGTCAGTTCTTTGCTTCCATGACTTCCGGTTAGGCCTTTCTGCTACTTCACCTCCGGATCTCCTGGTCCATGCAGCTGAAACAGTAAAATCCTATCAACAGAAAGCAAATTCAAGTTTAGGTATACATTATTCAACAGTACAGGTTGAGAATTATAAGTTGGGTGTTTGATATTAACTTTAAAACAAATTCACTTGCATGTACGGGGTTTCGCTGGAATTTGATTAAGCCTCAGGAAAAGAAAAGAAAGAAAGAAAGAAATGAATAAGGAATATCCTAAATATAAGGAAAACTAAATGCCCGTGATGAAAGAAAGATAGAACAGCAAACCTTGCGGCGGATGGGAGTGGGAGTAGAGAGGTGAAGCTTGGGTAAGGAGGAAGACCATGACACGGAATTGGTTTTGAGGTGCCAACTTGGATGAGTCGACCGGGGAGAAAGCTGGATGGAGGTGGACGAAGACGAATAAATGCTGCAGTCCATCTTAAGATTCTCCACGCTCTCACTCCGTGGCTATTGTGAATGATATTCTCACAAGTCAGAACCCCCCAACGCTCCGGCGAAGGCAAGCCAGCCGAATTACTGGCGGGCAGCAACTCATAAGCAAAAGCAGAAACACTTGGCCAGCTTGAGCTTTATCCTTTGCATTAGGCTTTAGGCATTAGGATTGGGCTGACCTTGTATCCATATTGCACTGATTCTAGAAGCCCAACCTGGATATCTCTCAACCTCGAGGTGGGATTGGATACTGCCAGGACCCGTCGAAAAAGCATTTGCCATCGCCGTCTTGCAAGTTGGTACACCTGTTTTCCTCTCCTTCAAACGAAGCAGTTGAAACCTTATTGATTGGAATTTGGAATCATCGTAGTTTCCACTTTCTGCCAAACCATTGGTTGCTTCAATCCACGTTTACGTTAATCTCCAAGATTGATTGCTTTGCTTATTTATTCACTAATGAAGGTTTAAGAACCCAACTGGCAACCTTTGAAATAAGAACTCCTCATTAAACATCATCTCTCACTACATATTCTTAAAATATCAAGCAGAAAGTGGCAAAGGGTTTGTGAGAAATGAGATTGGATTATTGAAAGGAATATGTTTATGGGGGGATGCCACGTTATTGTTAGGTATAAAGTTGGTTTTAGGTATGCAAGTATACTCTAGTATACTTTACACACGCTTGGACGCCACATACATATCGTCTTGGATAAAAGGTATATTTAATAATGTTATGGGTGGACTTCTCTATCATATGCAGTGTAGAAAAATACAAGTGACTAACAAGGAATCCGACATGAAAACTATTCCTTTCATGTTCTAGAACTGAGAGAAACAGGGGAGAGATCAGGTTTTCCATGAAGCCATTAGTTGCCATGAGAGATCACTTGGAATTCATTACCGAGATTTGCACTTCCTTGGCTACTAGTAGCTGGAAGAACAAAGCCCTTGTACTCACCATCATCTTCTTTGCCATTCGTCTTTGTGCAAAGTTTGTATGGTTCAACAAGGACCGCCTTCCTGTCTTTACCTTCCATTACAATCCCAGCAGAATTGGTGCAGCGCCCACACCCTATTGCTCTGTGTGCCTTTACGAAGCTGAAGATGGCGAGAGGCTCCGGCGGCTGCCCAGATGCAACCACTGCTTCCATGTTGAATGCATCGATACATGGTTCCAGTATCGCCCCACTTGTCCTCTTCGCAGAAATGAGGTTTCCGTTCGCCGGAGACAAAACCAACGCGGTCTTCTCTCTTCCATTATTGTATCAATTTTGCAGAATCTTTTTAGGAAAATGAGTAGTCGTCCTCTCAACTTTACAAGTACCTTGATCTAGGATGGAAATCCAGGTATAGTTTTGAAGATTGCTTTCATTTCTTTTTGGCTCTTAAAGCTCTCCCTCCCTGCCTTAATTAGTTTCCTCAGTGTCCTAAGTCCTAACACATTCTTCTGTAGTGCATTCATTTTATCTGAATTGAAGGATTCGCTGTAATTCAGCAAAACTTTTCTTGGATTGATCCTTGTCTGCTGAAAGTTGAGATAGCAAAACTTATTACCAATATCTTCATGTGAATTAGCTTTGCTTTCTTTGACGGCGGCAAGATGCATAAAAACCTTATCGCATCGTTGAATTCTTTATCCAAAAGTTCCAAGTATTCCAGGAAATTATGATTATGCTACGGTAATTAATGGCCTTTTATGACCTGAGACGGAGAAGGAGGCGGGAGCACTTGAGGCTTAGTTTGTGTTTGGTACCATGTTAGGAATATAACTGTTGAGAATGTAATTGTTGGATATATGATTGTTGAAAATGTGATTATTGTAGTGATTGGAATAATAAGAGAAAGTGATTATAGTAGAACATGTGATTGTTTAGCATTTTATTTGTAATTATTTTATTTAAAATGTAATGTAAATTGATAAAATTATTTTTATGTATAAAAAATATATAAATTAAATAAATTTATAATTTTTAATATAAAATTTAACTTTTCAACTTTAAATAATTAAAATAATAAATTATATTATTAAAAAAATATATAATATTTATATATTAATTATTTAAATATTAAAATATATAAAATTACTAAATATTTATTTTTACCTTAAACTTATAAAAGTTAAAAATAAAAACGTTATTTAAAAAAAATCTATCGATAGATAGAAAATTCTATTGATAGATCACATAATCTATTAATAAATAGATATCTACTATTAATAATTTGATCATAATCTATTGATAGATGTATTATTTTAAATGTTATTGATACTTTTTTTTCTCTCAGGCACCCAAATGCATTTTCCTCTCAAATCTTCTTAATTCTTTAATAAATTTTTTTCATTTTAAACCGTTTAAATGTTTCTTTTTTAATTTTCTATATCAAAAACATAAATTTTTTTCAAAATATTTATAAATTTTTGAAAATTTAAATTAAGATTTCATAAAATTCAAAGTCTCAATCTCTTCAATTTTTAGATTTAATGATAAAAATTGATCTAAATATGTTAGTGACGGGCTATCCTTTCTACGGACACTAAGAAAAAGGAGAAGAAGGCAAAGTAGGAAGAAAGAGAAAAAGCCAAGAGGCAAGAAAGAAGAAAGCGATGAAGAAGGTATGAAGGAGAGAAAGGGTTATGAGGTTGAGGAACAAAATTTTTTTTTACTTTTCATTTGTTAAGGGAATGTAACTTTCTCTTCGAAACATTTCCTTCTCTCATTATAATAATATTATTAAAAAATTATTATTTTTATCCTCAAAACATCAATGAAATACTACAGTGTGATTCTTTGCATTTTAATTATAAAGAATGCCCGTCATTTCCCATCTATCAAACACCCCCTTACTGTGAGGCTCTGGCCAAGGGATGGGTCATGGGTTTAAGAAAGTGAATTGACAATGGTTCAAGTTGGTTGACGACTGTAACCCTACCAACCCATTAATGTTAGTGGGAAGTGGGAAGCCGTAGCCACAATCTTAAGGAGAATAATTAGCACAATTTTCTTCATCATCATAATGAGCACGTCTGCCCATCTGTCATCTTTTCTTTTGGTGCATCAGATCCAAAGAGGACTGTTGTATTACCGCTTCAGCGTGCATTGTTGGAACTTGATACCTCCCCCCGTTATTACTATTATATTACGCGCTTTTCAAAAACCAAAAAAAAAAAAATTACTATTATATTACGCTATTGAACTTTATTATTCATGTTTTATACAAGCATCAATGGTAGGTAGCCAAGAGTTTTTCTTCCTTTTGCATTTTTGTTGGGATTTTTTTTTTTGTATTTCGTGTGGTTTGGTTGGCTTGCTCGTCAACCACCCATTTGGAAAACACAAGTCTGCATTGGACGTCAAGGTGCTCTATTTTGTGGTTCACCGGCAAAAACAGTAGTTTGTGGCAGTGCAACTGCTCAGCCTTCATGCTGAAAGTACTGATGACCCTCAAATGTCACGCATACGATCATAATCCTGATGATAATTGGATCTAGTTATGGTTCATTTTGATATATCTATATACGGAAAGTATCAGTTAATAGCTTCAATATTCATATATAGGAGATTTGAGGATTTCGATTAAGCCGTGTTGAAAACTATCTTACCACATATAGATATACTTCTCCTTCAATGTTGCACTTCATCCTTCAAAGGTATAAATATGTAACAGTGCTATTACAAAAGTAGATAGTAAGTTAAAAGCAACCTTAAATGATTGTTTAGCCATCCCACCAAGGAAATTGAAAGGAATGATCAGTCTCGCCATTATATTTAGTGTTTAGTCGCTTCTAAGCAATAAGCTAAGAATAGTTGGTTGATCTTACCGTGTCGTAATTAATATATTACACATGCATCCACCGTGTCATTTTAGGCCCCGTTCAGCATGTGCTGATTGTGGTGCAATTGACACCTTTAGGGGCCAATCCTGCAGCACCATGCTCGTTGGTGGGGTGTCCAGTGGCGTGGCTGAAGGGGTCCATTAACGGCCCAAAATACAAGGGGAAAAAGATTTCCTCTTGCAACGTTTTCCACGTGGACCAAAATACAGTTCAAATATATGAGCTTGATTCATGGTTTGAATTCTATCAACTCCAATTTGCTGTTGAGAGTAGTGTTCCCGAATTGATTTGTCATTTATTTGAAATTACTAATACGTACTATCTGGAAGCATGGAGTCTACAGTTGGATGTGGACTCCCATGATTCCTGGATACCAAAATGCTTACTGCATAGCTAACCACAGCTCAATATGCTAAAGACCATAAAATATACAGAGATTGCCAATTATTCTAGAATTTTTGATTGAGTTGGGACCCTCAAAGGCTGAAATCCATGCTTGACACTTGCTTCCCAAACTTTCTCAATGTTTGACATGGTGTAACCACATTCATGCTCCTCCCATCCTTCTAGTGCATGCACAATTCCAGCTATGCGCCATACACTCATCACCCTCCTTGGTAGCCAGTTCTTTCACATTCAAATGGCAGCATTGTTATCAACAAAATTTTAACTTCAGAATTTTGGAATGAGAAACAATAATGAATTAATATGGGAAATGGAGAATGTGCAGGGCCAACCTCACAAGAATCCACATTCTCAAGGGACATGGGAGTCTGCATTGCTGGTGTGGTGTGATAGAAGCAGTCTTTGCGCAATTTCTTTGGTGGGAATTGCGAAAAGGGAATAAATAGTGTTCCTTTGGTTGCATTCCTTTGTTCTTCTTCACTCAAATCATCTCCAACTAACCATGTCTGCGCAACGTACTAATTCTATCAAAAACTTGTTTGCCATTCCGCTATTTTAACTTGTATTGGCTTGCAGTGAGAGTTAAGAAATTTAGTGTTAACGGCCTTACCTTGTAAAAGTAACCCTTTGAGATAACCAAATTACCCTCAGATTTGGTGCCAAGTGACTTATTAAGCTTCTCATATTCATCCTCACGCAATACAGCGACCTACAGTAATTCAAATCATGTGAGAACATTTACTAGAAATAAGAAAATGAGAAACTGTCAGAAAACAATGCATTATTAGAGTTAGAGCTTCCAATGTTGTTAGGCAGATGAAAAAAGGGGCAAAAAGTTTGGCATAGCTGACAATATGCATTGTTGGCACTAGGAGAAAGTTGGCCTTTTGGGGGCTTCCTCATAATGAGCAACAGCATGCAATGGGATGTCCTCCCACCTGGATGCCCTTCTGGCATAGGGCAAATGCAACAGCATAAGCAACTTTACTTAGGTTGCTCCTCAGGAGTACTTGGGTTGTTCCCGTTGGTATGCTGTTTAGCACAACTGCCACTGCCAAGCTACTCCCATCGACCAATTTCACTTTACGCTGGGGATGCTTGTGCACGTACAGCTCGCCATACCTGTTGAGCTCTTCAACCTGCAAATTTTATCATCAAATGTTTTTTGTTAGACAAGTTTAAGCTCCTTTTTCTTCTTATGTAAATGTCCCGCCAGCTGCTTATGGGAGAAGGGGGAAAATAACTTGCCTGATTCATGAGGCCTAAACTCAACACTCTTGCACCTTTTTCCTCAGCCTCTAATATGGCTTCCTGAATCAGGTTATTGATGGATTCCTTTTGCCATTTCAAGTGGTACTGAAAATTAACAGCAATGTCAACCATAGAGATTGTCCATATAAAATTTTTGGTTGCGCCATTGAGGGAATACTTATAAAGCTCCCTTACCTGTATTTTGTACTTTGGTATGGCCCAGGTCTGTAGTCTGATTTTATCAAAACGACTCCTTTCAACGACAAAAGTGCGACCATAGATCCAGGTAAGTGTCACGAACCACAATGTCAGAGGCCACAGCAGGCACAAATACCAGGCTGATGAGTATGGTTTAGAGGCCAAGGAGGCAAATCCAAGGCGGAGATGATAGATTGACTCAGGCGTGGTTAGGTGCGTTAGATGCACCACGTCGGGTGACTCCTCTTTCCTTTTGAGTGAATTCTCATACAAGGTATCAGAAGACTTGTCCATTGTGCCATAGATGTAATCATAGAATGGCATGAACAGTGCGTAATTGGTTCTGAACTGTGTGTGGTGCAGGGAGTGGTACCTGACCCCAATCGACAAATTCAGTTTTCAACGTCGAGACAAAATACTTTACACCAGGGCTTTTAATTTTACAACCAATGCAAAAAGATGAAGGGGCAAGCTAGCCTAGCTTTCATCTACGGACGCTATTTCTTAAATGAGCAAAAGGTGCCCTTCACATCTGTGGAAACACTAGCTAGCTAGCAATATAAGTCTCTTGTAGGGAATTCAGCTTCTTGTTTTTTGGTGAAAAAACATTTAAGTTGATAGGGATGAAGAAAGCAATATGCTTAGGGCAACATTGAATATGTTGCCTTTCATTTCATTAATGTTTGTATAAATATGTTGCTTTTTATTTTATTAAAAGTTATTATTTTTATAAAAACTTCATTGTAATCTTTAAGTTTAAAAACATAAGCTTACATGGAAAGGGCATGGGAAATGGAAAGAAAAGCGAGTGAGAGATGAGAAACTTGGCAATTGAGCAAGTCGACGATTTGGATGGCAACCAAGTCGACCTGTCCTTTTAACTGAGGCCTGACGTCTAAGGTTATGAATGAAAAGTAAGAAAGTTGTTCAAAATTGCAGGCCAACTGTTAGGTGCCAACCAAGCACGTCTGCTGCCTAATAAATGCTCCCCAACATAAAACATCTCACGTGTCTGTCCATCAACCTGGTTTAGCTGGACTGGAAGAGCTAAGCTCATGAATTACTAGCTGACACCAAGGCCCGCTGCCCCTTCCTCCTTCGGACTTCGGCCTTTCTTTCATTCCTACTCGCTACACTCTACTGAATTGGTTTGGCTATTATAGGTGAGGTGTAATGCATTTACTCGTTGGGTTTTTTCTTACCAGGTACAAGGTTAGGATAGAAATCAAGAGAAGGTTGAGAGACTTACGATGGAGTGTACATGAGGTACTTGAGAGGGGAGAAAACGGAGAAGAGCCAGCTGGGAATGAGCTCGAAATTGCAGTGACCCATGTTGTTCATCAAGTCCACGTAAGTGATGTACCCAGCAATGGCGGCTATGGACGCGGTTCCACTCAACGCAATTGTCAACAATGGAATTGCAAAGAGGGCGAAGTATGCTATGTGCTCTGCGAATGGATGAATCACAGCTGCCAGTGCCCACACGAATACAAATAATCATCATTCTAATTAAATATTCGGTTTAGCCTGTTACTTTCCATTCATTTCTATACAAATCAATGGATGTTTCTGCACCACAATTCACGGGCGCAAAGGTGTTTCATCACCCACCTATAATTTTAGCAATCCGGCCCCAGCAGCTTAGGCAATTAGCTTGTTTCTTATGCTAAATTATATAATTAATATTTAAGGAGAAAGTATTCTGAGTATTGGGCTTGGGGCAAACAAAGCAAACCCTCAGCTAGCCGCAATTTCACATTATCATAGAAGTAAAAATGGTTATCTCATGTTAATTTCCCTTATTTTTATTTTCTTTTTTCTTTTTATAGTGTTCCCCAAGCCGAATGCCTTTTATGCTATTTTTAGTTAGTTAGCCCACGTGATGGCTCTTCGCTTTTGCTCGTTACACCCACTCAAAACTCTATAATGCAATTGCATTGAATACCATAGTGCCTAATCCAACCAAAACCACTATTTGTCAGCAAGATTAATTATGTATTTAATCTGTGTCAACCAAAGTTGTACATCAAGAATTAAAATGAACTAGTTCATATCCTCTTTATCTTTTAAATTTTTTGTCCATGTAGTTGTTGTCAAACAAGAGTAGTACTGCTTATATATGACATTAACATGTGAACTACGATTTCAAACGAGAAAGCGTCACAAAATTCTAAATTAAAGCCTGCATGCATGTGGGATAGTGATAGATATGAAGAAATGGGGATGAATGGAGGTCTTACAAGTGATAGGCTCTGTCACGATGGAGGAATGGTGATGAGAATGGTATCGAGAGTAAAGGAAATGGTGGTGCAGTGCTCTGTGAAGCCAGTAGTAAAGGAACTCCACGGGGCCTGCATGGAGTAACATGGTCAAAATCACACCATCCGTTCTCCAAAGGGGTAAGTGAGAACCTCCAGGAACATACTTGTTCCCCAAGTAAAACAGGATTGCATTGAACAAAATTTGGTCATCCCTGCCAAAGCAAAAATCCTCAGATCAGTGAATTTGCAAATCAAAATAAACCAAGTTTACAATGTACTAATACACAGGGCGTATGCATATATAGGTACTATATCTTCCCCCGTTACATTAGATTTTCCTATATATATATATATATGTATCTGCCCTGTCTGTTTTATTATTTTGCTACTGACCAGTTCCTTTCCCTGTCCACTTGGTCAAACTCAATGCCTTTGTCCACAATCCTGTTGCTGCCTGTGGCAGTCCGATAACGAGAAAGGCTAATCCATATCTGGTTGTGAAACATTCTCCACAACATAAATGGGAATATGGAAAGGTTGGAAAAGTCCCTCTCATTTTCATCTTTAACTATAAAGGAGTATATGCTCTCGGTAATCCATGGAACCAAGATTATGTACTGTAAAAATACATGAAACGACAAAACAAAGCGTTAGTAAGAGGGCAAAGAAGTACACGACTTGCATGCTTTAGTTTGATGTGCATGAAAATGGGGCTGAATGTAGGATGGGAGGAACATCAAAGTAAAGCAGACCTTAAAGCTTCCGAGAGGAGTCCACGGCCAGTCAGTGAGAATTCCTGGCTTAGAAGCCATGCTTAACTACAGTTTCTGGGCAAATTGCTTTGGAGGGGGGAGGGGGGATTTTTATAAGGTTTTGTGTAGGGTGTGTTCAAGCTGTCAAGGGGTGAATCGGATATCTTTTGCAACCAATCACAAATTGACACGTGATGTTCTTTCTCTATCACGATTTATGTCTCCTTGCTAAACTTAGTTTCACGACATGAGAGTTGTGAGAGCAATTAATTCATATGAGGTCACTAGTATGTGAAACATGCCGGGCACTTGGCTATTGTTGATGGCTGTTTTAACTCGTATATTTATTGTTCTCAACTGCATCTGTAGGTGGTCCATTATGTTATATGGATCGGAGGCCAAAGATGTCTTTCAGCTCATCATCATTTTTTGTTTTTATTTTTCTAATTTCGGAATGGCTTAACTGGCCTAACTGTACCCGAAACAGTGGCACCTGCAAGCTCATGCAAAATTGCAATGTTTAGCTTAGGTTCCCTCCTAGCTAGCTACTCCCAGCATACCTTTTTTCTAATTAATTCTACCTTGTGTTGAAGGTTAATATCTATATCTATATATATATATATATATATCATGGATTCACATTGTTTTCCAGGATGTTTAATTAGTTAAAGAGCCTCGACTTAATGCGGTAGAGAAGCCATTTACATGACTCCACCCGGCTTCAAGGGGAACGTCATCTGTGATTCCGCATGCAGGCAGACAGCATGATCTAGTGCAATGTTATAGTTTGAACAGCTAATATTTGTTGTGAATTCTGAAAGGGAAATTAAAGAAGGTCGTTTTCTGTCGTTTTCAAGCTAGAGGTGACGTGAGAACAATAGTTAAGTAACATTTGATACGAGAAAAGTGAGAGCACATTTTTCATAATGTGTCCAATTAAATTACATTGCAGTGTTTGTATTACAACAGACCACTGCAATGTAAGATTGCAATGTAATCACATTACAACCAATGGATGTAATGTGATTGCAATCTAAAATCAATGCAATCACATTGCATTGCACTCTGCAATATTCTTAAAAACATTTTTACCCTTCAATTTTATTATTTTATTAAAAATATTTTATAATGTTATAATTAAAATAAAAATATTAAATAAAATATATAATATAAAAATAAAAAATTAAAATAAAATAAAATATAAAAAATTAAAATTTATATAATATAGGTAAAATAAATTAAAATAAAATATATAATATAAAAAATTATATTAAAGAAATGAAAATAAAATATATAAGATTATAATAATAAATGAATATAAAATATATAACCTTAAAAATATATTTAAGAGATGATATTATATAAAAATGAATAATAAAAAATATAAATATATTAAACTTGTATTTTAATAATTAGAGGTAATTTTGAAAATTAACATTACATTTCCAGCAAAATACTTGTAAATCAAATGCTGTAATGTTATCTTCTATGTTTTTTAATCATTATTTTACTTGTATACCAAATACTGTAATGTTATTTTTTCCTGTAATGACATTGCTTGCAATCACATTACCTGCAATTATATTACCTGTAATCACATTGCATTGTAAAGTACCAAACGCCACCTTAGATCAAGGAGTTACCAAATGTATTCTCCCCTGAGTCATCCTTCACCAAAATAAAATAAAAAAAATAATTATTAAGAATGTAATAACTAGATATATGATTATTAGTAACATAATTATTGGATAAATAATTTTGTGACATTTGATATAACATGAAAAAGTAATGATTATAGAGAATGTGATTGTTGAAAGGATTGCATTATAAAATTTAGTTTAAAAGCATTTTATTTAGACTGTAACGTAAATTTATAAAATTATCTTTTATGTATGAAAATATTAAATTAAATAAATTTATACTTTTTTAATAAAAAATTTTAACTTTTTTACTTTATTTGTAAAATAATAAATAGTAATATAATAAAAATAACATGATATTTAAATATTTAAATATATAAAATTATTAAATATTTAACTTAAAAAGAGTATACTTGTCCAACCCATTCTCATGACTTTCCCTCTTCCATGGGAAAGTCACTTTCGCTCGGGAGTCACATCCCCTCTGGATTTGTAAGTGGCATTTCCAAGTTTTCCTAGTCAGTGTAACATGCACATTAAATCAAAGCGCGGGTGGAGGATAGGTTTCCTTGTCCATGGAGTGGAGTAGCACCTCTTTATTAATTGTTGCAACTTCTCATGCTTTGTCGGTATTTCTTAACCATTTTCAAACACCAATTTCCGTTGTGTTAATGCTACTTCCCAGACATAGTGAAGCATTACCACACGCCCATGCTTGCAATCTCATCAACACTCCATGTGGAAAAATGAATTCTACATATATTACTTAAAACTCGATGTACATACAAATTTTTCATCAAAATTTCTTCACTTGAAAATTATGAAACAAATATAAATATTTGATATGTGAGTGATAATCTCTGAAAATTTCTCTGATTAATTTCTTCACTTCGTTTTCAAGAGTCACGAATTAGACTTGGTCTTGATCTTGGTTTTCAAGAGTTTTCATGACTTGATCTTGATCACGAACGTTGATATCTTCGCTTCAAGGGTCTTCACGACTTGATCTTGATCACGAACACTTGGTCTTCACTTTAAGGGTTTTCACGACTTGATCTTGATCACGAACTTTAATATCTTCGCTTCAAGGGTCTTCACGATACGACTTGATCTTGATCACAAACACTTGGTCTTCTCTTCAAGGGTCTTCACGATACGACTTGATCTTGATCATAAAGAATTTTAATATCTTCTCTTCAAGGGTCTTCACGACATGACTTGATCTTGATCACGAAGAATTTTAATATCTCCTCTTCAAGGGTCTTCACGACTTGATCTTGATCACAAACTTTGATATCTTCGCTTCAAGGGTTTTCACGACTTGATCTTATCACGAACTTTAATATCTTCGCTTCAAGGGTCTTCACGATACGACTTGATCTTGATCATAAAGAATTTTAATATCTTCTCTTCAAGGGTCTTCACGACATGACTTGATCTTGATCACGAAGAATTTTAATATCTCCTCTTCAAGGGTCTTCACGACTTGATCTTGATTCGCTTCAAGGGTCTTCACGACTTGATCTTGATCATGAAGAATTTTAATATCTTCTCTTCAAAGTCTTCACGACTTAATATTGATCACGAACACTTGATCTTCTCTTCAAGGGTCTTCATGACACGACTTGATCTTGATCACGAAGAATTTTAATATTCTCTTCAAGGGTCTTCACGACTTGATATTGATCACGAACACTTGTCTTCGCTCAAGGGTCTTCACGATACGACTTGATCTTGATCATAAAGAATTTTAATATCTTCTCTTCAAGGGTCTTCACGACATGACTTGATCTTGATCAATAAAGAATTTTAATATTTCTCTTCAAGGGTCTTCACGACATGACTTGATCTTGATCACGAAGAATTTTAATATCTCCCTTCAAGGGTCTTCACGACTTGATCTTGATTCGTGCTCAAGGGTCTTCACGACTTGATCTTGATCATGAAGAATTTTAATATCTTCTCTTCAAAGTCTTCACGACTTAATATTGATCACGAACACTTGATCTTCTCTTCAAGGGTCTTCATGACACGACTTGATCTGATCACGTTGTACTTTGTAAACTATATCATACTGTCTAATTCATTAATATTCTCTTCAAGGGTCTTCACGACTTGATATTGATCACGAACACTTGTCTTCGCTTCAAGGGTCTTCACGACTTGATATTGATCACGAACACTTGTCTTCGCTTCAAGGGTCTTCACGACTTGATCTTGATCACGAACACTTGATCTTCGCTTTAAGGGTCTTCACAACTTGATCTTGATCACGAACACTTGTCTTTGCTTCAAGGGTCTTCACAGTGTCTTTACGACTTGATCTTGATCACGATCTTGATCACAAACACTAGTCTTCACTTCAAGGTACTAGTCTTCACTTCAAGGGTCTTCACGACTTGATCTTAATCACGAACTTTGTTGCCACTTGATCTTAACTTCAGAAATCTTTTATTTCTTGATCTCTAAAATGCTCTCAACCTTCGAATACCTCACAATCTTCGAATGCTTCCAAATGAATGAAAATGGCTTAAAGGAGCTCCTATTTATAATGCTAAGTGGGAGACTTTGATGAGAATGTAATCTTTATGAATTATTTCTAAATTATTTTAATTTATTTAGAAATAAATTATGGTGACTCATTGAAAGTCTTATGATTGGTTAAACTTTGAGTCCTTGAATTTTGATTGGCCGAAATTAGGTATTATTTCCAAATTATTTTAATTTATATAGAGATAAATTAAATAATTCAATTTGATTTTTATCTCTAAATTAATATAATTATTAGAGATAATTTAAATGACCAATAATTTTATTTTCTCCAAATAATTTCAAGAGATAAATATATTCCAATAGGTGAATTAGTTCAACTATATGTCTTCAACCAATAAATTAATTATTTTATAATTAATTACATGGTCAAGATATTATTAAATCTACATGGCGGCATGTAATTGGTTGATAATTTTTCTCCTCGTATCATTTGTCAAATATTAATTTAAAACACTAGTCCCAAACTTAATTAAGCCTATCATGTCAAATTAGGCCTAAAGTTGGTACGTCAATTTTGCGAATTAATTAGCCGAATTTATTGCCTTATTAATTAATTAGAGCAAAGCAGATATATCTGTATTTAAGAATTAATTTGGTAACTGCAACTTGAAAGCTTTCAACATGCAATATATATATATATATATATATATATATATATAAATTAATTATATAAAATGTGAGCAATCCATGAATAAAATATCTATTAATTGTCTTCTCACCATTTGCATGACAAATTCAACAGATATATGTAGGCCACTTTGACCACACCATACATAATTATCTACACATGTAATTAACGTACATATATTCTTCACTTTATTTATTATAATAATTTCTAAATTCATTTGTATTCATTTCTCGTATATAGAACAATAATCTCGAAATTACATCTTCATTAATTAATTATACTCTTCATTAATTCTGAGTTGCAGCATATGGGATCTAATTAACCTCCGCAAACCTATGACAATTAAGAGATAGAAATTACTGTATATGCAATGTACAAATTAATTACTATATTAATTGTGAGCACTCATTAAGTTAATTAATTAATTATGAAGGACCCAATTCAATGCAATGCGACAAATGGATGTTTAAGACTACAAAACCAAATATCTAACAGCTACTTTGTTCATCAAATTAAACATTCTAATAATAATAATGTAAAAGAATATAATTAGATAGGGATAGGCATATATATCGCATGTGATAAATATATACCCCAAGTCTACTTTTTATCTAACATTTTTTTGTGTGTGGGGGGGAGGGGGGTTGGGTTGCCTTAATTAAGTACCTAACAATCAAGCAGCCCCAACATATTCTAGGACCATTGATTAAATGTTGGATAATCTGAATAACATCAAATATAGGATAAATAAATAATACAATTTATCACATTTCTTTTTTTTATTATTATTTTCCTCTCAATTAATATTCCAAGGATTAGTGTATATATATATATTCATTGGATTTGGACTGTTTATTTTAGTGTTTGGGATTAATAGCAGAAATTACAATCTGTGGACTCTACTCGACAGCTTCATTTGTGATTTGGGTCAGCTTAGCCCTTAAGTTGTTTATTTGCCCAAGGCCAACAAACTGGGCAGGCACGATTATCGTATCGGCTCATTGACGCCCATACTAGGCCCAGACAAATATTGGCGGGCAATTTGGTTTGGAGGAGGAAATCAAGATCATCCTTGAAATGCTGAAAAACCCTAACTACTCATCGTGGTTAGGATTTTCGTTCCTTGCTCACTCGGATTTTAGTTTCAGCTCAAACGGTGAGTTGATTCTTCTTAAAGTATCCTTCTTTAATGGTTTCCTGTTTCCTTTCTTTTCTTTTCTTTTCTTTTTAAGTGGAAGGGAATAAGAAATGGGATATGTCAATGCTTTGAAAGCTTATCAATTTGGGGGTTCCAAGAAACAGTTGAAAAAACAACTTCATCACGACCTGGCTGGATCTTTCATTTTCTTTTAGCTAATATGAATTGCATTCAATCTTTTGATATTTTCGATTGTCTGCACTTTGACCTCATCTTTCAATTGCCATGTTTAATGTCTTGGATGTGGGTCTTGTTTTGGCAATGTACTTTATCATCTGTTAGTTTGGGATATTGTTACCTGGAAATTTGGTTTAGAACTAGTAGTTTGTTTGGTGCAAGCTGCAAATGGACTATCAAGTGATCTTTCTTTTTTTTTCTAGTATATTTGTAGTGGTTATAGCTTAGTATCCCTGCTTATCTTGGTTGTTCTAGTAGGACGCTTTCAAATGTTCTGTCGTAGGTTGTTGATGCTGCATCCTGCTTTGTATCACTCAATGAAATTGTAGCAGAGTAATTCCTTTTTGTACGCCCAAAATGCAGTTAATTGATCAAACAGGCTGCGCAAGAGCTCTTATAGTTCATTTTGCCTTTGAAATCAAATATTTGACTGTTGGAATTCCCAACTACTTAGGTGTTTCTCATTTGCTTGGTGTGCATGATGGAACAACCTCAGCCATGTTGCAGGGGAGCTGAAGTGTTATTAAATCTCCAACCCACCTCTTCAGTTTGTATTCAATATCACCGGCTCTTTGGTCCTCATGATGATTTGGTTCTCCTTGAGCTTGATGAGAAACTTCTCCCAGATGTCCTGTACCGGAGGTAAGATATAACTTAAATTCAGTATGTAGACTTTCATGTAATCTTTCTAATATTCCAATTTTATTCTTTGAATTCTTCTTCTTCTTCTTCTCTCTCTCTCTTTCTCTCAGGGTAACCTTAAGAGGACAGCCTGATGAAGATGCAGTTCTTTGCACTAAGTCAAAAACCTACTCAGTTAAGTTTGTGGGAACCTCAAATTCTGTGTTCCTGGTACCACATGCAGATTATTCAACATTGTGCAAAAATTCACAAGATTGTGATGGGGAAGATTACAAGCAACAAGTTGGTGCGTCAGTCATCAAAGTTGCACCTGGTAACATGGAGCTTGTTGAGGTTGCTCCCAGACTTGACAAGCTCAAATCAATTATCTCTGAGAATCTTTACAGCTCTGATGAGGCGTTAGCGATGGAGGATTTGGAATTTATGGAGAGAAGTATGAGAAGATTGTATACATGGGATGATCTTACTAACATGGTTCAGGCTAGTGATGATGAATTGAGGACTGGATTAAAGGCTCTTTCAGCTGTGGAGATTGATGGGTATTGGAGAATTGTGGATCAGAAATACATGGACATGATTCTGAGGATGCTTTTGCACAATTCTGTGTTGAATGACTGGTCACTGAACACACTTATTGAAGATGAAGTTGTGAGTGTACTGGAATCAGATGGGTTTCCACGCAAACTTGCCTACCATTGTTTGCATGTCTATGGTAATAGGGTGGAAGAGGTAATGGATAGAGGTGTGTGGAGGATGGATGCAAGAAGAGTATGTGTGCATTTTGCAAGGGAGATCTTGGGGCAAGGGAAGAGGAAGATGGAGAGTTTCATGGAGGAGTGGACACGGAAGCTTCCAGAAGAGATGCAGGCCAGTTTTGAAATGTTGGAAGGCGAAGTGTTGACCGAGAAGCTTGGTGTAGAGACATGGGTTCATGCCTTCAGTGTTTCTTCGTTGCCCTTTACTCCTGCAGAACGTTTTTCCGTCCTCTTCAAAGAACGACCAAAATGGGAGTGGAAGGATTTAGAGCCCTATATCAGGTATTTTGCATTTTGTATCATACATTGATCTGTTTCGTCAAACTCCTTGTCCCAGAAATAATCTACGAAATTGATTTTTTGATTTTTAGGGATCTAAATGTACCGGGTCTTTCCTCAGAAGCTTTGCTTTTGAAGTACACTAGAAGAACTCAGCCAACCATTGATGCAGAACCTGTTTTTAATGCTAGATAGCACAAATATGTTGCTTCAGTACCCTCGAATATCTCAACCAACCATTGATGCAGCATCTGTTTCTAGTGGTAGATAATACAAATATGTAGCCTTGCCATTCGAAGGTGCCATTACTGCCCTTTCGTGCAAACTATGTAAAACGAATTATATTAGAATTGAACTTCCTATTCATTTTTACTTATTGTTTTGATCAAGCACTCCACCGTGGTGCTAGATTCCTGTACCTAGCTTCCTCATTGAGAGAAGTTCATTCTATCCAAGCTTCTTAGGTATATATTTGATCATCTTATTTAAATTTTGGATTACTCTAATATTTTTGAAAGTAATAGAAATGGCCCAGGCACAATTTTGTAGCTACTTGTACGTAATTACTACTAAAACTGATGAGAATCAAGCGCAGCTCCTACAGTCCTAATACCTTTTTTAAAGAAATTTGATCATGAAGAATGCAGCAGATGAAATTAGATTGGGGTTTGGGAGGACGAGGTAAATGCAACTTGATCCACTTTTGGCTTTTGGGACGCGCTATCATTCAACTTAATAAACCTTCCCAGGTCCATGGTTCCGATGTGAGGCAACCAATGCCCCAAAAGCATTCCTACTTTCTGTTGTAATTGTGAAGCATTCCCAGGTGGATCCCTTTCCCACCTGTAACCCTGTTGATAGAAAGCTGTCGTCAGAAGAGTAGGTGGATGGACAAAACGTATTAGTAGCTTGAGGCTTATGAGTATGATCTCAGACCAGTTTTGCTGCCGTGAGAAACGAAAATGAAATGGTTGACCTCAGTCTGACATTGCTTTCACACAGTCTTTTGGGTTTCATTTGCTTTTTGGTGGAAAATGTCATATTTGCGTTTCTTTCCCCTCTTTTCATTTTCAATGATGGGATTGGGGAGGTTTTTATGACTATGAATATGAATATAGTAAATAAAATAATAACTTAACGTCATTCCTTACAGGGCTTTGCTTTAAACCTAAGAAAGAATGCATTGCTCATTTCCTTTTCTTAGTGGAAGGCCCAAAGAGAGAATTGACGTTTCCCGGCAGTGACAGAAAGTGCATGACATATTCAAGTATGGAGAAAAGGATCGTGTCTAGTGGACAATATTGGTCAAAAATCAAAAGAAATGAGCTAGTCTACGACGAGGTTAATCACTGTATAGTCAGACTCAGATAGGTCCAAAATCAAAATATCATGATATTTCGGATTATGCATGGTTTATGGCAGTCATGTGTTTGGTTTGGATACTATTTAGGCATCTTGTTGGCACGTGGTTTATGTGCAAAAGCAAGCTTGCCCTGGAGGAGAGTGGTTGGTGTGGAGGTAGAATTGTAGGTGAAGACTGAACAACAACGTGTTACGGGGATTTGTTTCTGGATTTTTGATTACTATAACACATGGACACAAACAATTTCACGTGAGCTCTGCTTCTCATTCTTTGTGTTTTCTTAATTTCTAAGATTCTTATCTTTTCCGAGTACGGAATGTTTTTTCTGATTATAATGCAAAGATTCAAGCATAAGAAATCTTTTTTAAGGGCAAGAAATGGAGCTACTTGTTTAGTATACTAAGTAGTGTATTTATTGCCATACCTTCCCAACAGCATTTAGCTTTTTGTGCAACCATTATTAACAATGAAACCTATTGCATTAACACAATCACTGTTCCCCAGTCCAGTTTAATAAGTTAGATGACCTTGTTTTACCTCTTAAAGTAGTGGTTCCCAACAGAGCAATCTGCTGGGAGTGAGAGCTTTACCATGAGCTACCTGCTTTGATTAAATTTGTCAGTATTGAAGTTCACGATTTATATTAGTATTATTGTGTTTCTATCAAACAAAACGTAAAGAAATTTGGTTCCATCTGATTGTGATGTGCAGGTCAGATAGTTTCTTTCTGTTGCAAATTAAAGCTTGAGCTACTTTCTGTCGAAGAACCTAACAATCCGCAATAGCAATACCATGCATTTCGAAGTACTCTGTATTTCATGTTCTTGGTTCCTTCTTTTCTGTCCCTCTTACAAAATATAGAACACAGAATCTCTCACCTTTTTGTTTTCTTTTTGCCTTTTCTGATAGAAACTAGGCATCTCAATCTGGTGCTTCTATGAAAAATTCAAGAGAAACTATATTAGCCGTGGACTTGATGTGCTATCCCTTTGTTTTAGAGCGTATTTTTACTGTAATGTTCACTTGATAATGGGTTTACTTTCTAGGAGTGAGTTTCTTGGCAAAGTTGTGTAATGGAGTTGCTGGATTTGTTCGTTACATCAGTGATACCAGTTATAAAAGTACTACTGGTTATTGCTGTTGGCTTACTCCTTGCAACAGAACGTGTTGATCTTTTGGGGGCAGATGCAAGGCGCCATTTGAATAATGTAAGTTCACATTTTATGTGTATAATAATAGCAACATAAGTATGACAAAACAATACCTGAAAATGATTGGGTGTGGGACTTGAAAAGAGGTATGGGAATGAATGTGTATCACTGTTACAGTGATATTGGAGTGCTGCTCCGCCATTCACGGCCATCACCACTTAAAAGGAGATATTAGAAAGCAATTTCATGCTAATGGCAAACAAGTAGGTTCTGCCTGGCTGTGAACAAAAAAGGAAAAGAAAAGTTTCAACCAAGAATGAAGAAAGCAATCTAATCTTATCTTGCCAGGATAAATCCTTATTAGCAACTAGGAATAGTTTATGTAGAAAAAAACATTTAACTAATGAATCATGAGACTTGGCCAGTTACGGACTAGCGAAGTAAGTGACCGATGGTCCCAAGTGTAACTTTGACAGATACTGCAGCGCTGCTACTACCACATTGACCAAAATAAAAGTCACTGATATTTACAGTGCTGCGAAAGAAGAAAATCAAATTTCGCCAGAACAGAGAGGAGATTTGTCAAGTACATTTTATATAGCTGGTGAAGCATTTTTCAATAGTTGTTGCTAACATCTTTCCCTTGCCTAAATGGAGGGATATATTGTATCTATGAGTGTTTATTTTTAAGTTCATTACAAATACTTGTATAGGAAAAGGTCTAATTATAACAAATTCTTATGAGCAGCTGGTGTTTTATGTTTTCTTTCCTGCTCTCATCGGCTGCAGTCTTGCTGATACCATCACTGTTGAGAATTTGGCTACCCTGTGAGTTCATTTATGATCACTTTACTACCTCAACAAACTTGAAGTATATCTTCCTACTCGTTTAATCACTCTATATCATTTTATTTATTGGATGCATGTCTAGGTGGTTTATGCCCGTAAATATCTTTATCTCTTGTATCATTGGTTCAGCACTTGGATGGATACTTGTAAAGATTACAAGAACTCCTCGACACCTACCAGGGTCTTGGAATCGCTTGCTCTTCTGCAGGTAAGATGATTTCTTCAGTCGTTATTTCTTTCATAATGATGCATGGAACGAGGACAAATAGAAAGGAATCATAATGGGTAATAGGTGGCCGATGTGCAGCCTAATGGTAGCCATACCTTACCTCTGAAAAAACGAAACTATAAAACTTCAAGAAGAAGAAATTTGACAAACACAAATCAGGGTCTAGTTGGGCTTTACTAAATTTGACACAGGATATAGAAATTCAATTTACCGTCACTCGTGCAGGAGACTCATGTTGTGTTTTAGTAGTTGTAGGATAAGTATGAAACAGAGCAAGTGAAGATAGTTTTGTTTTAACAGTAGGCTACATTTTTCTGATATGCATTGACTTAGTTTATATACATAGCAAAACTTAACAATTAAGCTTTGAACGGTAGCTAGGCCCAAGAATACATACTAACCATCACATAAGTCATTCACTAGATGCATAACTATCATAGTTTGACAGAAGGCTAGCTGTCTTAATACAAAATGGTCACATACGGTCCTAAGGTTAATAGCATGAACTGATTTGGTTTTCAATGCAAGTCCTATTTCAACAACTCATACTCAATATTTACATTAAGCCTGAGATCGTAGTGTCTTCTTTGACAGGGGAAGAGAAAGCAAAATGAAATAGGTGATAAGTTGGGTACCAGATTGCACATTAGCAAGAACTTGAAATCCCCTTATCTTATGCTGAGCTTGTGTTCCAAGTTTTTCACCACCTGCATCTTTGATTTCCTTCTGCTTCATTGCCCCAAAGTTGAAATTTAAGGCTTGTGTGTTCGATGTGCACAGCAAATGTGAGAAACATGCTTCTTATCATACTTCCAGCACTCTCTGATGAGACAAATAATCCATTTGGAGATTCATCCACCTGTGCTGCGTATGGAGAGGCTTATGCTTCACTTTCTCTAGCGGTATTGCCGATAACTTTTGATCCATGACTGTCCAAAGAAGTGTAGTAATATGACATGTTTGAGGTGAAAGATTAGATGTCACCCAATGCCTGCCCTGATTTCTTGTCTACTGCTTAGTAGAACAGGGGGCATTATGTAGTGCATCTTTTGATTTCTCATCGAGTAACTTTGAATGAATTGTCTTGCTGTCATATTTTTTTTAGGACACATTCCTTTCCCTTAAATAATTTCAAGGCAGCTGTATATCAGTTCTGCACTTTTTAAACTCCTTTAGTTTTTCTTGCGGCTATATATGGTAATGAGCATGTAATTTTGTTGCTAATAATACAGATACAAGCAATATATGTCTGGTCTATTTGGTACTTTATTATGCGGGTGTTTGCAAACTGTGAAGTTGAAGAAATTAAGACAAATGACTGTACAATCACCGTAAAGTCATCTGGAGAAACCACAGAAATACGCTCAGAGACTTGCACAGAACCTTTACTTTCTACAAATGGATGCCCTGGCGACAGCATATATCAAGTTGACTTGCCTCAAATTGGGGATGAGGGGAAAGAGAAGGTTTACTACTCCTCTTTCGCTTTGAATACAATATTCAATTTCTATTACATTTGCCATCCCCTTTCCCCCCCCCCCGTTTTTTCTCAAGAAGCTATAAGGAGATTATTGGTAGCAAATAGCAATGAATATGATCTGAACCATTAGAAACCAGAAGGAATATCTGACTTCCAACTCTGTTCATATGACTAATATTGGAATTAAGAGTTATTCCAACTCCATGCATGATCATCAGTTGTGTCATATATTCTGTTAGTCATTTATTCGTATTCTTTTATAACTTTTTATCCCAGTAATTTGGATTTCTATATTCTTCTGAAGGTAGCCCCTTTAGTCTCTATGAATTCTGTTTACAGGAAGATCTTGTCTAAAGTCTAAACTGGATGTTTTTGGAGTCTAGAACGCGCGCGCGTGTGTGCGTGTGTGTATATATAATATTATATATATATATCGTGGGCCATGTGTCTGTAACACATAATCTTCCTTTACTAATGGCAAGGCAATGTTCTTCTTTGTTTTGGAGAATGGTGGAAGGGATGCTTGAGGTTTTGGCTTTATCGAAATAACATTTTTCTCATGATGGTTTCTTAGATTTCAGCTTTTGGAAAGATGAAGCAATGTTTTATGGCCGTTATTAGAAGCAAGAGCCTGAAGATGATTTTTGCACCATCTACAATTGCAGCGGTATATGCTCATTTCATTTGCCTTGCTTATTTTGTGTGAAAGTCGCATTTCCATGCTGTTAATTAAGGAGAAACTAATTTCCTTCTTCCCTACCTACCTTGTGTAAGTGCTTATTTAGCAAAATGCACTGAAGAAAGAAGCATTTAATTCAGTATAGATAGCAATATCTGTCCAATTCATTTTGTCACTACAGTCATTGGGTTTAGCGATAAACTTTTCTTGAATTTCCTAACAATGGTATTATTGGAAACTGGTCAATACTTCTAACTGGCATTATAAAACCAACATGTGGAGTACTTTTAGTCGACCTATTACCTTGCTCAACAATATGTACATGTAGCTGCTTTGACCTTTGCAAACTTAAAAGACAGATTAGACAAATGATGAAGCCTTGGAAGGGAGAGGAGACAAAAAGATTCTATGTAGTATTACCTAATTTGTCATGGTGGCAATGACTAATGAGTACAGTAACGTATAGAGGTTTTACTTGTCGGTTTTGGCAGGGTGAAATAAAGTGCTGCATTAACCGCTTCTTGTCAGCATTTTGCTCATGCCTCGGAGGAAACTTAAAAGAGTTTGGTGCTTTCTTTTGTAGATTGTTGGGTTTATTATCGGAATAGTCTCTCCACTTCGAAAGGCACTGATTGGTGATAGTGCTCCGCTACATGTCATCTACAGTTCCATAGAATTGATAGGGTGCGTATAAATCCTGACAAATACACTGTTTTGCTCCCAAGGCTTCTATCATTGTCTGTTGGTCCTCTCGGTCTCTCCCTCTATTTGAGTACTCGTGCATGGGCCATACGAGCGTATGCATGCGGGTGGACATATCTGCCTCTCTCTGTGTGTCCATGTTGCCAATGCTCGTTTAATTTACTCCTGGTATACTCATCGAACAATATTGTGTAGCATTGGCTAAGTATTTTAATAACTACAGTATGTAATTTAGACAATATTGTGTAGAGAATAAAGATAGTTGGAACATATATATAGTCTTAATGTGCTCTTTGATGCAGTACATCCGTCAATAATTTGGTTGTTTCTATATTCTTTATCTGATGTGTAGAGAGGCAGGAATCCCTTCCATTACCCTGATAGTGGGAGCAAATCTTCTAAAAGTTAATTTGCTAAGCAGGTTTTATTGAAGCTCTTGTGTACCATAAGGGCATAGCTTCTGTATATATGTCAATTGCTTTTTCTGAATCTGAATAACTGCGAGTCTACCTAACTTACCCCCTCCAGGGTTGAGAGGATCAGGAGTAGGGCCATCTCTTATTGTGGGCATTATCGTGGTAAGGACTATTCTTTTGCCTGCATCTGGCATTCTTGTTGTAAAAGCTGCGAGCTATATAGGTGTGGTGGAGTCAGACTCATTTTATCAGTTCACTCTTCTGCTACAGTATGCCATTCCACCCTCAATGAACATAGGTAAAGATTTAATGATAGTTTTCTTTGCTAGTTCTATGTTGTATAAACCAATATTGAGGCTTAAAAGAGGTGACTTTATCAGATAGATTTTCAAGGGCCTTGGAGATAACAAGTGCTACACAAAGAAAGCCATTGTCATTGTGTGTATGTGTGTGTGAGAAAGTGATGAGATGGCCTAACAATTGTATAAAAAATATAATGGAATTGTTGGTTTATTGATGTTTGGCACAGTAACATATGCAGGTACAATAAGCCAGATGCTAGGAAGCGGTGAGAGTGAATTCTCTGTACTTATGCTTTGGAATTATGTGGTGGCGGCATTCTCTCCCACGCTCTGGACAGCCTTCTACATGTGGCTTGTGACTTAGAGTGCATGGGATCCTCTTGATTGCATTATATATCCACAGAAGTCACAACAGTAGCGTCAGTCAGGCATGGGGAAGCAGCATTCTTTTTCTGGGCAGTCATGAGAAATTGGCTACAAGTAATAATTCCAATAAGGCTTCTACCTACATTTCTTCTCCAGGTGCGGGCTGCCTACCTAGGCCATAGCCTGTTTCTCAGAGTGTTTGTTTTATTGTCTGAAATTGATAGAACCGTTTCCTTTCATGATTTTTTGAAATTAATAAGGTTTGTTGCAGGCAAACTAAGCAATTTTTATTGAGAAAGTCAAAGGTTAAGAAAGATAAAAGTTAAAATTTTTTAAAATTAATATATTAAACTTAATCATTATTAATCAAAAGATTTATAATGAACAATAATTTTATATAACATATAAATAAAAAAAATAAAAAAAAAACTTATAATAACGTTATAGAAAAATTTTATTCGACAATGGTAATATTTTTTTAATATAAACAATTAAATTATTTATAAGAAATTTATTATCCATTTTGTTTCGAAATTTTATATTTCTTAATATAAACGATTAAAAAATTAATGTAATCAATATTTATTATTTTTATTTTATTATATTTAAATTTATAATACTAAATATTAAACTATAATGCATAAAATATAAATAGTTAAATACGATATACATAATTAATAATTTCTTCTTATACTCAAGATAATTTCCTTTCAACTAAATATAAAATGTAAAGCATATTAAAAACATATACTCAAAATAATTTTTTCTTACATAGTTAGGATTTATAAAAATAATATATTAGTGAAATTTTAAACAATAGCTAATAATGCAACATTAGAACTTATGTTTGAAAATTATATATATAATAATTTTTTAATTTTTAAAAATTAAAATCATTAAAAATAAAATCAACATATCAGAAAATAAAAAACTATGACAAGTAAAAGATATAACCTATATAATAAAAAAATATATGGTTGATGATTCATAGAAATTTTAAAAAAAAAATTTATAAAAATTTAAAATTTATGAGTAAATAGAATAGAATTGAAAAAAAAATAAATTAAATCAAAATTTTATTTTTTTATAATTTTACAATATAAAAACAGAAAATTAAAGAAAAAAATATAAATGATGAAATTTAAAAAATTAAAAAAAATTAAAAATTTGAATAAAATTAAATGAAATTTATAAGATTATTTTATTATTTGTTAATTATATTAATTATTTAATAATTTTTTTAAAAAAATTATTAAAAAAATATAATATATAAAAAATTATAAAAATTTTGAAAGGACCATGGGCCATGGCCCCCGTTATAAAGGGACGCTCCGCCCCTGGACTTTGTTGTCACGTGATCAAAACTCCGACGGAAAGGTTAATAAAGGGTTTGGAAAATAGAACGACTTTAATCTATACCATACAATTCGTCTCATTGCCTTTCCAAGTGACCAAGATTAAAGAACAAACAAGAGATAGATAGCCTAGGGGATGTTTGGTTTGGGTTTGTTGTAATGGGCCGGACCAATATCAATTCCAATTCAACACAAAAATAACTGCTTTGGCGGGAAATGTTTGTGGTTGTCCCACCCCTATACACCTCTCTCTCACCATGCGGCTGCCTGCGCGGCCTGAGTTGGAAAGCTTGCTTATGCCTATCAACCCAAAATGCCTCCCAGAAGAAAGCTTAACTCTTCTTCCTCCTCCAAGAAACCCAACGTTTCAATTCAACAATCTCAACCGTCCAAGTTTGGCATCCAACATTTCTTCGAACGTCATACTCAAAACGCCCTTGTAGCTACCCACAACCACCCATCTTCTCCTCCCAACGCCCTCCTTTCAGCGACCCCTAAGTCTCCTATCCCTGACCATAACCCTTTATCCTCTCCCAACTCCAATGCAGCTGCTTTGCCTTTACCACTTGACGCCGCTAGCAACGCTGTCGTTTCTCATTCTGCATCGCAAAACCCTAAAATCGATTCTGATTCCTCTGCCGATAAGCCACCTGCCATCGATGTTAATGTTGAGGTGTCGCCTTCAGCCTCCAAGTCTACGTCTCTGAAGCGCTTCAATTTTTCCCCTGGAATGGTAAACAAATTCTCAGCATTTTTTCCCTCCTTTTTCCATTTCTTTCTTCGTAGTCTATTAAACTAACGGGCAGAATTGGAATTGTAGTTGATAAAGCAGAGCCAAGATGATGGAGGGGATGTGGTGACATGGAAGATATCTCCGGTCAACGAACGGCTTCAAGCACTCTCAAAGCACATGCCTGTATTGGCTGATTCCTCGAAGCACGACTCTTTCAGCATAAACCAACGCTCCCAAAACAAGGCATGTTTTTTTTTTTTTTGTTTTTATCAAATGCCTTTTTTTTTTTGGTTTAATTAATAACAAATCAATGCACTGCACTTTGCAGGGTCTAAATATGTCTGCTAAGGTTGACAAGTGGCTTTCTTCGCCTTCGCCCAAAGCTGATAAAAAATCTTTGGTTTCAGACAACAGGGTTGGGTTAAAAAGAGCGAACCCATTTCAGGATACAGAGGTCAGTGAGAGAATTGCTGATGAGAAAACTTCTTTAGCAAGTAGACAGAGTCCATTCCGCACTCCACCATCCCTACCATATTGTCCTGATAAGGTAATTAGTAGTAATTGGTTTCATGGTAACCCTTTTCTTTATTTATTTTTTCCTGTTTCCTCTTTGGTTTTCGACCAAAACTAGTCCTCTTCAAATGGAAAGTGACTGAAGGTCATACTACCTCCATTTGTTTTTTAATTTTCTTAGAAATGGTGGTTCTGTAATATGTCTTCTCTCTGACTTACGCCTTAACTGAAATGCAGCTTACTAATGGTATTACATCTGACCAGTTGGGTTTGAGGCAGCACAAAAAGGTTTCACTTTAAAATGCTTTCTCAATGTTCATATCTTTATCTTAACATACTTCCATACCTTGCTTTCACATCTGATTGTTATATAACAAAAATGGAAGTTTTCTTACTGCTACATTTTAGGTATACATTATGTTGTTGCATAGATTATCAAAAAAGTTTCCGCACTACTTAAATTACCTATTCCTTTTTACCTTTAGCATTCAATTATCTTCCTGTTTTTATTGTTGTTCATCTTCGTTTGTCTATTTCTCTCATAGGCATTGCTTGAACTTCTAGATCAAGTAGAAGATGTCATTTCTGTTGAGGATTTTGTTTCCAGTGAATCAGAGCCATATTCATCTGACGCCCAAGATGGACAGCCCAACGAAATGCCTGTAATAGCTGATTCAATAGTAAAAAGAGCTGGAATGGGCCCACCACACAAAGTCAGTGAAACATATTCTAAATGTTTTTTCCTAGTGTTGGAGGTATGCCTTTTTTTTCCTTCTTTTTTCTTTTTAAGTAATCTTTTTTGAAGGAAACAATGTGTTCTTGGATACTGATATTTTTGCAAATATATCTCTGCTGAAGGTATCTGAAAAGCGAACTTTTTCTGAGTCTGTTGGTTTACAATGCCCATATAAGGTTTTTACTATGCCATAATTACAAACCACTTAATGCTTCATTGGACTGTGAAGGGGATTATTAACATTGCTTCTCAGGTTCTTCGCTTGGTAAATGAGAAATGTGGGGAAGAGCGTGCCGTTTATTTGTGGGAAGAGTGGTATGTAGTTCAATGATTGTGCTATCAACTATTCAATAATTTTGACGTTATTTCAAAATCAGTTTACTTTCAATAATTTCTCAATATTTACCTGAGAAGCGTTCAGAAATGCACTTTTCAGATCACGTCCACTTTCTTTTACAGCTTTATCAATAGAATTGTTGAATAAAACTTTGATGTAGATGTAATAAGGCTAGAGAGTGCTAGGGCTGTCCTAATGTTCAATAACGTCAAGTGGCTGCTCTACATGCTTATTGACCCATCTCTAGTGGCATTTTGCATGGTTCTCCATCAGTGTTTTTGCTATAACGGTCGTATGCTCTTGATCTTCTGATGGACACTTTTAAAGAATTTTTGGTTCTGGCTTTCACATTCATTGATTGGTTGCGACTGGTAAGGTTATGTTCTCACTTTTCCTTAAAACAATTACCTCAGGTCTTATACTGTTGTTGCCCCAGGAGACACTGTGACTGTCATTGGTGAATTTGATGATGAGGGAAAGTGTAATGTTGATCATGAAAATAATTTTCTTATTCTTCATCCAGATATTCTGGTCTCTGGAACTCGCGTAAGTGTCCTCCACTTATTCAAATTTTAATTTTATGCGTTTTCATGTGACATGTTTTCTTATGGATTTTGTAATCATGGCTGCACTCAGCCACCCTTATTATATTAATTTTGGTTGAGTAAATGCTTGTGGGTATTTAAAACCAAATTTTTTCTTTCCTAATAAATCAAAAACAATTTAGGTTGCAGCTAGTTTCAGTTGCCCAAGGCGAACTGTCCTAGATGAGAGATTACGATGCAATGAGCATTCATCTGCAGCTCTTATTGGCACCTTGCTCCACCAAATTTTTCAGGTCTTGTGATAGGAAAAGCTATCATATTATCTTATTAAATTGTTCAATTCTTCATATTAATTTCCCCCTATCAATAACTAGCTTTTAGATTTTATCTATAGGCATTTCACTTTTCTTTCATTTTGCAGGCAGGACTTGTGAAGGAGGCCCCTACAATACACTTTTTGGAAGAATATGCAAGAATAGTGTTACAGAAGAACATGGAGAGCTTGTATGCATGTGGAGGTGGAGATTTATATAAATGTTCCTTTGCCATTTTCCAATTTCTCGCTGGCAAGATCATCTAGGTTCATCAGTCCATCGGACTTGTAAAATCTTACCCACATGCTGTGAAGTTTTTGACAATGTTTGAATGACATCTTAGCAGTAGATCTTATGGATCATTATCTGAATCCTGATTGCTTTTTTTGTTTAATGCTTAATTGCAGTAAATGAAAATGAAATATATAAAACCTTGACCGAAGCTATTCCAAAACTAGTAAATTGGATTGTCCTCTTCAAGGATTCAGAGGTAAGCTGATATTTTCTCCTTATTGTTACTTGTTTCTTGTTAATTACCTTGTGTTCTTCTACATACCTAGTCATATAGGCTTTGAGGATCCTGCATCTAAATGCACAAGCCTGAAGATCTGACTCTGCCCCAGTGGCAAGTTTTAGCATGTGTGGTGGCTTGGAGGTGGGGGAATGGGCAGGTGAGTGGATGTGGAAGCCTGGCTTCATCATCATGTGGGTCAGTGAACTCCTGGTTGAGGGGTGGCTGGGGTGATCATAAGGTGCAATATATATGTCACAGATACACTTCTCTTTGTTGGAGGTTGATGTACTAGGCACCTTAGAATTTAAGAGACAGTTGCGTCCTGTAATTAACTATATAAAATCTCTTTGTATGCATATCAGATGATTACTGTATGATAACTGTCTATTCTTGAGTAAATTTAACTTTTGGCAGGACCCAAAAGTCCCCACTGTAGATTTTGGATCTGATAATGGGCCAAAAAAGGTTAATATTTTAGAGGTTAGCATCTCCTTCAGCCTTTCTTGTGCATGATTCCTATAAATTATGTGCATCCTTGCATTGACTATTTTCGGATATCCATGCTCTTGGATATTGTCAATATTTAGATGGGAATCATATCTAGGTATTCATGCATTCGCACTACAATATCCTGAAAACTTTCCAGGATTCAAAATATGGTCACAACTCATTGTTGAAGATTTTTTTCTTCTTTGGCTTCTCTTTAGTTGCACTCTCTGAGTCCAACTCTCCTAGATTTTTTCATTTATACTAAATCTGAACTCATAAAATGAAATGATATTGTTTGGTCATTATAAGTTTTCATGTGAAGAAGTAAGTATTTTTATATGTATTGATTTCATTCTAATTGTAGGTGATTGATATTGAGGAAATGGCATGGGCCCCAAAGTATGGTTTGAAAGGAATGATCGATGTTTCAGTTAGAGTGAAGGTTGAGTCAGGTGGAAAAGAAGACAACGAGAAGATTATGCCTCTAGAGTTTAAAACTGGAAAAATGCCTAATGGCCAGGCAAGTAATAAAAGGAAGCAATTATATTGGGATCATATCTTGAAACATGCACATGGCATTTTCCAAACCACTTTCTCGACCTCATTGTCCTTGACCTATCCTTGTCATTTATGCAGTCATCTATGGAACACTGTGCCCAAGTGATCTTGTACACTCTCCTTATGTCTGAGAGGTATTTACATCTTATTCCTTTTACTTTTCCTTTTACCTCTGTGTGTTTTGGGAGCAGCAGTGGTGAGGGGTTGTTGTTGCTGAGTAATGATTCCTTTCTTCACTTTTTACTTGTCTTGTTTTTAGGTACCTAAAATGTATTGATTCTGGCCTTCTATACTATCTCCAGTCAGATCAGACACAAGTAAGTAAGCTACCTTCTGTCCTCTGTGGATCTCTATTTTCAAGGCCACTAAGCATCTGTTGATGGTTTGTGTAGGGAATCGTAGTTCGAAGATCTGACTTGGTTGGGTTAATCATGCGTCGCAATGAGCTTGCAAATGATATTCTTAAGGCGTTAACAACACAACAATTGCCCCCAATGTTACAGGTATGCCTGTTACTGAATTATCAAAACCATATGGTGGTAGAGAAGTTTTTACTGGATACTCAACAGAAATTCTACTAATATTGTTATCCTAGATTCCAAGCATGTGCAAAGGCTGTCGCCATCTTGATGTTTGTACCATCTATCATAAGGTAAATTTACTATCCCTATAAGGTAGATTCCTGTTCTTTTGTGGCTATCCTGTCAAAATATTGCACATGAGGAAGTCAAATTCCTCAGAGAAAGTGTAAGCGAGATTTTCATTCATGGTTCTATGAGCTGCAGTGCCTTACTCTGAGTATCAAGTTGTTTTAATTATTGGCCATTTTGTTTAATTGCTGCAGGCACTTGGTGGTGACACAGAGAGTAGTGGATTAGGTGATGTATTTGATGCGCATGTACATCATTTTTCAAATGCTCATGGTGTTTTCCTCAGACATTGGGATCGGTTGATTGACCTAGAAGCTAAAGAGATGCAGGTGATTTGATTACTCCAAAGCAGCACGGATAATAAATTGATCAAGCTTTTCATCTTGAACAATTTTTTTTCACTATTCCAGCTTGTAAAGAAAGATCTCTGGCATTCTTGTAATCTGAAGAGTGAGGACTCTACTGGTTGCCTTTCTTCTCTTGTTCTTGATGAACTTCCACATCAGAAATCTCACAAAGAAAATAGATTCATCTATCATTTTGTGTGTCGACATTCACCTGCTTCCGATCTAAATGGATCTGATAGAAATCCTATTAGTGCTGCCTCTTCTCTGACCAAAGATTTGGATTGCACACTTAAAAGTGGAGATTATGTGGTATGATTACTCATCTAACAAGCCTTTAGATCACAGAAACGCAGATGAATGCTACTGCTCATTTGGCACAAAGTGAACATTAAGATTTTTTTTTGTTAAGCAGTGCTTATTAAGATTTAATTACTATTTGCATTAAGGTTTCTCTTTAATGTGCTTCCAAGATGTTACAAAAATTATTTCTCTTTCAGATTTTTCCAATTAAATATCTCATCACATTAATAATCCATTTTCATCTTTATTTACGCTATAATTCCAACTTACAGAATAAATATTGAGGTATTTCTTGCATTTCTTCTGCTTGATCATTCCTATCTTAATGTATCTTTTAGCTGTTCAGCCTTTAAGTTGTATGCCTTAAAATCTTGCAATGAATCTAAAAATGATTGTTATTTATCTGCAATGCATCATGTTTGCGTTTTCTGGGAGGTTGTATAGTTTTAATTTTCTATTGTATGTTCTTGTTGCCTCTGATTCCATGAAAATCTGAAACACTATCCACACTCTTCTGCTAGACTTTGGTTCTTTGACTAGAGCTTGTTAAGAAACTTCTTGAACCATTCCTTCTTTTTCATAATACTGGTGATGAGCAGTTCCTTTCATAAATTTTGTTTTTCATGATGTTGCATCCAAATTCTCATTGCTAACAATATTTATTTGTTATTTGATTTCTGGTTGTTAGATACTTAGCATGGAATCTGGCCATCAAATTGTTGCAAGTGGGGTCATTGTGGAAGTCAGTCCTGTCCGTGTTTCTGTAAGCTTAAAGTTTCCTGTGCTACTACTATGGAATTGGATTATTAGCAGTAACATCATCTACTAGATGTCATAGGATGCATGCTAAAGTGGCTCAGAAATTAACGTTAACCATCCTTAAACAATCAGATTCAAACAGGTCTAACGCTTTTAGATTGTCTTGCTTTGGTGGAAGTCAGGTTTCTTTTTCTAAGTGTTTAAGGCTACCTGGTGGTAATTCGTCGTCAATGACGGAGAAACTATTTCAGGAGGTCTGGCGGATTGACAAGGATGAAGTCATGACCTCATTTTCCATTATGCGGTAATTTCTGCATTATAGTTAAATTTTAACCATTTTTATTAATTTCTACTATTCTCTTGTGGCATCTGGACTGTCAAGAGATAAGAAATATACTTTGTTTATGTTCATTATGTTTCCTTGTTATCATTGAAGGTTCAACCTTATTCAAATTTTTCTACAAAATGAGCAAAGTTCTCATCTCAGGAAGATGATTGTTGACCTTGCGGTGAATGCTTCTTGTTCTCTCATATTGTTTTCTATATAGCTTTATGCATAATGTAATGTTTTTTTTTTTAATTTTATTTATATTTCTATGTATGTTGTGTTGCCTACTGCAGGCTCCTAGATTTGACAGCGGATGCATATTCAGCCAAGATCCAGCAATATCTTATGTGTGGTCAGAGAAGAGCTTAAATGATGATCAGCGTAGAGCTATTCTCAAGGTTTCCACTTCCTGGTTAACAAGACTTTTTGCCAATTTTATCTCTCAAAAAGAAACATTCCCAGTTGACCTAACATTTTCTGAAGAAAATGCATTGTTACTTATTCTGCAAATCCATTTTTCCTTTTTCAGATACTTACAGCAAAGGATTATGCTCTAATTCTAGGAATGCCTGGAACGGGCAAGACATCTACAATGGTCCATGCTGTAAAAGCCTTGTTGATGAGAGGTGCATCCATTTTGCTTACATCCTACACAAACTCCGCAGTTGATAATTTACTCATCAAATTAAAATCTCAGGTCATCTTTATTCTCAAATTGTCTTGTTATGTTTCAAGGTGTTAGCTATCTTGCATATTTGTTTCAATTTATTGGTGCACGCATTTCCACCATGCAGAACTCAAGTTGCAAAATCAATATGGGTATAGCATAGCTATACAAGATGGTGAAATGGGTAAGTTAGCATATTAGGTGTGTCCGCATGTAAGAAAAATGGTTTTGGAGGAAGAAAATTGCTATGACTCCTAGAAAACAGATTTGATAACAGGGATTGTACAAACACATTCATACATATATGCATTTTTTTTCTTTGTGTAAGAGTGATTAAGGTACTTTTTCATGCATATATCACGTTGAAGTTGTAGGAAATATTCTATTCCTCGGTGTTTAAATTGAGTCATCTCCTATCTTATTATTTCCTTTTTCATTTACATTGCCATTTAAAAAGTCTCAAAATAGGATTTCATTTTGTAAGCATTGCAATGTGATGCTTGACATTATTGCTACTTCTCCAAGATTTTTCTAGACATTAACTCCTCTTGCCATCCAATTCTACTGTTGTCACTGAAGGCTAATTAGGTGGACCAACTTTGGATGTCACATATGATGAGTCAGCAAATTTTCTGAGTTATTTCTCTTTTTTTGCCTTATTGAAATTTTAAAAAAAATGCAGAGCATTGATTTTGTACGCATTGGAAGACATGAATCTGTGCATAAGGAAATTAAGGGGCATTGTTTTTCAGGTAGGAGAGTATATCATTAACAATTTACAATCAGCATGTTACTTGATATTTGCTTCATGTGATAAGTTGTTTCTGACAGGAATGAACCTAAGTAGCGTTGAAGAAATTAACGTGAAATTTGACAAAGTCAAAGTTGTTGCTGTCACTTGCTTGGGCATCACTAGTCCCTTCCTCTCTGGAAAGAAATTTGATGTATGCATTATAGATGAAGCTGGACAGACAACTCTCCCGGTCTGTATTACTTCAAGTTTATGCATTTTGATAATCTAACATTCATGATTTCTGTATGGTGAAAGTGCAATTATGCATTTAAATTATGAATCATGTTCACTGATACTATATCTAGATTGTAGACCTCTAGAATTTGAGAGAAAGGGGCAAGAAAAGTAAAGAATGAAGTTAGAAACAAAAGTCTTTAGTTGATATTTTTGAACAAAAAAAAGGCAGGTGAAACTGGGATGAAAAAGCACAAAAGAAAGGCTAAATTAATTGACAATAATCCTAAAGGCTAAATTAATTGACAATAATCCTAAAGTTACATGCTGAGGAATCTATTTTTTGAGCTTTGCTGTCCAGCAAAGTATACCCAGTGCACATTTTAATATTTGATTATGCAAGGATGTTGTCATGTTGTTTAGGATATTTTGTACATGCGGAAAGTCAAATGTTTTGTTAATTTCCTGCTCAGTTAATGAAATATTTATGGCCCTATCAGGTATCACTGGGACCGTTGATGTTTGCTTCTACATTTGTGCTAGTTGGCGATCACTACCAATTGCCTCCCCTGGTTCAGGCATGTATGCATGCATCATTAGTTCTAGCTATTTAACTTACGTGGCAGGACCTGAAGCTCTTTAACATTGTAATGCTGATTGATTTCCAGAGTGCAGAGGCTCGAGAGAATGGAATGGGAATAAGTTTGTTTTGCATACTATCAGAAGCACATCCACAAGCAATTTCACCACTACAAAGCCAGGTTTCCTCTAGAGACAACCAAAATTTATATATTTCACCAAAATTTATATATTTCACCAAAATTTATATATTTCAATTCTTTCTTTTGTCACTTTTCTATTGCATGAATTTATGAAATTATTTTTCTATAGTATCGTATGTGTGAATGCATTATGGAGCTTTCAAATGCATTGATATATGGAGATCGATTGCGTTGTGGGTCCCCTGAAGTAGCTAATGCCAAACTCAAATTTTCAAGACCAAACGCTTCTTGTTCATCTTGGCTAAAAGCTGTAAGAGTGATTTCTCAATCTTCTTGTTTGTGATACTTAAATTAGCATTTTCCTTTCAAACCTTATTTAGATAAGATATTTAAAACTTACACTTAGTCATGGTTGCAGGTTCTAAATCCAGGCAGCCCAGTCATTTTTGTTAACACAGGTTTGAAAATTATTATCTTTTATATATGGTATGTTGTATACTTGTATGTCTTGAACTCTTACCACAGTGTTTTCCATGACTTAGATCTGTTGCCTGCTTTTGAGGCTAGAGACCATAAAACTGTGAATAATCCAATGGAAGCTTATATAATTGCAGAGGTAAGATCCTCATTTGACTCTGACATGCTTTTCCGCAATTCTTGTGCTGTTGATGTGACCAGTATGCAACTTTATGCAAGACATCTACTTCTTTTATGTATAACATAGATAACGGATGGATTAGTTAACAATGGAATTGAAGCACAAGATATTGGCATCATTACCCCTTATAACTCTCAGGCGAATCTCATCAGACATGCTTGCATAGCATCTGTGGAGACGCATACTATTGACAAATACCAGGTTAGGCTAAAAGCCTTTTTTCTCTTTTCTGTGTTATTCTTCATCTTCTCGAGCATGGAATTGCATGAAAAGTTTCTATGGAATAACTAGTGTGTCATTCCCTGTTGTAATTTACCATAATACAGGGAAGAGACAAGGACTGCATACTGGTGTCCTTTGCTAGGTCTAATGAGAATCCTAGAAAATGCTCTTCTTCACTGCTGGCAGACTGGCATAGGATTAATGTTGCTCTAACACGAGCCAAGGTAGGTTTTATCACACTTTTCTGAGTTAAATTCATCTGTTAATACAGCATTGTGGAAGAAAGAGTTGGTTATAATGCCTGTTTGAGAGTTGTTTCATTTTTGTATGGATTTCTTTGATTTTAACATTTGAAATCATAAATAAGCTCAAAGTAAACTTATTCCGTATTAGTTTATTAGATGATTAAATATGACATGAATGCTTTTTATAGTAATTTTAACCAAAATTAGAATATATAATTTGTTTTATCAAACAGTTTTAACTTATTATTTTTCTTGGTAATAGCTTTTAAGTTAAAAAAAATTAAGCTAAATAGGCTCATAGACATATCTAAATTATGGTTTATGATTCACTGTACTGTGCAGAAAAAGTTGATCATGGTGGGGTCGTGCAGAACCCTATCGAAGGTTCCAATGCTTAAGCTTCTTATTGACAAAGTTGATGAGCAATCAGGTGTTATGAAAATGTCGAAGAAGGATATCAACCACAAAGCGGTACTTAAGAGATGCTCTCAGATAAGATAATTGTAAAATTGGCCCCTTCCGATGGGAATTTTGTTCATATGTATATTTGAAAGGTGTATTTCAAATTATATTTTGATCGTATCATGCTACAGATATTGACATTTTATACATGATAATGATGATGATGATATGTAAAACAGTACCAGAAGTGAGCATCTCATTTGATTAGTTTTTGTGCTTAGTGGTCCGTATAGGGTTACTTTAAATATGCATGGATTATGGATATTCTTTAATGGGCTGCCCAGATCAACCTTGGAAGCCTATATTGTTTGGGACTTGGACCCAAATGGCCTTGTAATTCCACATTTTACTCGGCCTCAATGTTCTATGAAGGGTTAGTTAAGTACATTAGCATTGGGCCTATAATGGGTTGTTTTAATCAAAGCAATCTTTTAAGCCCACTTTAGTTTGATTTAAAGTTACATTTGATGTCTTACAATGTAACTTTACTAATATGATTATAAATAATATGATTGTAAAAAATTATGAATATTAGTAATATAATATTATAATTTTTGATATATTAAAAAAATATGATTAAAACGTTAAAAAGATAATATTACAGTATTTAATTTGTAAGTATTTTGTTGAAAATATTAGATTAATTTTCAAAATGATCACTATGTATTAAAATGACAGTTTAATATATGTATAATTTTTTATTTTAAATTTTTTATATGATGTTATCTCTTAAATAAACTTTCCAACAAATAACTAAAAGTAGATTTTTATATAAAAAACAGTAAAAGTTGTTTAGTCTTAAAGTTTACTTTTTTTACGGTAAATAAATTATAAAAAATTTAAATACTTTTGATGTATGCTAGGAACTCAAAAGTGTTTTAAGACTTTTTCATATCATAAGGTTTATCTTGCCTTTATTTTTCTGTTCTTATCTTGTTTTTTCTTATGTGTTAAGATGATTGGCAACAAGTTTTGTAGATAGATTTTGTAAATGTCTCTTCTTTAAGAAAACAACTCTTTCATTAAAAGGTATTTTTATGTCTAAAATATACCTTTGCATGTTACAAGACATAATTTTTGGTTAAAAGCCTTGTTTCAATAATAACTTTATGAAAGGTGGTGTTTTTCAATTGTATTGGATTTAGATATGTTTTTTCAAATATCACTTTATCAAATTATATAACTTTTCACCTGAAAGAGCACTCACAGTCCAATAATCACATAATGTAATATAAGCTTTCAGTTGAATTACCTTTCCAATGGTTACTTTGTCAATAGACAACTTTTTACATTGAAAAGGTAAGACTTTTTTTTTTTTTCACTTTGAAATACATAATTTTTTTTTATTTTAAAAATATATGAATGTGATCTTAATGAAAATATCATAAATTTGAACAGATGAAATTATGATACTTAGTTCATCCAGGATGTTAATACGATGTGATTTAAGCTTGACAAGTTGCCGAGCCAACAATAATTAAGTAGACTCAAGGTAGTTGCATATGATATGGATGGTTGAATTTCAGTCAATTAGCTGCGTGTCAAGAATAGAGGGGGAGGTAGACACATGGTTTTGATTTTGAGGGAAGACAATTAATATGACCTTTTGCTGTCCTTATGAACAGTCATACATGTCTGTATTAATGTAGTGAAAATGAGACGTATTGGGAGGGATGGAATTCATATTGTTTAATAATGGGATGAGTCGCATATTGAAAAAGCAGGCACGCCTCTGTCAGAGAATAGTTCCACAAGACAACTAAAATAAGTCATCTATCATTCTGTAAAGTTAAGTTTAGTTAAATTTAGCAGACAGTGCCTAGTGCCTGCCTCAATATATAGTGCATAAAATAAAACAAGCATGCGTCCATATGCCTACCCACGAAATGTTGAATTCCCTAGCTTTGCATTTATGTTTTGTTTATAAGTATAGTATTAATTAAGTGTTGGTGTGGCTCTAATTAAGAAAAATACTTTAATTTGTTCATGCTCATGGATTAAATTATTCTTCACATATGGTCATTAATTTCGGCACAACATATATATAATCATTCTCATTGCTAATTTCTTAATTATTATTAATTAGCTATCCTAAATTTCCTAGCTAAGAAACCTTTTATTAATTAATTAATAGTAAATAGTTTCAAAGTAGATTTAATGTACTCTTTCCCCATAATTATATGCAGAGCCGACAAGGACAAGTGGAGCTCACTCCACTTTAAATGTTGTGAAAGGTAGATGGCGTCAGGTGTGTTTCAGTCTTTACAATAAGAATATTTGAGGCCATAATTTTAGGTAAGACTCGCGGTAACATGAGGATTAGGATTGAAGAGGCTTGCCTTGATATATATCAATTATGTATGCAGTGGCTGCGGCTGTGGCTGTCCCTGTGCCGGCCGGTAAACATCCCATCCATCTTGGCTAGTTGGTTCACATCAATTTTATTAATGCATCATAATTAATCACTCTTGCATCACAAGATCAAGATCGAGGCATGAAATAAAGAATATCCCTTGCTAAGCCTAAGACTCCTAGTTCCATTTGACATCCACTAACACCAAGTCTTTCATTCCACCTGAAACAAGAGAATATATATAGACGTAAAACAAAGGCTCAAAATTGAAATACAACTCAAGTTAATTGGAGCACAACTAGTGGATTACCAATTCATGGTGTGATTTAAATTCCCTATAATTGTATCTTATCCCAAAATGACAAAACAAGACTGCTGATTTCCAAGGATTCTCCACCATGAAAAAGGTAACGCAAATAATTGAAGCACCCATCTTATTCACTCCTAGTGGGGGGCTCGCTTCGGCTTTAGTCTACTTTTTTGTTTGAGACGAATCACTCAGCGACCCATGCTTCTCTCACATGCTGTCCAATCCTTGCGATCAAGTCACTAGAAAACATCAGCATGAGTTTAACCAACCAGCCAAAGAACCGCCGTCGCCAAGCTATCGCGTGATATCCCCACATTAATTACATAAACAAATGAAATTTCCCCTTGTTCACTTGCACAAATATATATATATATATATATATATATATATATATATATATATACACACACACACACGCGCGCGCGCGCGTTCTTGTGCTCTCCGAATCTTTAATTTAGTCTCTCCCCATTTTACTACATCTTCTTTGTCGACACCTCAAACTCAATATCATCTCTTAGACAAAGCATGCATTAACCTGCTCCTTCAACCCTCTCATCCTGCGCTCACACCATGGAATTCATTTATCAGATACAAAGCTCAAGGGCCACTTTGAAGGTTATGGACGTGTTCACTTCATTCATTGCAGCAAGTAAGTCCCTATGTATATTTCGTCACTTTTCCTTCATTTCTTCTTACTCCTTAGAGATATATATATATATATATATATATATATTTATAGTTGCATGGAGGCATGCGCAGATTCATGCACTCCAACACAAATTAAGATTAAAACTTATCTTAATAATTTGCATCCAATAATCATTGGCCTTAATACCCAAACTTAGTTGTGATGTTATCACGGTCGAAGCCAGGACATGAATTTTAGGCCGCCATGCACCATGGTTTTCCTGATTTGAGTTTCTAGGTTTTTTCTTCTTATTATTGATGGATTACTGAAATGCCTATGCGTAATATTGGCTGTGTCTTGTTGGACTTGGTTAGATTACTTCATTCTTTGCAAAATGAAAATTTTGTTTTGCCCTCTTAGCTCAAACTTATTCTCCATATTGACTGTCTTTCTCTAGTGGTTTCCGCGCTTTTTCGCTACTCCCTTTAATGTACCTGGAAAAAGACAAAACAAAAAAGAAACTAGAGTATTAATGCACATTGAAGAAGTAGTAGTGCCTTGTTAATTATAAACTGTTTAGTGGCAATATTAGAATATATCAACACACGTCTTCCTGGATGACAAACTAAAACTTATTTGTAAGTTGTTTATGAGCCCACAACCACAACCACATCAAACGCCCATTCACCCTTTTCCCGGCTTTTATTTTCCGTACTGCATTTCTTTTCCCTAAGAAAGGATGGGACAGATAAAAACGTTTCCACTGAATGGATTATACGTACACTAATTTTCAAAAAAAAAAAAAATACAGACGTACGCTACACTGCATGAATATTTACAAGAATAATAGATCATTACGAATTGTCCTCAATATTCACCGGAATAGCAAGTGGCAAAGTCATATGATGGGCTTTCAAAACACATCGTCATGCTAGAGGCAGCAATATGGACTTATTTGCCATCATATTTACAAGCAATAGCTAGCCTCTACTAAAACATTGCTTAACCTGGCGCTATTTTCTGATGCCTGACAGACTTGAAGTTTCTTCAGTTCCCAGTGCCATGGATGCAGCTAAAATCACCTTGTTTCTGGGAGGAGGTCAGCGTAATTATGCAATTTGGCTTCATTGTAATCACATTTCTTCATTTTGTTCAAAAAGGTGTGGCTCTGATGTGCAAACACAGCAGGAAGGTTGCAAATCAAGCGCCAAGAAATTACCCCATTAGTGCAAAAGTCGGCTCTTGTTATAGAGCCAGTATAGTGTGCTCCACTTTAATGCTGAGCATTCATTTCATAAAGCTACTGATGCTGCTAAATAGTATGAATGACACCCATTGCAACTCCATGCTTCAAGCTTATTCATCAGAGATCATGCAACTGATGTCATGGGCAGCAACATTAATTGCAGTATGCAAGATTCCAAACAGAAAGCACATTAGATTTCCTTGGATTCTAAGAGCATGGTGGATTTGCAGCTTCTTGTTGTCCATTATCTGCACAGTTCTTGATACCTACTCAAGAACTGCAGAACATGGCCATCTTAAAATGCGAGATTATGCAGACTTTATTGGTCTCCTGGCATCCTTTCTCTTGCTGGTTATATCAATCCGCGGGAAGACAGGTCTAGTCTTTATTGACTCCAACAACATTGCTGGGCCACTTCTCACAGGAAAAACTGATAAACATTCAAAACAGGAAAGGGAATCCCCATATGGAAGAGCAACTCTTCTTCAACTCATTACCTTTTCTTGGCTCAATCCATTGTTCTCTGTAGGGGTCAAGAAACCCCTAGAACAGGATGAGATCCCAGATGTTGATGTTAAGGACTCTGCTGAATTTGTCTCCTTTGCCTTTGACCAGTATCTAAAACAAATTAGGGAGAAAGATGGTGCGGCAAACCCTTCTATATACAAAGCAATATTTCTGTTCATCAGGAAAAAGGCAGCAATTAATGCATTGTTTGCAGTAATAAGTGCAGGAGCATCATATGTTGGTCCATATCTGATTGGTGACTTTGTTAACTTCCTAGCTGAGAAAAAAACCAGGAACTTAGAAAGTGGATACCTTCTTGCACTAGCCTTTCTAGGTGCCAAGATGGTTGAGACAATAGCACAAAGGCAATGGATCTTTGGAGCCCGCCAGTTAGGTCTTCGGCTCAGAGCTGCTCTAATATCTCATATATACAAGAAGGGGCTAGTTTTGTCCAGTCAGTCTCGGCAAAGGCAAACGAGTGGAGAGATCATCAACTATATGAGTGTAGATATCCAAAGAATAACGGACTTCATCTGGTACTTAAATATTATATGGATGTTGCCTATACAAATTTCATTAGCAATCTACATTTTGCACACGAGTCTAGGTTTGGGGTCGTTAGCTGCATTAGCTGCAACTTTAATAGTCATGGCTTGCAACATACCTATCACAAGAATCCAGAAAAGGTACCAATCTAAGATCATGGATGCGAAGGATAACAGGATGAAGGCTACTTCAGAAGTTCTGCGAAACATGAAGACTATAAAACTTCAAGCATGGGACAGCCAGTTCCTCCAGAAGCTAAAGAGTTTGAGGAAGATAGAGTATGAATGGTTATGGAAATCACTAAGATTGGCAGCAATTTCAGCTTTCATTTTCTGGGGATCACCAACGTTTATCTCTGTAGTAACTTTTGGGGCGTGTATGTTGATGGGGATTCAACTCACAGCTGGCAGAGTATTGTCTGCACTGGCTACTTTCCGAATGTTACAAGACCCCATATTCAATTTACCTGATCTACTCTCAGTTATAGCACAGGGGAAAGTTTCCGCAGATAGAGTTGCTTCCTACCTCCAGGAAGAGGAAATACAGCAGGATGCCATTAAGTATGTTCCCAAAGATCAAACAGAGTTTGCAGTTGAAATTGATAATGGAAAATTCAGCTGGGACCCTGAGTCAAGCAACCCTACCCTTGATGGGTTGCAACTAAAAGTGAAGAGAGGGATGAAGGTGGCAATATGTGGGACTGTAGGGTCAGGCAAGTCTAGCTTGCTTTCATGCATTCTAGGAGAAATACAGAAGCTGTCAGGCACCATAAAGATTAGTGGTACAAAGGCTTATGTTCCTCAGTCGCCATGGATATTGACAGGGAATATCAGGGAGAACATTTTGTTTGGGAATCCTTATGACTATAACAAATATGACAGAACAGTTAAAGCATGTGCTTTGACAAAGGACTTGGAGCTATTTTCTTGTGGTGATTTAACAGAGATTGGAGAAAGAGGGATTAATATGAGTGGTGGACAGAAGCAAAGGATACAAATTGCCCGCGCAGTCTACCAGGATGCTGATATATATTTACTTGATGACCCATTCAGTGCCGTGGATGCTCATACAGGCACACAGCTCTTCGAGGTAAATAATGTAGATTCTGACTAGGTGTCCTTGAGGGCGCAGTATACCAGAGAATAAGTTTATATCATGAATCTTAAAAATTATACTTTCCATATTCTTATGGCTACCTTTCTCAACTATTAAAAAACATTTTTAAGACCAGTTATCCTATAACTTGGCAGGATTGCTTGATGGGAATTCTCAAGGACAAGACTACACTTTATGTTACCCACCAAGTTGAGTTTCTGCCTGCAGCGGACATCATTCTGGTAAGCAAGATACTCAAATTTCTCGAGTCATTTCAAAAGAATAAATCCATAGTCCATTGAGAATAATTCACCAGACTTACTGTGTTCTATTTTAATAATACGAATTAATTTTTTTTATCGATTAAAACAATTTAAAGAGGAAAGCAAGGATTGTGCCTAGATTACGTCTAATCATGGTACTTGGAATAACTGAACTTTCAAAAAAATTACTTGTTCTCCATTAGAATTTCAGCTTAAATTTCCAAAACTTGAAGGTTTTGGCACAAAGTTGAAGCGTGTCAACTCTATGTTTCTGCACATATATAGATTATACATTCCTAACTGACATCTATGATCTATCTCAACAGGTGATGCAAAATGGAAGACTTGCACAAGCAGGCACGTTTGAACAGCTTCTAAAGCAAAATATAGGATTTGAAGTTTTAGTTGGTGCCCATAGCAAAGCACTAGAGTCTGTTCTGACAGTTGAAAATTCCAGTAGAACATCTCAAGATCCGCCAACTGATGGTGAATCCAACACAGATTCGACTTCAAACGCCCAACTGCTACAAACGCAGCAAGGCTCAGAGCATAACCTTCCTCTAGAGATAACAGAAAATGGAGGAAAACTTGTGCAGGATGAAGAGAGGGAGAAAGGAAGCATTGGAAAAGAAGTTTACTGGTCCTATTTAACCACTGTGAAAGGTGGACTTCTCATTCCAATAATACTGCTGGCACAGTCATCATTCCAAGTATTACAGATAGCAAGTAACTACTGGATGGCATGGGCTTCTCCTCCTACGAGTGAAACAGAGCCTACGTTTGGAATGAACTTTATATTACTTGTTTATTCACTACTTGCCGTTGGAAGTTCACTCTGTGTCTTGGTGCGAGCCATGGTAGTGGCAGTAGCAGGACTCTGGACAGCACAGAAGCTTTTCATTAACATGCTGCACAGTATTCTCCATGCTCCAATGGCATTTTTTGATTCAACGCCAGCTGGAAGAATCTTAAATCGGGTGAGTGGCATATAGAGCTAAGCAAATTTTCTCTGATCTCAATTACAGAAGTATATAGGTAACAGACACCTGATAGATCATTACCCAATTCATCATAGTTCTTGATGCAAAATGCAAGTTCTCTTTCATTCCCTCCTTCATCCGAATAGCTCATTAGGGGTGAAGCAATTCCTAGCCATTATGTTCAATCCAATTCCCAACACCTCATGGACCACAGCATATGGGAGAAGAAACTTCTACAAAGATGGTGTTATATCGAATGACTCTAATCTCCAAAAGCGATAAGTCTAACTTTTAATTCATAAATGATCAGATCTCTGAGAGGAGAAATGCCTAAAGGTACCAGATACAATAAGATGGCCTGAAAATGTAAAAAAATGGGCAGCTAAATGTCAGTAAATTAGTAATTGCACTTGTACTAAAGGGTAAACTCAACCTTCTATGGGTGTTGGAGCTTAATAGCAACAGATCATTTATTTATTGAAAATTAGCCACAGATCATTTATATATGATTGCATTACGAAGACTCACGGTCTTTAAGTTGTTTTATTGCCAGGCATCTACTGATCAAAGTGTAATAGACTTGGAAATGGCAACCAAATTAGGTTGGTGTGCTTTTTCAATAATACAGATTCTGGGGACCATAGCAGTGATGTCGCAGGTAGCATGGGAAGTGTTTGTCATCTTCATTCCAGTAACTGCAATCTGCATATGGTACCAAGTAAGTGACTGTTCACATTTGTTACTAATCTACCTGGAGATGATTAGATAGGTTTGCCACGCAGAAAGAAAACCAAGTTTGAGTTAGTGTTAATATAGAAAATAGGGTTCCTGTTTATTTGCAATGTTTTTTCTAGGGACAGATTAATTTCGCAGAAAATCAGAAAAATGCTAAAGCAAATGCCATAGTCCATGCAAAAAATCGACTATTGCCAACTGCCCTGAAAAAAGAATAGCTTTACCAATTCATCTTATGCATAACTGTTCCAGCAATATTACATACCAACAGCAAGAGAACTGGCCCGCTTAGCAGGAATACAAAGAGCTCCTATCCTCCACCACTTTGCAGAATCACTAGCTGGTGCAGCAACAATCCGAGCATTTGATCAAGAAAACCGTTTTATTGATGCAAATCTTGGCCTCATTGACAACCATTCGAGGCCATGGTTTCATAATGTCTCAGCAATGGAATGGCTTTCTTTCAGACTAAATCTACTGTCCAATTTTGTATTTGCCTTCTCATTGGTTGTGCTGGTCACGCTCCCCGAAGGAATCATCAATCCAAGTGAGTATGATATGTTCTAATACCCTGTTTACTGTCTGGGAGAATTGATGTTAGTACATAGAATAGATATTCACGCATGATAATGTAGAGATATTTCCCAATTACGTTATTTACAAGTTGCTGAATACTTACGTTGTAACAAGAATTGCATCTTCTATGAAAAAAAGATGAGCAGTGAACTAAAATTAAGCAAATTTTTTCCAACAGGCATCGCAGGACTGGCAGTTACATATGGAATAAACTTGAATGTTTTGCAAGCTTCAGTAATATGGAACATATGCAATGCAGAAAACAAGATGATCTCAGTAGAAAGAATTCTTCAGTACTCAAACTTAGCTAGTGAATCAGCCCTCGAGATTGAAGAGTGCAGACCACCTAACAACTGGCCAGAAGTTGGAACAATTTGCTTCAGAAATTTGCAGGTGCGGTCAGCAGCGTTGTAAAACATAACAAATTTGCCTTACAAATGTTAACAACCGGTTCAATCAAATCTGTTCTGAACTTGTTTCTTAATGAACCTACGTTTACTGCCACTGCAAGTCTTTTCCTCTCAGGCGTCCTAAATCTGCTGGAAAGTGGAGATGCATAGACTAATTTTGTCCGTCTTGCAGATCCGTTATGCTGAGCATCTTCCATCTGTCCTAAAAAATATTAGCTGCACATTTCCAGGAAGAAAGAAAATTGGTGTTGTGGGAAGGACAGGAAGTGGGAAATCAACACTAATACAGGCCATTTTCAGGATTGTTGAGCCCAGAGAAGGGAGCATCATAATAGACAATGTGGATATCAGTAAGATAGGCCTTCATGACTTGAGATCAAGACTTAGCATCATTCCACAGGACCCAACAATGTTTGAGGGAACTGTTCGAGGGAACCTTGACCCTCTAGTGCAGTATTCAGACAATGAAGTATGGGAGGTAACTGATCTTCACAAACATATCCTTAAAGTGAATTATGGAACTAAATATTTTTCTTACCAAGAACCCAGCTTTACTTGAGAGGTAGACAACAGAATATACACAATATATAGAGTGCCCTGCAATCTTTCCTGGGTATCACGATTTGTTAGTAGTACAAAAATAATCATTTAAAATCATAACCATGGACCTAACACCCCAATATTTCAGGCTCTCGATAAATGCCAACTTGGTGAACTAGTGCGTGCAAAGCAAGAAAAGCTGGATGCCACAGGTCAGGTTCATAAACTTGAGCAATAATACATAGTTTGATCGTATTTCGCTGCTAACCTGCTAGCGAAAGCTACTAATTAGAATGTCTCCAACAGTGGTTGAAAATGGGGAAAACTGGAGCGTGGGCCAAAGGCAGTTATTCTGTCTTGGAAGGGCATTGCTAAAGAAAAGCAGCGTTCTTGTACTGGATGAAGCTACAGCATCAGTTGATTCCGCAACTGATGGAGTGATACAGAAGATCATTAGTCAAGAGTTCAAAGATCGGACTGTCGTGACAATAGCTCACAGAATCCACACGGTAATAGACAGCGATCTTGTTTTGGTTCTAAGTGATGGTAAGTATGGATGAACAAATATTTGTCTGCACACAAATTAAGACATGACATAAGCAAAGTAGAATGATTAGAAAAGAAACTGAATCTCTCTTTTGTTAACTGCAGGAAGAATTGCAGAGTTTGACGTGCCTGCAAAGCTATTGGAAAGAGAGGATTCATTCTTCTCTAAGCTTATAAAGGAGTACTCTATGCGTTCAAAGTCCCTCAACAGCTTAGCAAATCTGCACATCTAGATGCTGCATCTGCTTCTGGGAATCATAAAACATTTGAAATTGAATGATGCAAGGGAGACGATATAGTAGCGAATGAATCCCCCTATAAAAGATGCTTGAATGATCATTCTGCATAATAAAGGAGAGAGAAATGAATCCCCCGATCGTAGTAGTATCTGACTATCTATGTTAGTAACTAGTAACGTAGGAAAAGAGGAAGAGTCAAACCGGTAGCCCCCAAGTTATGAAATCGTTATCCTGATATCCTAGGTAGCACCTACGAGACTTTCGAACACTATTTGTGACGGGAGGAGAAGAAGATGTGTCCAAAGCCAAGATTAAATTATTGATGATGTATAAGGTAATCAACTTAGCATTATGGCAAATAAAAAAGATGAACGAGAATTCTTGCCTAGCGTCCCACATTGAAGGATTCTTTCTTTCCTTTTTTTTTTTCCAGTTACTTCGGTCAGCACTGACTAAAAATTGTTGGGAAAAAGAACTTTTAACATGCATTAGTTGATATTCATAACTAATACTCTGACAAAAAGGGTTACTAATACTATGTCATTTGAACATCGACTATAAGGTTGAAGAGAAAGAAAACAAAAAAAAAAAACCATGGGTAAATCACTTTAATCTCATAATTGGTTGAAAGCAAGGAAGGAAAGAGACAGAACCTAACGCCCAATCCAATCCAATCCCATTGCAAGCTTAATCGGAATAATAATTGATCATCATCCTCCATATTGCCATTAGGCAATTTACATTGGAAGTTGTACCTGTTGAGTTCAGGAAGAAGATGAAGAGGAGATTTTAATGCCATCTACTAATACAGCACCGCCACTCAGACTCTGCAGTCACAAGGATATAAAAGAGTAGACGTAGTAAAATTAGGGGAAGTTAATAATAGTGGGGCGGGGCCCGACCTACTAAAGTAAATGTTATTTCCGAGTTGTGGTCGATAGCCAGCGAAGGAGGAAAGCTGCATAATTGAATGTCGATGGCGGTGGCGTCAGAGGCGAGCCTGCTCACAGCTGTCCGATTGGAGAGTTGGAAGTCCAACGGTGGTGTTCCTGCTCCTCCTCGTCTTTCACTCACTAAGCCCACTTGGATCATCAGAACTGAGGCAAAGCTCTTTTCTTTCTCTTTTTGTTTTCCCAGTCTTTCAATTTTCGAATTTCATGGACAACCAAACCAACCACACCAAGCTTATCTTTTTCTGCGGCAAAACAAGATTGTAGTTTTGGGCTCCAAAAGTTTCTAATTTCTCTTTGATTTCTTGAAAAGCAAAAGATATACTATGTTTTAATGTTTCTGCTCATGTTCTTTGTAGTTCTTGTTCAAACCCTCATGTCCATAGTTGATTCTATTATGCTTAAATTTACCGCCAATCAAGAACTTTTCATGCTTGTATTGTAATTCTTGTGCTAAATGCATTAGGGTTTTATAACCATGAGCTATACTTCCAAATTTTTTATAATCGGTAGCAACTGAACTTTGGAACAAAAACAATATAACGGAGTAGCATTTTGCACCAGAACCATAAGGTCCATAACATATCTCATCAGTTTAAAAGGGATTTCGTTCTATCTACAACCTAAATGCCATCAAACTAAAATTTACGTTTCTATGAATTAAGGAAAAATTGGAAGTGATTGGGGTTGTTTCCATTCATTCACTTCTTGTTTGTGCAGTCAAATGTTCGGCGAGAGAGAGTGAAGAAGCCTGATCCACCGTGTGTTGTCTGCCAGGGAAGCGGAAGAGTTGATTGCCAATATTGTTATGGAAGAGGTCTCTCTTCCCTCCTATATGATATCTGGGAACGATTAGCATTAAAACTGCCATTTTAGACTTTCAAAGCTCATTCAGTCTTGATGCCAATCATTGATACAAGAACTTTTTTTTTTTCTTTGGGGTTGGGGGTGGATTATAACTTATAAGGTTTAGGCTTCTTGGATCAATTCTACTTGTTTTTTTTTTCTTGTATCCCCCTTTGGGTAGGCTGAAAATTTTTGCTTTCTACCTTTTTCTGCCACTACTTGCATATGGTTTTTAGCAATATTCAACTGTGGTTATAGCTTATGGTACTGTTGTGTTGTAATATTGTAGGAAGGACAAATCATGTGCATCTAGAGATGCTTCCCAAAGGAGAATGGCCAAAATGGTGAGGTATCAAAATAAACATCATTCCTAAGTAAGCCGCAATATTCACTGGTAGTGGTGTTTGGATCAACTTCTTTTGATCGCTTCTGCAGGTGCAGGACTTGTGGTGGCAGTGGCCTCAGCTACTGCTCCCGATGCCTTGGAACTGGGGAATACAGGTATATAATGGGCTTCCATTTCATGAAGAGAGATAATCACACCCAAGATAACAAGTATCAGATTCAAGGTGACCATGGTTCGCAGAGTGCAGCAGACCGACTGCTTCATCGTGAGCAGAGCAATTCAGATGATGAGATAGAAAGAGCTGGTGGAAACATGGATATAATGGCATGATGAGACTTCCGTACTGAATTTCTCATACCGAAGGTGATTAATCCTAAACATGCATCTGAAATTCCACTTAGATGGGATTAGAACCATAAATTCCAAAAGGTGCAAGTTCTGTATATTCATATTGAGCAAAAGTGTTACAGGCTTCAAGAATTTGGGATAAAACATTTCTAGTATCATAGATGTTAAACAAGTTGATACTCCTTGCAGATTATGATGCAATGAGATTGCGGCCTCTAGGCAGTAAACCTGGTGTGTAGTAAAGACTGTTCCCTCCTCTGCTTACCTTTCTCCGTCCGTCTCTTTAACTGTTGCATCCAAAGGAGAATTATTTCGCTTTTTAGGGTTTTGGTTTGGAGCTGGACATCAGGAAGCAATGGGAAGTCTTGCAAAGTTAAAGACCAAAGTGAGGCTACAATGAAATGAGCCACATGAGTAGGCCGGTTGGAGGAAAGAATTAGTGACGAGACAGTAGCTTTTAGTACAATAAACGAAGACCAAACCTGGGTTTTGGTTTCTGCATCACCATGTCACCGACTGAGAAAGGGCAGGGAACGGGCGGAAAATCCTGTATATGCCTAGGTCTCAGTCTGAGACTTACATATAAAACGAATCAATGTTGATAGAAAATCTTAAGTTACGTTGGATGACACTTGAGCAGTTTGTTTCTTCATCTTTTACTTCTCGACAAGTTTCTAACAAAAATAAATGCATTTTACATTTTTATCCATGTACATTTTTTGCTTACTTCCAAAACTAGAAATAAGTAACAAAAACATTAAGCAATCAGAACTTTAGGTATTTACTAACTGTGGAAAATATAGAGATTGAAAGAAGATAGCTCTGCAAATAAACAGTTAAATACAATGCATGTATTGTAGTAACAGTTACAGTTCAGCAGATGGGATCACATCACCAACTCAACACAAAGGAGTTAAAAGAGTTGAGAGCGGGTTGGGTACACCATTACCAACTATGAAACATATAAAAACAAGCTAAATTTACTCCTAAATTTGTCAACCTCCTATGTCTCCCCTCAAGTTGGGAGAAAAAACCATTTAAGAACCTTTGGTGGATTCATCTCCTGGTATGTCATCCTCATCGTGGTAAATATTCTCTGCCATCTGCCATATTTGAAGAATGTTATCTTCAGCTACACTAGCAATAACCCAATCTTCACATGGGTTCCACGAAAAATCAGAAATTTTACTGGTGTGACCCCCATGAATGAAGAGCAACTCAGGTGGACCGTCTTCAGCATCCTCTGGTGTCTGTTCTTCATCAATCCTGCAAAAGAAGATTCAAATGATTATAATATACAGTATCAATGCCAGAGAGGCCACTGCATCTTGTTGCATAAAAAGAAAATAAGTAGGTAATCCAGTCAATTTTATTGAGACAAAACTAAACATGAAATGTAATGTACAGAGTTCCTTTCTACTTTCTGTTTTTTTCTCTCTTTGCTTAGAAACTATACTGAAGGTTACATTCACTTGGACAACGAATTACAATTTGGTAATAAAGTACTCACCTGCTAAGATCCCACACCATGAGCCTTCTACCAAGACAGCAGGATGCTAAGATTGTCTCATTCTTTGGATTCCACCCAACTTGGAAAACCTCCTCCCTGTTGCACACCATTGCAAAAATAACTTGATGAGACAGAAAAACACTTGCTGATGGGTTATAAACATATATATCTCCAAGAATTGCACCAATGCATTAAGTATCCAAAAAGAGAGAAAATAAGAATATTTCACAAATCCACAATAGTAACAATAATACGTCTGGGGTAGAATTTCTTACTTGTGGCTATCAAAGGTGTGGAGTGCCGTACTGATCTTGCGGAGATCAAATAACTTAACCGTCTTATCCGTAGAACCCGTGGCCACAACCCACTCATTAAAGGGATTGAAAGCTAAGCAGTTAACCTGATAACATGAAAATAATAACATTTAACTACAGAAGGTATACAAACTTGCCATATAATATTGAAAATTAGCAACTTACTAGCATTTTCAATCAACAAAAGCCAAATTATTGGAGCATGTATAAATTCAATTCATTACTCTATTTGAATTATGACCAAGCAAGCAGCAGCAATTGAAGCCAGAACAGAATTGTACTAAAATAGCACCGATAAATGAGGCAACAAGCTAAAGTAATATTCAACCTAACTAAACAGAAAGAAAAGAATTCAGCGAATGCACAATTGTTTAGTGAAAACAGTTGAATTTTCTTTACATAAATTACATACATAGAATTTAAAAGAAGATAAATTTGATTGATAGGCACCTCACTCTGGTGAGCAACTACGGACTGGATAGGCTTGGTGACAGATGGGGTTCGCAGGTCCCAAATAAGTAGGTATTGGTCATCCCCAACGGAACCAAATAAATACTCATGTCTGAGATGCCAGGCAACGTCTTCAACGACGCCCTCGTGGACCTTGAAGATCTGCGTAGCATCAAGAGACTTGTTCTTGGCAGTGGCGTTGATGTCCCATAAACAAATCTGAGCATCATCAGACCCACTAAGCAAATGGCCTTGCTTGAACTTACTCCAGGACAGCCCATACCCCTCAGTGCTATGGCCCCGAAGCCTCAAATCAGGACTGCATGCCCCATCCAAAGGTGGCTTGGACGGATGCTTGCTGTAGTCGAACACAAAAACCTCAGCGCTGACGGTCTTGGTGGCTATAATAAAAGGATTCTGGGGCATATAACGAGCCCTATTGACCTCCCCTTCGTGATTGATCTGCTGAATAATTTGGACCTTGCCGCTGGCGCATCCGAAGCCACCGAGATCGGAGCGGTCGTGGTCGTAGTGGCGAGCGTCGTTCTCAGAGTCCTGGAGGGGGAGCTGGACCTGGGCCAGCATGAGGTAATTGGGCTCGTTTTCAGAGGTGTGGGTGCCCAAGATCATTTTTTGAACGGAGTAGTCCTTGCCGGGAGGCTCGTCGCGGTCGGGAAGCCATTCGACGGTGAGAGAGGGCCACTCGAGGGCGTGGGTAATGACCAGATCGTAGAGGAAAGGAGTGTTCTTTTTCCAAATCTTGTACTCTTCGTTGATCAGCCTCTCCTCAATCTCTCCACGCATTTCCTCCTCGTCCTTTCCCATTATTTCTCAATTAATTGCGTCAGGGAATTCTAGGGTTCTTATCTTTTGGGTTCCCACTTGCAACTTCCCGCCAAGGGGTTTGATTTGGGAGCCAAACTAAGAGAGAGAATTCCTGAAACCCTAGCCTGGCAGGTTTTTATACTAGTCCTAATAATTATACTTGTTTTATACCATACCTGATAGATTACCTGCTTCCTCGTGCCTTTACTTAACTTTACTCTAGGGTTTTTCTTTCTTTATTTCGGAGTTGGATTTATTTTATTATTATTTGGCCAATGCCCTTCCTAAAAAAGTTACAATATGAAAACATATTAATTAATCTAATTTATCCCTTAAGATAAAAGGCATGTTCCATGTGCGGAATAGATGAGAAGAGAATGGGTACAAAGATGAAGCAATACTCCATTGGATGGCTATTTCTGTTAGAAAGGACTAGGGGAGGCCATTGCTATTGCAGTGGCTCCTAGTCGTAGAGTAGAGAGGTAATTATATTGTCAACGGAGTTGCAGCAGGTTTTCACAATCCTTTACTATTAACGTTATAAAAGTCAATCATTTTTATTACCCCCTATTCCGCAACTGATGGAGTGATACAGAAGATCATTAGTCAAGAGTTCAAAGATCGGACTGTCGTGACAATAGCTCACAGAATCCACACGGTAATAGACAGCGATCTTGTTTTGGTTCTAAGTGATGGTAAGTATGGATGAACAAATATTTGTCTGCACACAAATTAAGACATGACATAAGCAAAGTAGAATGATTAGAAAAGAAACTGAATCTCTCTTTTGTTAACTGCAGGAAGAATTGCAGAGTTTGACACGCCTGCAAAGCTATTGGAAAGAGAGGATTCATTCTTCTCTAAGCTTATAAAGGAGTACTCTATGCGTTCAAAGTCCCTCAACAGCTTAGCAAATCTGCACATCTAGATGCAGCATCTGCTTCTGGGAATCATAAAACATTTGAAATTGAATGATGCAAGGGAGACGATATAGTAGCGAATGAATCCCCCTATAAAAGATGCTTGAATGATCATTCTGCATAATAAAGGAGAGAGAAATGAATCCCCCGATCGTAGTAGTATCTGACTATCTATGTTAGTAACTAGTAACGTAGGAAAAGAGGAAGAGTCAAACCGGTAGCCCCCAAGTTATGAAATCGTTATCCTGATATCCTAGGTAGCACCTACGAGACTTTCGAACACTATTTGTGATGGGAGGAGAAGAAGATGTGTCCAAAGCCAAGATTAAATTATTGATGATGTATAAGGTAATCAACTTAGCATTATGGCAAATAAAAAAGATGAACGAGAATTCTTGCATAGCGTCCCACATTGAAGGATTCTTTCTTTCCTTAACTTTACTCTAGGGTTTTTCTTTCTTTATTTCCGAGTTGGATTTATTTTATTATTATTTGGCCAATGCCCTTCCTAAAAAAGTTACAATATGAAAACATATTAATTAATCTAATTTATCCCTTAAGATAAAAGGCATGTTCCATGTGCGGAATAGATGAGAAGAGAATGGGTACAAAGATGAAGCAATACTCCATTGGATGGCTATTTCTGTTAGAAAGGACTAGGGGAGGCCATTGCTATTGCAGTGGCTCCTAGTCGTAGAGTAGAGAGGTAATTATATTGTCAACGGAGTTGCAGCAGGTTTTCACAATCCTTTACTATTAACGTTATAAAAGTCAATCATTTTTATTACCCCCTTTTTTAAACCAAATTGAACTATTTACAAAAACATAACAAGGAAAAGGAAATAAGAATCATGAGATCCCACAAAATGAAATGGAAAAAACACACTCCTTGCTCCAAATGACCAAGTGTGGATCAAAAGAGACTACCCCTCTGCACCAGATACACAACACAATGATTCCCAGGCAACTCTCATCAAGTTGAGAAATCAATCAATGCCCAATGTTGAATAGGGTTCGAACCCTCCCTGCCAATCACAATGAGATCAAATTAATCAACTCTCCACACTCCACATTGCCCAAACTAGATAAAAATCAGAATTAAAAACCCCTGATTAGGTGACATCTATGAAAGATCATAACTTTCTAAGAATCCCTCTGCCTATCTTTAGAAATATAATCTATGATGCAGCCGATCCCGGAAACATAAATGCATCAAAGCTCATAAAGAACATAAAAAAAAAAAAACATATTTGCAACAAATCAACACCTCATGAACTAAGGCAGAGATGAAATAATCTCATTTTTCTACTTTCGTAGAAAGAACAAATTTAATTGTCGATCATTATTAAAATGATTCACTCACAGAGCAGTCATCATGAACACGCCATATCGTCTCTCCCAGAAGGTTTGCCACAGAGAGAACTGTCAACTGAGGAAAATAGTTCTGCTCAGACACTGGTATGGTGTTTGTTATGATTACTTCTTGGAAAAGACCACTTGACAACCTCTCTATTGCTGGAGGACTGTGTAACCATACAAACAAACGGATGAGCATGATGAGCATTTAATAGTACCATTGGATATAGCAGTCTTTATCAAAGACATACATACAACAGAATGCAGTAAAACAGCGACTTATGACTTCATCTAAAAGGCTTTTGCAATGAGTACAAAAAAGCAACCAATATCACCCTCTGTGGAGAGCATATAGGTACTTGTGATCTCCAACAGTCAGTCGGATTTCATTGTGATAAATGCATGCGAAGGAACTCAGAATGGAAGTCATTCAGTGCTTTTAACAGCCTGGTGCCAGATTTATTCCAGACACTCAGTTAGACTTCTATTACTGTCAAAAAAGATCATCACTTCTTTTACCATTTGGTTGCTTAAGCATCAATTGCCTTCATAGCATTTCAAACAAAGCTCATTAATAAATCGCAAACTTTAACAGTTTTGAGGGGAACTAACTTCCTAAAATAGCTACAAGAACATTCAGGATAAACTCAAACTTTTAAGATATGTGGAAACCCCTGCACAAGGTGAAATTGCTCAAATATGTAATTAAAACGAAACAACTTCTGCTGACCAGATTTTCACACTATGCAATAAAACTACCAGGCATCCATGAGCCATTAACAATCCAGATACCTAAAGACGGCATGCGTACTGCATGCATACACTTCCCGTGCCCCTTCTTGATGCAATAGAGCTGCACCTTTAGCAATAGTCCCTGTGAAGCCCACAACCCAATAATTAACATTTACTAAGGAATCAATAACTACCATTCACATGTTAACACTAGATAAAGCAGAAAATATTATATAGCATGGCCGATATATCCTGATTCTAGCACACAACAAATTATCATCTGAATCACATTTTTCCCAAAGGATAAAGAGATAATACATAACTCACCAGCCGTGTCAATCATGTCATCCACCATAACTGCTACCTTTCCTTTCACATCACCAATTAAATTCATCACCTACAAGATAATAGTTGTAAGTCGAGTTCAAATTGAGAATACATAGTATTACTTTACAGATGAAAACAGGTGATGAGAAAGAGTGGAAGAAATAAAAGGATCAAGCATGAGAATGAAATAGACATTGGAATAGAAGAGTGTTATTTAATCAGTTTTAAATAATTTTTCCACGTACATAGCCAGTGCACAGCCACTACATTACATGATTTCAATTGGTTAATATCTATCATCTATTGAAATGATATTAACCTGCCTTACACCCTCTATATTGCTCTCTACTCCATTTCCTTTGAGTTCATGATTATTCACATTTCTATCCATCACGTTCTTTTCACCCCAAACATTGAAATCTTGATCAATCAAGACATATTCAAAAAAGAGAAACGATACCCTGTCCTATACAAATAGGAAGCACAACACCACACCCAAAATGAAGTAGATCTCACCTCTGCAACATTATGCCCATGGCGCCTTTTATCAACAATTGCAAGAGGTGCATCAGATAATTTTTTGGCAAAAGCACGAGCTCTGGCAACACCACCAACATCTGGTGAGACTACCACCAAATCATCGGAACATATTGTCTTGCTAGCAAGATAATCAAGAATCACAGGCTGGCATTGCAGACAGAAATATTCATAATGAGCAAAAAGTTTATATAGCAAATGTTGCTGACACAGAATAGACCAGCATGCAAGAGGAGCTGATAGAGCATGGATAAAGCTTTTGCAGCAACAACTCATAAGTTAATGTCAAAAACAAAATATGAATATAAAGCAACTGATGATGGGAAGATTATATTTTAAGCTTTTCTTAAGTACTAAAGTAATTTGAAATAAATTCTAATTCAGATTTTTTTTTTTTCGAAAAGGAATTCTAATTCAGATTCTTGTACCATACTCCAATATTTGTACTTCATGCTTATATGTAATATAGATTTATTACCTCTAAAAACAAAATATTGAAGGGATATATATAAGGTAATTACCTGACCATAAACATGATCCACAGGGATATCAAAGTAACCCATGGATTGCCCAGAATGAAGATCACAAGCAAGAACACGGTTTGCACCAGCTTCAGTAATCAAATTTGCTACGAGTTTGGCAGCAATAGATTCACGCCCTTGGGTCTGGAAGAACAGTGGACAAACGTAACCATTCAAGCAATATTTATGTGTTCAACGAAGAGCGCATGTGCAGAATATAGTTATTATTATAGCTGTCCCTTTGCCATATTTAAGACTTCAAAAGCTTCATACTTGGCAACGGTATCCTTTCTTTTCTTTTTAGCTTTTCTAAATCCAGCGACTTCATGGTTTTAATGGATATTTGGAAATTCTAAAAAGCCAACGTTTTGAACCTGAAGAACCAAATTCCAAGGGAAATAATTCAACTAAATCCATTTCATACCTCAATTAGCTTGTTTGGATGAATATAAATCAAGAGAATTAGATTAACTTCCCTTGCTTAGAACAATACAAAACGACATAGATTCAACGTTTTTAAGCCAAAAATAAAGAGAATTTTATCACATGAATGAAATGATTCCAACTAATGGAATTAACAATACTTCAACTGGATATTTGGTACTAAATTCCATTTGATCAAGCATTCCAGAAGTATTGAAAGCAAGCAAAAGATTGCAGCAGAATTCTAATAATTGTGCATAGTTGGGGAAGAGATACCTTTCTATCAGCCCTGGCATAGCCAAAATAGGGAATGACAGCAGTAATATTCTTAGCAGAAGCCCTTCGACAAGCATCAACCATAATGAGAAGCTCCATAAGATTCTCATTGGCAGGAGGACAAGTGGGTTGCACCAGGTACACGTCACACCCTCTTACACTCTCTTGCAACTGAACATAAATCTCACCATCAGCAAAACGCTTTATCTTGATTTTCCCAAGCTCCAGACCCATATAGCACGCGATTTCCTATCCAATACAGAAATAGAAATATCAAAAATTACATAAACATAAATAGGTTATAGATTTAAGATAGCCGAACAATCTGAAAGAAAGTTGTTTAAAAGTATATTATCATATAGCAGAACAAAATCAAAACCTGAGCTAGAGCAGCGTTAGCAGTGCCAGAAAATATACGGAGCCTTGTGTCGTTTTTGTTGATAGAGCTTTCCAAATGGGAATTTGAAGACAAAAAGGTGGGCAATGCAGGGTCTGTGGTGAGGAGAGGAAAGAAAGGCTTTCCATTGTCGAACTTCAACGGCTCGACCACATTACATCTCTAAAACACCGCAAACAAAAAGCCCAGGATTTAGCTTAGCGGGATATTCATAACAAATTCAAAAAAGAAAAAGGTTTTGAATTAACAGCAAATAAAAGAAAAAGGGAACTCACGAAGCGGTGTCGGAGAGGGAAGAGAGGGTGAGTCTTGAAGAGAGTAGCGGGAGAGAGTGATGAAGTGGAAGAGCAGAGCAGAGATGAGGCCATGCATTCAACCTGGTTTCTGGTCTTTTTTTAGGGTTTCAGACGCTCTTCTCCATCTTCTATTCAACTGTCGCCTGTTCCTATTGTTGTCGGTGTGGCTCTAGTGCTCGGCAGAGGCTTAATACTACGACTTAGAAGATATTTTATTTTTGGTAGGCATTTGAACTTGAACCCAAAAAAGTCCTTTTCTTTTCACAATCAAAACATTTAACGGATCCCCGAGCCCTCTACGTCTTCACTCTTGAAGCTGTCAAAGAATTATTTACGGGTTCAGAGAGCATGTATGAGTGTAACGAGCTCAGCACATGTTTTAATCACCATTATTTATTTTTTTCCCCTGATTTTCCTATCCTGTGTAAAGATTCTTTCTTTGGGTACAAACTGTGTCAAGAACCAAGATTATTACCCTCTTCAAATCAATCAAGTTCCTGATTTTCATTTTTGTTTTTCCTTCTCTATCATACATCTAACAAAGTTTGTCTATTCCGCGGTAAATCCAAACTAAAAGCCGAAAACTTGCAAATTCCCCCGACTTGACAGTTTACCACGATAAATAAGTAGCACAAATGTTCAGCCCGATCATACCTCTCGTAATGACAGTCTTTCCCAAGATAAAAAAAATCCAAGGACGCAACTAATACATTTCACATGGAAACCCATCAAAATAATATATTTTATCATGGAAGTAACAAAGGTTCCTTCCTCATACCAAGATGCATATAAGTCACGATCACGTTCAACTGCCTGAAGCATTACTTCTATTAGCTAGCCGTCCACAACTCAGAATGGCTTCACTTTTAGGTCTCGACAAATCATAAGCAACTAACATTTATGTCACTATCAGGGGGTTCACAGCCTCCGCCCTCTTCCAAGAACTTGGGGGAAAAGAACAACAAAAAAAACACAGGCACCAAATAGAAACTGCTGCAAAGCCAACCACCGTGTATCACTTTGAACCCAGGGTAAACCCTTCAGACCTTTAATTGTCAGCTCTGACACAATTTAAACCCTCCATTGTAAAATCAGAAGTTGCAAGATTCATGAAGAAACTCCATATGGGAGCAGCGCCGCAGCCACAATTCTACCTTCCTCAGTCAGTATGTTATAAGTAGATGCAGCATTTCTCTGCAACAGGAGAAACAAAATATTAAGCCCCGGAGATAATGGTCAAAGTTGGTTCCTTTTGGTGCTTCTAATTTCACCATTAAACAAGCATCAGCAAACAGCATTTATGCACATGCATTAATCAAGACAGCAAATAGACAGACAGAAGTCAAACACAAAATACAAGCACATATATGTACGTGGAATTCTAATGAATGAATATAAAAGAGCTCTTGATGCTTAAAGCAGGCACATTGAAGGTGGAAAAGTAATTGAGAAACTAGTGCTGAAACTCAGTCTCTTAACCTCCACAGAAATAAGGTTTGTACGAAAGAAAGGAAGAGTGCAACCTCTCAGCCTTCTTGCAAATGAGAAGGCCTATAATTTGATGACTTAAAGTTTAGGTTAGGAATTTAATTCAAATCTGCAAAACAACACATAGCTTAGTAATTTAATTCAGCCTCAAGTATGTAAGGGTTGGCCATAGATTGACCAAGAGAGGAGGGGAGGTCCAACCCCTGCCATGTAGGAAATTAGTCACACAGGCATATGATATTAAAGCAAATAAAAACTATCAAATGCCAAAATTAAATTTGTCAAACTCAGTAGCAACTACAATACTGCAATGAAAATGATAATACCGAGTCTAGAGCTTCCAACTTCATGCCAGTAGATCGGATGAAGTGCCTGAGTTCAGGATCTACCGGTTCAATGTTCCTTCCACAGCCAAGAATCAAGATTTCTACCAAAAAAAATTAAAAAAAAAAAGAATAAGAAGAGAGGCAAAGAGAGAAATGCTCCATGAGAACCAAAAATAGCAGAAACGAACAAACAGAACACATGCATAAACAAGCTTATTTCTTTGTCTAACTCTGCCCGGCAATCATACTCAGCATTGTTTGTTCTCGAGAAATAGCACTTTGCATAGCAGCATGTGATACTACTGGAATGCTAAAAACAGAAGTGCAGTGCTGCAAGGAACATGTCCTAGTTAAACCATTACAAGAGATCTGGCCTCAGGACAAAATGTTATCATGAACTAACTATAATTATTCCTAAAATAAAAAAATATCAGCCATAACCTATAGATGTCACAGGTGATGGCTCATAAATACAAAAGCTGAAAAAGTCTGATAGAGAGACCGAACTGCTTTTGACAGTTAAACATCGGCCACTCTAACTGTGAAGGACAGGTGCCCAACAAGAGGCTAATGGCTATGTATGCATCTTTGCCTTAATATTTCTATTTTAATACCTGAGTGATATACCTAAACTCTAAGTGCCATGCAACTTATATTAGGTCCACAAGATGATTGACCCCAGGGGATGCATCATTGATATTCTCTATTAAGCATCAAATTTCATCTTCTTGTAGTCTCACCTGGAATAGGTCGTATGATTTGGAAGATGGATAAGCTGCACAAAGAACAATAAAGATATAACGTGAGATATAGGTGCTCTAAAGTTGCAATATTTCATTGTTCCAGCAGATAAATTGTTAGCCAGCTGAAGCTTGTGCACAATACAGACATGGCACTAATCATTTTGATTAGGGGACGGAAAAGCTGAAGCTTTTGAAGAAAAGGATTATTTAAATTTAGTTTCACTGTAAGACTATAGTTCGAAAACTATTATTTGGTACTGGCCTTGCACATAGTGGGAAAAATGATAACCACCAGGGAATGGGTAAAGTGAACAGAAAACGTGATTGGAGAGTGCAAGCAAGAAGGATTTTAGCAATACCTAGTATAAGAGACATACAAAATTTTAGATTAAGTAAGCACAGCAGAAAAGCATTGAAGCACAATTAGGGAAGCCAATACCTGTCGGGAGTAATTTGAGAAAACTTATTGGGACCCCAAGAAGTGAGCAAATTTCCCACACAAAGCAAGCTGCCTTCATAGTTGACACCATTCACAGTGAATCCTGTGTCGGTATATCTGCCACATCAACGCAAAAAACAAAGGAGGGGCGCCGGGGGGAACACCCAGATGAAATTTAAGGTCAGTGTTGGAAAAAAGAAGTTAGATTTGATGTTAGCTGATATAAAATTAACGAGAATAGGAAGAAGATATACCCTTGGAAACGAAGCTGGTCTTCGGGGACATTATCGATGAGATTGATTTGATCGTAGAGAGAAAAAGCGCGTCTGAGGGATGGCAAGGGCTGACGCCGGATTGAAGAGGGTGAGTCCTTCCTCAGGCTTCTGATCAGCTTGGGCAGCGTTTCCAGTGCTCTGCCTCTCGCCGCCATCTTGTTCAATATTCCTCTGCCCCGGCCTCTCCCAAGGCTGAAGGCTTTCAAAAGCCTCAACTTTTAGCGGGCTACCCATAGGCCAAGCCCAACCCCACAGCCACAAGTGAAGGCAAGGCAACGACCCCGTTTTAATGTTTTCTTTTGTTGCGAGTAACTAGTCCGTTCCCTTGCTTCACGAGTGTTTTTGTGTCCGGAAAAAAGTTTTCGCTTGGAAAAAACCTTGGAGCTTTTGTGTTTTCAAGCTATGATATGATTTTGTGTTGGAAGAATAAGTTTTTATCACATTAATTTCAATCATGATTTTTAAATGGGTCGAATTTAACCAAGAGAAACAGATTAATTTGCTCAAGGGCAATTTAGTAGCTTAAGCCATAACTTGCTTTTGATTACGACTACAATTTGCAGCAAAAAATGTACTAGTTATAGATGAATAGCATAGGGTACAATTATGAATACATTAAGCTAGCGGCCACAGGCCAGGAAAAGGAAATAAAAAGTAGAATATGAATGTGAACATATCTATATCTGCTGCTGCAGGTTGCCACTCATGAACTCTTGTCTTTTATAATTATAATAATAATGCTCAATGCTCGACATAGAGAAATGAAAAAGGCCATTAATTTCTCCAGTTTCATCGCAGAAGCCGAACGACTTCTTTTCTTCCACAATCCACAGTCCTTTTCTTGTGCTTTATTTATATCACAACACAATTAACATGGCATTGATCTTCAAAACAGTCCAGCGCAAGCAAACACCATGACACCATTGACCAAACATACTCCTTAAACTTTAAGCTCTGCTGCTGCCTGCCTATCATTGCTATTATCTTCTCCACTCCTTTCTTCGAACTTAATATATTTATACCACTTGGCGCAAATTATGTACACCACTAGATCAGCTGTTGTCAAAGCTGCTAACAGGAAATAAAATCTGTCTAGATGGCCTCTGTTGAGGTTTCCTGGGATCCATCCAGGCATTTCATCTCTTGTAGATATTTTCATAACAATTGTCACTAGCAAGCTACTCACGTAATTCCCCAGTGATATGGATGTCATGCAAAGTGCACTTCCAAAGCTCTTTAACCCATCTGGTGCCTGCCCGTTAAAGAACTCTAATTGACCAACATACATGAAGACCTCAGATGCTCCTATAAGCATATACTGAGGAACTTGCCAGAATATGCTCAAAGAGCTGGCATTTTCACAGCTCGGGCAATCTTTGTTTGCGTGCTTTAATCTGAAAAGCTCTACAATTCCAGCTGAGACCATTGCCAGTATAGCTATAACAAGGCCAATCCCCATCCTCTGGACTGGGTGAGGCCTTTTGGTTTTGTCTTTATTCTTGCAACAATAGGGTCAAGAACTCGCCTGTAAATGAAAATGAATGTTGCCACACTGAGTATGTCAAAACTAGACATGCTCGCCGCTGGGATGTGGAAGTTTGAAATTGTAGTTTTCATGGCAGCTCCTTGTTCTACAAAGAGTGATGCCATTTGAGTGAAAACCACAGAGTAGAGTATGGTGCATAGCCATATTGGGAGGAGTCTCAGTATGCATTTGACTTCTTCAACTGGTGTTACCGTGCAGAGTGACCATGGATTGCGACCATCGATATTTTTCTCTTGCCCATCAGCATAATCCCTGGGTGTCATAATTGCTGCTCTATCCAAAAACCTGGAAAAATGAATATGAACACAATGTTAACAAAGTTATCTTACGATCAAGTTGATCTAATCTAATTAGACTCGCGAGAATTTTTGACTAGTATTTAGAAGAAAGCACGTGAACAATTTTGCAGAAGATAGAGAGAGCAGATGAACCTACCTGAAGCCTTCTGTGTGGAGTATCTTTCTAGCCCCATTCGTGGCAGATTCATTTTTTTCCACTTCAAACAAATTCTCTCCTCCGTGTCATCTGAACCTTCCATTTTCTTGTTGCAGCAACCAATACTTGGCAAAACCTTGAGAGAGGGTTGCCCGTAGGTTTGAAGTGTCTATACCTGGGTGTCCCGATCAGAAACAGGACTAACGCCACAAAGGCAGAGGCAGCGGATGCCCAAAATCCAAGTACCCACATGCCCTGATCCTCAAAATAGCCCAATATGGTGTTTGAAAAGAGTGATCCAAGGTTCAAGCCAAGTAAAAGTAGCTGAAGAAGGCTATTTTTGAGTGCCCTTCTTTGGGGTCTTCCTCATCAAACTGATCAGCCCCAAAAGTGGCGATGTTAGGCTGGTAACCTCCGTTCCCAAGGGCTACGAGGTATATGGCAAAGTAGAAGAACACGATCTGGAAAGCGGAGTGAGATCCGCATGGAGTGTCTTCATCACCACAGCCGCTAGGCTTGAGTAAGAATACAGAGGTTGAAACCGATAACAACGCCAAACCCTGTGTTGAAACAAAACTTGCATTAGCAAGGAATCTACAATTGAATTTCAATTTTCTACTGTATGGACAAAGAATAAGTACTACGTATGCATGTACATGAGAGAGATGAGAGATGTTGTTTGTAACTTACAACAACAAAGACAGCCTGGAATATGGCACAAGTCTTGTACCTTCCCCAGTAAGAGTCACTAAGAAAGGCACCAAGCAAAGAGAAAATGTAGACCGTCCCAGTCCATTTGCTGACGTTGTTTGCAGCTTCCGCGTTGTCCTGGCCCAGCACCCTCGTTAAGAATAACACCAGGTTGACCCCAACTCCAAAGAATGCCAATGTTGCCAGCCCTTGATTAACTGATGGAAATAGTTTGAATTGAAGGAATTAGAGATTTGATTGGGGGAAGAAGGAATGTTGGATAATAAACATGTGATGATGTGAGGCAAAAATAAAAGGATCATGTACACCATGTGAAAAAAAACCCAGTAGGCAAGTCGATATTGGTGTGGTAAGGGGAACAGAACACAAGTGCTAAACCGGTGTTCAAAGTGTAATTTGTTGACTATCCAATATGAAAAATGCTTTGCATACAAGAAACTTCTAGGCACAAACTTATTTCTAGTATTAATTAATATTTTCAATGTACAGAAGCCATGTTAACTGAGTGTACTCTCAAAACTCTTTTAGAATAAAATAAAAATAGTAGTACCAATATTCCAACAATTCTACAAGGAGAAGTTGGTTCATACATAACATGCATGTATGTACCTCTCTAACTGCAGTGTAAGTTGGAGGTTTACCTAGAAGTAGAATGCTCAAGTCAAGTTCCGTATGTTGGATATGCACCAGTCCGATCGATCAGGACACATGTCGATCCACAGCTCCATCTAAGGTATATGACTCTCTGTCCTTTATCATCTCTTCTCTCATGCTCACCTGATAATTTAAACGTATAACAGCTTCATTATCTGTAATTTTAAGGATAATAATAATAAAAAAGAAAATTGAAAGAAGATGCTAGACGTAGAATAATAATGTCCGACAATTCTTTATTGAACTAAGAATTAATTAATGAGCTTGATTCCCTGTGTTTAGAGATCTAGTTCGTAAATTAAAAATAATGGTGTTAAAATTCTGATCCAAGAGGACTTTTCTTTTATTCTTTGCTGGACCTGGAACCAATTAATTCCTTGCGATGTAGATGCAACACAGTCTAGCAGCCTAAGACAAAAGTCGCAGTATTCAAGAAAAACTATTTTGTATGACCGTAAACAGTTCCACGATAACATGGAGATACTGAATAGTGCCTAACATATACACGAGCATCTATTTTCTCAACTAGTTAGTTAAGCACTTTAATAAATCACAACCGTAGAAATATTTAAAATCTTCTTGTTGAAAGCTTATTTTGATCAAGTGTATAATCTATTTTCTATAATCATCCATATATAGGGTGCTTCAAATTATAAACTTTCTCTGACTATACTCCAAAATTTTGTTCTAAAAAGAGGGAAAATAGAAATTTCCTTCTTCGTCCAGGACAAACAAATCCTAATACTAATTAACTAGTGGAAATCCAATGCCACCATATGTATCGAATCGTTACTAGTTAAAATGAAACAAGAAGAAGATACGCAAACCACCGGCTTCAAGCCAGAACATCTCATTTTAGTACAAAATTGACACTGTTTTGATTTAGTGGACTCTGCGTTTCATATCCTATATATATCTGTTAAATTATACCCTTTCTTGCACGAATAAACAAGTTATATCTACCTATTAAATATATAAATAACATATGGTTATCACATAGTAGTAGTATACAGAAAAAAGAAAGAACGAAAGAAAAATCTTTTGATCCTTTTGTTTTCTTTCATTTGTTGTCTCCGACCCTAGAAACGCAGATTATACGAGAATATAGGAAAGGTGAAAAGGCGAAAGCAAATCCCAAGGCATAGCAAATATCTCATGGCACGCAGCACAGCTTTATGCTATTCTTGTGTGATATATATATGGTGTGAGGTTCGCTAGCTTGCGGGAAGAAATAACATCAACAGAAATGGTACTAAAATAGAGGACCCCATTTCATATAGATAAAATATTAGCAGAAACCCCCTCATGAAAAGGCCTTCCGCCAAGGGTCATCCGCTTCTATCATGATCTAGCAGCTTGCTGATGCGGGATGACCAAAAGAAGAAAGAAAAAATCACCAACCTCTTTGCAAATGTTATTTAGACAAGCCATGGATGCCAACTCACAAAAACGAATACTAACTATCTCAAACTAGTAAGTAAAACAAGATTGGGAGAAGAGACTAAAAGGCCAGACCAGGAAGAGAAGAACAGTTTGAAGGCAATGGCCACCGGCGGGTGGGCGATGTTTATATAGAGGCAGCAGCATTTAATGGACGGCTGACATATCATGGGTGAACAAACAAAGATGGCCCACGTGTCAGTACGAAATTAGGAATGAAAAGGAAAGCAAAAGCGCTGGGAAGCAACAGGCTAGATGGGCGAGGAGAAAGAAGTCGTGATATTGCTGGGCATAGTGATGGATGGGCCAATTGACGCGCCAGCTTCACACCCATCAATCATGACAATGAGCTAGAGAATCATAATCACTTTCCCGTGGGGGTGCTGGTTGTGACTAAGCTGTCTGATATTGACATGTTTGAAAGATTCGCACTGCTTTTTTCTTTTTTTTTTTGTTGATTGAGAGACATGCTCTTTATGCATCTGATTATTGTAGGGCCCTCGAGGGGTTTATTGGTGTTCAGAATCAAGTCAATCACCAAAACAAATATTTGTTCAATTTCTTCTCGGCTTCTTTTCCAAGGGAAATTTGACAATTGCTGATTTATTAGCAGCCTTTTCAAGTTTCTGGCCTCATTAACAGGGAAATGGAGTATAGGCAAAGATATTATTTGGGACCATCATTCGAGTATACACAAATGTATCTAGTGAAGGGTGTTTCTTGGACAACTTTTTGCCACATTTCCAGGACGTCAAATCAAAGAAAATCACGTTTTTTCTCTTCGATGGACCATATCCTAGCTACGTAACAATTTTGCTCCTCGAATTATGCAAGACTTTTGCAAGAAAAGTTGAAGAAAAGCATTCATAGCTGGGCCACTGTTGATAGCCAGAGGATTCACTAATGATGTAAAAAAGCTGATCTCCAGCCAACCAAAGCTTACATTAAGATAAATACGCTTAGAATCAAGAAACGGATCAACAATTGTAATGATTAAGACGTGATATATATGATGTTATGACGTGGAAAAAGGGACAAGCTATCTATAGACGTTGAGTAGACAACATTGATGCAACGCATGTGGACGCTATATCTATACTTTAATTTTCCTTCTCTTGTTCGCTTACCTTTCATGTGCAGGTTAGACTGCACGACCACATTCAAGTTTCAAATTTCAACAAGTTGGTCAGCAATTTCATACCCATCTGCAGCAGTCCGCTCCAGGCTCCAGCACCGGAGAAGGCATCCATGAGTCAGCTAAAAGGAATTCTGCATACCACGACATTGTGCAGCAGCCCAGTATGTCCAGTTTCTTTCTGATGACTTTATTCCATGCATTATTATAATTAATTACTACTAGCACTAGTAAAACATTAATCTAGAGAGAGAGCGGGGTATCATATTAAAATAATTTGCTTATTAGACTGAGATCTTGGCAGGGATCGATGCTGTTGTTTGATGTTGATCAGCTGACTAGACTCACGATCCGACCACTTGTGACTAATTAAGCACGATATTTCCAAATATAAAGTAATTAAGGCCTTGCATATTCATAAGCTTGCTTTCCGAGTTGGTTCCATGCGTGATGGGTTTTTTTTTTTGCTTGCTAATAACTAGCTGCAAGTTCCTGCGGCACCTTGAATATCAAAACAAATGTTTTACATGACTTGCTGCAGATGCAGAACCAGGCAAACAGTGCAAACATACATCAATGACCTTTATGGCGATAAAGCGAGCCTCAGCCTACTACGTAGGAAGTATCACACAGAAACTCTGTCCCTCAAGCTTCACTCTCTTTTTTGCTAGGACTCAAAGAGACGATATTCCCATGCAAATAACATTAAACTTAATGTATTTTGTTGGAATATTCTAAATTAAATAATAGGTTTTGAAACTCAATATATATATATATATCTATATATATGTACATGTACCTACGTGTATTGTTAAAATTTAATAATTTTAAGATTTAGGGTGTAGGGTTTATATAGGCATCATTCTTTTTGTTGATTATTTATAAAAGAGGAATACAATAAATCCATGTACGTAATTGGGTCTATATTTTCAAAAATCACCAAAATTATATTATGAATTAAATACCTCAGTAAAAACCCCCAAATTAATGATTTTGGTTTCAAATAGATTATATATATAGGTTTAATAGCCTACTAAAAAAAATTAGAGTCCTTATAGAATTAATCTTTTATTTCCTAATAGAGAAGAATTCTATTTTATAAAGGGAGGTAAATATTTTATACCCATAAACCCTTCCATTCCATTCCATCCTAAGAGTCAAATTAAAATCCTACTGATAAAAAAACAACTAAAATCTTTAGATTAAAATATCAAATCCTATCGCTTAAAATGTCTCATTAGAAACAACATTTAATTTGATAAATCTCCTCTAAATGTAAACAAATTTGATTGTAAATAGCTTCATTAATATCTTTATAAATTTTTTTTCATGTAAGATACAATTTTTAGGGAAAGATAATTCAAACCCAACTCTTTGAATTAAGATATACAAATGGACATGTGGGTCAAATATCATTATTAAATTTTAAAAGTCTTTAAACTAAGAAATTTATTCTTATGATTTGTTGGTGGTGAGTGTAACTTATATTGTATGCCATGTATGTCTATTTGAGCATATTTTACGAATTAATTAATGATCCCATTGAGTTAGGAATTACCACGAAATTTTGGACGTGACATTACCACAATCACAAGTTTTGAGTATATACACGACTACTTTCTCAATTAATATCAACCACTCAAATTATGATCAATGGTATGTCCCCAAAAAAATATATATAATCAATGGTCATATATATTTTCTTTACTCTAGTGCGTGGTACTAAAATTTCAATGGCCATAGGTCCTCATTTGTGTTTATTTCTATTGCCTGACAATTTCTCATTTATTGATCAATAACTCAAAGTCATTTAAACCAAACTTTATTTAATAAAAGAATATATTACCTAATTAATTTGATACAATGAATGTCGAATTATTATATTAATTACCTAACCGAGATTTATTTAATAATTACCTAACCATTACCAAACAAATTAAATACATAGATAACTGTTAGGTAATAAGTATTATTAATTGGTAGTTAGGTTGTAATATCCATATGTATATGAAAAAAGTTTATGATTGTTACAAGAATATATATGGCCTCATGAGAAACTATATCTTTGTGGCTAAATATTCAACTTATTTCGTTGTAAAGTGAATATGGATAATTTTTCCTTAAGGTAAGTATATAATCAATAAATAAATATGATTGATTTACCGTAAATATATATATTAAATGTGATCAAGTTGTAATTAGCAGACTGCCGAAAGGATTATTAGATTTGTCCACCCAAGTAATTAGGTATGCCAAATGCCTAGAAGACTAGACATGGGTGGGGCGTGAAAGCTGAATTACAAAAACCTTTATGTAACTATATATGTGGTTCCTTTTAATTTGAACATCCAACATTAGAAGATATTTGTTTTTTAATTTTTGTTTTGTAATAAGGTTTCAACTCCAATAGGTGAAACAGGATTCATGAATCCAGCTAGATGTCACTTGCATATCTAACTCAAATGGGAACAAAATTCCAGTGAGAACAAGTGGAATTAAGTATAAAAATCTTGCAAGTTGAAGGAGTTCGTATGGTAACGCAAAGTAATTAAAGATAAGCTACAAGACAGACAGGGTAACTAACATTTGCACAGTGCAAGTGAACAATAGTGATGGCTCTGCCCTGGCTGGCTTTGTGGTGCCTTTTCGGGGCAAGAAAGAAAGCCTCCAAATGGGTAGGTTTAGACTTTGTGTCCAACTTGGCTTTCCATAGTCCATACGTTAAAAGCACCAGCACGTATTCAATTGCAGCACGGCTTATTTCCTGTCGCTTATCAATGCCTAAACTGACAAGTGGCCACATGTGATCTGCGTGAATAAGCACACTGAAATATCTCATGCAAAGCTTGCTTATCAGCTAATTTGACATTTACGGCAGCCTAATCAGCAAGTGGAAAGCTTTTCAAACCTAAGGTATACCCTATACCATAGCTTTCTCCTTGTTTTCTTGCTTGCGTCCGCTTTCTTGGAAAAGCATCGGTTGACTACTAGCTTAGCTACAACTTTAAAAAAGCCTTATTGCGATTACCACGTTGAATTTTACAATACATGAGCTTCACGCCAAGCATCTTTTTCAGGACCTATCTCTTCAATTAAAATATGTTTCACAAACAATGGGAATAAGGAAGAGATAAGCTCGTGCTCATATTCTAATATAACAATACCTCATGTCATGAGCAAACACAAGTACACCAAGTCATTCTGTTTTGCCTCTCTTTCATTACGAATACAAGGCGGCCACCAGGGGATGCAGATATATATACAGTGATAGGTAGGATGAATTTGGTTAGGCAGGCGTTACGCATATTTTTTGGTTTTTGGTTTTTGGTTTATGGTTTTTGTTCAGGGCATAGGCATAACCCATCGAAACGTTTGATGCTGTTGCTTTGTTTTTCAATGGAAGGAGGCAGACCCACTATGACAACTAGGCCTGTTTTGGATGGATGTAGTGTCCAAGGGAGCAAGCCCACTCCAGTACTGGAAAGAAGCGGATACTTTTGGGTGGCCCTGGCCCACCTCATAAATATAGTAGTTAGGCTTTTTGTTATTTGTACCCACAGGCAACAAGAAGAAAAGAAGAGAATCCACTTGATGATGAAATGAAAAGCTGGTAGAGAAGGGCAAGGCAAATGGCAGCGGCTTTTGGGGAAAGTGAGATTTTGCAGAATGGCAACACCACACCTCTCTCTTTCTTCTGGAAGTAGCCAAAAGAAAAAGAAAACGAATGGGATGGGATGGGAGGCTCCGCCAAGGTATTTACTTACTCAAACCCTGTACTGTACTGTGCTGCAGTAACTATCCCCAACCATAAATAATAAAGAATATGTCTCTACGCACCTCACGTGCTGCCGATCAGCACGTCATGTGACCACTTCTCTCATCACTCTTCTTGTTTGAGTTAGTCGAATTACTCTGCCGTGTGTTTGTGTTGCCCGGTAGTCAGTCAGTCCCCACGCCCCCTGCTCGTCTGTTCATGCTCTCCACTAATTTATGCTTTTATTATTATTATTATTATTATTACGTAATGTTACCAAAAATCCTTCCTCGGAGCTATTATTTATACAAAAAACCCTATTTTATATTATCACATCAAAAACTCACAGTTGGAGTTACTATTCTTCTTTCAATTCACAACAAACAAGAAGGAAAAAAGTATTCACTTCGAACCCCTCATTCACCACCTTATTTTGGTCAACCTTCTTTGTTCCCACCCCTCAGTCCTGCCTCCCCACACTCTCAAGTCTTGTTCCAAGTTCCTACTATACTATACCACACTTACTCTATACTCTACACTGGAGTCCTCCTGCTCCTGCTGCTCTTGCTTATCCTATTATATGTGAACAAAGGCAGACCAACAGTGATGGGCTGCTTTCAGTCCAAAACCACCCATCTTCCATCCCCTGATCAAGATCCTCCTCCTCCTCCTCAAACGAACCCAGATCTAGGTTTCTTTTCTCTCTTCCTAGAGATTAAACATTTTCATTTGCCCATACCATTTATTTGCTGATGATGTTTTTCTATTATTATCATTAATTATCAGATGGGGACGGGGAGCAGTTGTCATTGCCCGCATTCAAGGAGTTCGGTCTGGCGGAGCTGCGGGCGGCGACCAACGGATTCATCAGTGAGCTGATAGTTTCAGAGAGCGGAGAGAAGGCTCCGAATGTGGTGTACAGAGGGCAGCTGAAGAACAATCGAGTGGTGGCCATTAAGCGATTCTCGAGGCAGTCTTGGCCTGATCCTCACCAGTTCGTTAACGAAGCTGCTGGGGTTGGAAAAGTCCGCCACAAGAGATTGGTCAATTTGATTGGCTGTTGCGCCGAGGGAGACGAGCGCTTGTTGGTCGCTGAGTATATGCCTAATGATACCCTCTCTAAGCATCTTTTCCACTGCACGTCTTTTTCCTTTTTTTTGTTTTTGTCTTTGCTCCTTTCTAAAATTTTCTTTCTTGATGTTTTTCTTTAAAAGAAAAACACCATCATTCACTGCTTGCTTTATTTATGTGTGAAACATGAATAATGCAGGGGAAAAACAGCCTTTGCCATGGGAAATGCGCCTCAGAGTTGCGTACCATATTGCACAAGCCCTTGATCACTGCAACGCTGAAAACCGTAAAATTTATCACGATTTAAATGCTTACAGAGTTCTTTTCGATGAGGTACGCTTTGCTCATTCCCTAGTTCTACTACAATATTTATCTTAACTGTGCTTCCATGGCTTTAGTAAATAGGGCTCATTCAAGAGGAGGTTGAATGACACCTTGATTACTGTTACTCTAGTTCAGGTTGGGACTAGTTTCATCGTTGTTGTATCCATTTATTCTCAGCATTCTGTATAGTTCAATGTTTGAATCTTTTGGACTTTATGATATGTGCCAGTTTCTTTTCGTAGTGGGTGAAAAATGGTATTATTTCTTTAGAATTTAAACCCATTCTCATTGGAGAGCCTTTTAATGGATGGCCACTTCTCGCCTGGCAAGGGCCTTGCGGTGTGGGTTTGGGAAATCTCTAAGTTGATTGTTTGAGCAGGATAGAGGAATATAGAGAGTAGCATTGCCAAAATAGAAATATGGCCTGTCTTCAAAAGTATTAAATTGCCATGTAAAAGTTTAGATCGATATGTGCTTCATGTTTATGACTTGCATCTAGAGACAGACCAGTTGCCTGCATTGACATTGAACTGTCCTGTTTATTTTCTGCTTTTAATTTCATTTATTGCCAGGATGGTGATCCTCGATTGTCTAGTTTTGGATTGATGAAAAATAGCCGAGATGGAAAAAGTTACAGTACTAATTTGGCTTATACTCCTCCGGAGTTTTTGAGGACAGGTATATTCTTCTGATTTCACTTGTTCACCTATGGACTACTAGGATTTTGAACTTTAACAAACTAATTTGTTGTTCTTTGTTAATCTTAAAATGAGAAAGAATAGACATTTTATAGCCCTTTTGGAATGTAAGGCATTTAATTACTGAATGGATATTTGTTCACTGCTGATTATTTGAATGTTCAACTCTGCAGGCAGGGTCATCCCTGAGAGTGTTATTTACAGTTATGGAACTGTTCTTTTGGATCTCTTAAGTGGAAAGCATATTCCTCCCAGCCATGTATGATACGTTATCCAAATTAATTTGGTTGCCCTCCAATGTGTTCCTTGATTTCTTATTTAGTTCTTTATAGATAACTTTTTCGTTCTTTATTTTTTCCTTGATAATATCTCTCATTAAGTTATTAGTGATGAAAATTTGCTTTTCTGGTAGAATTTGGATGAATCTATTTGGAGTTTCTTAGAAAGTGTCCCTTTGAAAATTGACCTTAGGATTGGAATTCAATGATGATGCTGTTCATCTAAGAAGTACCTGGAACTGAGGCTTTTGGTGATTTTTTTTGTACATTTTGGAGCTTGTTTAATTAATTAAGCGATTAAGACCTCCTGCCAAGCTGTACAGGAAGTTGTTAATGTTGGGAGGCTTAGAAAGTCATGGAAAATCTGTAAAATGTTAGCAGAATTCAAAATGTCCTAAAGTAAAAGTCTTTAATATTTACTTTTCTATTCTGAAACAGTCCTGTGGATAACATCATATACCTGGACCTCCATGTATTTGGTAGTGAGTTTCAGCTATGTTCCATTAAGATCGGTCAAGGAAAAAAAATGGAAATATTATATGTATGAGGCTCAAACAGACACTAAATCAGGTGACTCTTACGCTGTTTGAAGGATGGTACCTGCTCTTGTATATCTTTTTCTTGGGCAAGCCTTACTTTGGGGCTGTGACGTTTTGATTTTGGTCTTCTTTTTTGGTGAATGGTGAATGGTGACATTCTGCTCATTCGTTTGTTTTGGTCTTTGTTCTTGTAAGCTTCTGAGAATGCTACAACTTCATCTGCAGTCAATGTTGTGTACTTTGGTTTTAACACTATTGCATCACTGTTGATTCTCTAGGCATTGGACTTGATAAGAGGAAAGAATTTATTGTTGTTAATGGATTCTTCTCTGGAAGGACAATATGCTAATGAAGATGCCAGCGAATTGGTTGAATTGGCTTCAAAATGTCTTCAGTACGAGGCTAGAGATCGACCTGATATTAAATTCCTCCTTTCAGCAGTGGTACCTCTTCAAAAGCAGAAAGAGGTGAAATTTTCAAGTCATTGAAGTGACCACTGTTTCAATTTTGAAGTGTGTGACATATGGATGCATCTTAAACCCCACTAAGTTAATAGGTTCACATTGCTTTTCTGTAGGTTGCATCACATGTTCTAATGGGTCTATCAAGAACCCCATCACTGTTGCCAACTATGCTTTCTGCACTTGGAAAGGCATGTGCTAGGATGGATCTTACTGCAGTGCATGATATCTTGCTTAAAACTGGTTATAGAGATGAAGAAGGTGCAGAAAATGAGGTGGGTTATGGCTATCTTACTTCTCAATGATACAAAATGTTCTGTGATTGAGCCTGAAAAACAGACAGAAGTAGTAGGCATTTCTTGAGAATCTGTAAGGACTTAAGTTGTTGGTTTCTATTGGTTTTGTTAATTTAATTGTATAGGAATTTATTGAAATGAATTTGCATGTGTTGTCTCCCTGGGGTGTTTTCTCTTATCAGCACAGAAATTGTGGTTGTTCTGATATCATTGGCTATGCATGGTTTCATTTCATCTCTCTCTTTCTCTCATGATCTAATTTGCTGCCACTGTGTTATTGATGAAGCTGTCATTCCAAGAGTGGACACAACAGGTTCAAGATATGTTGAATACAAAGAAATTTGGGGATATTGCATTTAGAGACAAAGATTTTAAAAATGCTATTGATTACTACTCGAAGGTACCTTTATTTCTCTTGTGGATTTATTTACAATTCACAAGCTTGATGCCTGGGATGTTTTGTTCAAAAATAAGTTAGAAATTTTGTATTTTTTTTCTTTTGTTTGGAAAAATATAAATTGGCCTTTGTTGAATTTCCAAAAGGCAGTTCAACCTGCTGATATGTTAAATAGCTATTCCATGTTCTCTTTAACTACCCAAAATAAGGCTTTATATTTGCTTTGGGTATTATGGACTTGCTCTAGTTTGATCTCTCTCTATTGGCACTGTGTTTTGTGTTAAAAGTTGGTTCATTTTTTCCCCTGAATGCAGTTGGTATCGATGATGTCTGTTCCTTCTGGTACCGTATTTGTGAGAAGAGCCCTCTCATTCTTGATGATTGGTCAACCAGAATTTGCCTTGAGAGATGCCATGCAGGCTCAGGTGTGCTTGCCCGAATGGCCCACTGCCTTCTACATGCAAGCTCTTGCCCTCTCCAAGCTTGGAATGGAAACTGATGCGCAAGACATGCTGAATGATGGAGCCTCATTTGAGGCAAAGAAGCAGAATGGCTGGCGTGTCTAAGCAGCAATGTTTTAAGCTTTTAGGTGGTAATTCTTTCTGGATTCTTTTCCCCATGCATATTGTCGCGCTGCTGAAAGCTTGGAAGAAGATGGTAGCAGAAAGGAAGTGTGTGTGTGAGGACTATTTTGAGTCAAGAGTTGTTTTATTATGTTAAAGAATAGTTTGACATAGAGAAATGTATAAAGGATACTAAACATGAAGAAACAATTAGAGTAGTAACTGACCAATGACTTTGATACTGGTGGTGCTGGTTTTTTGGTGCAACTTTTCGTATGAGCTATTGTCATTATGAATCGAAGGGTGGGTATGGTGTATGAAAAGGGAAAACATGAGAGTGAGGTTGGGCGGTTAAGATTTAACATCAGATGGCGCACAACGTTATTGGGAGGCCAAATTAGGATGATGTTGTGATTATTTCATTTTTCATGGTGATTTAACAGAACCAGCCAGCCAGCCAGCCAGCCAGCATAGATAAAAAAGAGAAGCAACTTTATTTTAATTCATGGGGTTGGCATTACTTAAGAGAGCATTGTTATGTTAAACCCAAAAAGGAGAAAGAAAGCATTGGGTCTATAGTTTTTACTTGAGATACATTCTAGAATTGCAAATCGGAGGAAAAGACGAGAATATTTTGTTAGGACGGAAAGATGATTGAAGCACGACGTTCTCAAGGAGTATCAAAACAGTAGCAATAAGCGGTAACTGATAACTTCCGAGGAAAGCCTAGATTAACTCCGTAGGGGTGGCAGCGTTGTGCCATTTAGACACCCCTGCTGGGATGAGAATACGGAGCGAGGAGTAAAAATTTTTACTGTGTTATAAGGAAAGGAAAATAAAATGGAGAGGGAATAATAACAGTGGGAGTCATAGGCAATAGACAGAAGCGGACAAGGAAGAAAATAAGTCAGTTCCTCCATCTTTGCTCAATCTCTTTTCCATTTCGTTTCTTCCAGACCTCATCCGCCCGTCGCTACTTTCTTTTCATCCTTGCTTTGTTTTCAACTACTATTATTTATTTCTTTGCAGCTTAATGTCCATTTTTATTCGTTTCTTTAGGCGTTCTTTTCTGTTAGAATTTCGCCTCCTGAATTCTGGGTTTTGTAGACCTCTGCAGAATTCAATTTAATGGATCTATCTATGATTTTAATTTTAATTCCAAAGCTTCTTGTTTTTCCCGTTTGACTTTAAGCTTTTGTCTTTCTCATAGCTAATACAGGCAACAGAAAAGATGTTATATTCCTTATTCTAATCAGCCCATAACCAAGTTTTACGAAACATTGTTATAAAGAGTACTAAGAAACGATACGAGTAAGAGATTCACAATTTTTGGAACCAGTCTTTTATGTGAAATTTGTCATGTCCACTCTGAAAATTTCAAGTTTTTCCATTGATTTTGAAAGACCAGGCGGTTTAACTCACAGGGAATCCAGATGTGTGACTGACAGTGCTTTGTTAAGATATGCTGCCGCTGCATTTCTAAGGCCTTTGTGCTGCTGCTGTTTACTGCTTCTTTAGATTTATTTGCAGGATAGTTTTTCCTCGACTTTCTCTGATGAAACTTAGACAAATTCTCAAAATAACATTGGTGAGCAGTTTTCTCATAGGAACATATGTGGGTCTGTGTTGTGTGCATTGAACCCTTTTTTACTGCAAAGATTGCATGCAGCCACGCCCCAACTCTAGATCTCTTCCTCATTCTCCTGCATTCGCTAAATCAACTCGTTTCCTTCAACTGCTTGGATTCCCTTCTGTATATGTTTTTTTTTCTTTCTAAAATTTTGAAAATTAGAATCATTTCATTGACTGAATCTTCTGTACATGTTTAAAAGTTCGTAATTCTCTTTGTAATAGTTTGAGGCTTTATACTTTGACAACAGTGGCAGAGCATAGTTTGCGCTACAAAAGAGTGTTTAATAATGCAATTGAAAAGGTGTTTAAGATTACTGGGGCAATCATCTAATGTGGTCATTTTCTTTAAGAGTTAAGGGAATCGATAAAATTATGGAATCTGGCCCTAACCCAAAGTCACAGTTTACAGGAGAAAAGCGTAGAAGCACGCCCCTAAGTTTTATTTGGTACATTAAAGTATTAAGTTTTTTTTTTGGTACATTAAAGTATTTCGCTATAGCTTATCTCTGTCTTTATTGTTTTAAGAGATTGATCTCATGCTTACGGTTATTGGCTGTGCAACAGATTACTTCAATCTCGCATGTGTAAAGTTTTTTTCTGTTGCCGCTATTGATTCTGTATTGTCGTGAATGGTTGAGTTGTACTGATACTTATCTGCTTCATAGACAATCATATCTTCACATATTAAATGGACTACAATAGAAACACCCTAAGGAGAACAAGGGGCACCGGGAAGTGACACGGAAGTCACTATGCTATCTCTCCTCTATACCGGACAAGGTGTTGTTTTTCTAAACTCTCATCAGATAATTTGAAATGTGAGAAGCTGGATGGAGGAATAGATTGTGATGGAGCCGAAGAATACAGGTCTGTGCTGATCTCCATATCCTATTCCCAGTCACCTGACAGTGAGAGCTTACCATCTACACTGAACGGACTGAAGAATTAGACTTGATCATGAAAATTCGTCTCCTCTACCATTTTTTTTTTACTCTTTTTCCCTTCTTGAGAGGCTTGGGGAGGAGTTTTCTGAACCTCATGAATGGGTGCATGCAATGTATCGTTCAATCTTGGTATCTTATGATCTAGAACTACTGTCATTCTGTGTGTGTGGACTTGTAAATAATATTGGTGAAACTGCGGATGTATCTGTTGAACTGAATTGTTTGCCATATGAACCTCATAGACTTTGCTGTCAAAGCATGCTTTCTTCTTGCGTCTTTTTCATCAGTTCAATGCATGCTTTGCAAATTCTACTCCTCTTTTAACTTTTTGTTGAAATGTGTTATCGGATGCGATATATCAGGGAGGTGTTGGGCTGGAGTCGAGCTAAAATCGATTAGATTCGTTAACCCGTAAACCAAGTATTAAGATGCACATCCTTGGCTTGATATCTAACAAGTGGAGTTAAATTTCTTACCAGGTTGAACTACAAAAGCTCACACAATGAAGTAACAACAATTAATGTAAACTAAACCCTAAACCCTAACCCCAAAGAAGAATAACAACTTGTACAACTGCCTACTTTAGTACGTGTAAAACTAACAAGTAACAACAATTAATGGTAAATCTCAACCTGATGATAGTACAATGTGTGTGGTTATAACTGATGAATGGTTTTGTTACTGAATTATATCAGGGGTTTGGATTGTTCTTTCATCTTTGAATAAGATTTCTCTTCTTCAGGTCCAAAGAATAAGAAATTATTTAAGTCCACGTCTTGTACGTATAAGAGAAGAATGCAAAAAGCCAAAAGGCAATGAATTTTATTTTTCAAGGTTGGAAAGACGTCTTCTCTGTTTCTTTTTTTTGTATGGCTAACTGATTACAGGAACGTGTTGTATTGCGTTTCAGTCGCAATCAAAGATCTCAAGGACAGACATGATCAAAGAAGGATCTAATGTCAGCTACCACCAATTCCTTCTTCTGTGCTAACTTTAGAGGACATTTGATTTGCCTTAAAATCTCATGGTCCTTGTGCCTTCTACCAAAATTAAGTGGTTCAACACTTGCGCTTGGTGTCTAGAACGCCTATTTATTTCCACAGACTTGACAGCATGAAAGAAGAAAGGAAGGAAACAAAAACGAGGGTGACCTTTGACCTATGTGATATATATACAGAGGCATTTATAAGACATGTTATCATGTTTAATGATTTTATTTGGTTGATAGCTATATATTAACCATCTAGAACAACCGTCAAACATATTAAAATGAACAGTAAAGGCATACAGTATAGGGATCGGGATCAATCAAGAAGTTTAACCATCAACACTGCTTCTGTTTGCTTGCACCTGTCGAAATATTGGCACAACCTCTGTGTGAGCAAGAGTGAGAATTTAAAAGCATTTGAATGATAAAATCTCTATTCTTATGTCTTTTTATTCGAGATTCCAATATAAGATTTGTGATATTGAAATTTTTAATTTTATAATTAAGCTATTGGAAAAATTCTTTTAGAGACATGGAGATGTGTTCATTTAAAAGAACTTAGGAAAAGATTAAATTTGTGGGAGACTACTTCAACCTATATGTTATGTATTGGCAGAGATTTATTTACAGTATCTTCGATGTTAAGTAATTTCAATTTGAAGAGGGAAGAAATGATGAAGAAATAAGATTTTCGACCCCGAAATTTTATTTAATGGTAATGAAAGTATTCCAGCTCAAATATATATATATATATATATATATATATATATGGATGAACGAATGTTTTGTATAGTATTTATTTTAAACGCATAATTAGAAATGTTAATTAATTTAGTCTATGATAGTAGAATGTTTGTATAATAAATTTGAATAATAGCAATATATATTAATCAATTCGTTTTGAACAGAGTTCGGCAGCTAGATTGTGGAGTGACTATTGACCAGTAGAGGGAAGGCTCTCATAGGGAATCAAATCCAATAGAGAAACGACAAAAAAGTAAATATAGGCAGGCAAGTCCCTCCTGTCTTTCTATTTCCTTGCTCCTTTAATATGGTAAGTTAGTGTAGCACCATTTGCCTTTCACTAGTATGTTTTGTGGTATTGCTTTTGATACTCTTTGTCACTGTCCTTAAATGCTCAAAGTGCTGCCCTTTCATCTTTATCACTTTCAGTGATAGTATATTGTATATTGTGGCTCTAACAGCCATTGAGAACGCATGATATAGAACGACTCACATCCTTGAGATAAGTCTCAAATTTGATATACAAATATTGGGGGGTTAAAGCTGTGTGCAGCACCCTGCAATGGAGATGGGTTCGATGTGGATGGTCCTCTTAGCAATATTTGCTGGCTTGGTGTCTGTAAAATGGGTTCTAGAGAGAGTGAATTGGTGGCCGTATGAATCCTAGTTGGGTGGTATGCAGTACTCTCTGTAGCTAGGGGATTTGGGTTGGCCTTTTGTTGGCAATATGTGGTCGTTCTTGCGAGCCTTCAAGTCCTACGATCCTGACTCTTTCATCCATTCCTTCATTTCCAAGTACTTTCCCTCACCGCTCTCTCTTTTCAAGTTTCTATATGTATTTATATATAAAGTTGATTTACCCCAAAAAAAGTGTATGTTTGTAGTGAGATACATACAGAAGTGCCTGTAATGATATACATACAGAAGTATCCATCTCAACTTTTGAGTCTCCCTGCGAATAGCTATCCCCATCAGCTAAAATTGACGATTAGGTAGGGGAAGGAAAATCCAAATAGAATTTGTTGGGGTGGAGGAACGTTTGAAGTAGGGAAATGGTTCAAAGTGGAGCAGCTAACTGTTTGTCGCTACGTGTTTTCTCTAGGGAAATATTTTTAGTTAATTCGAAAAGGACATTGAGAGACGTCATGCAAGACGTTTCATACTTTGATTGAGAGCTAGAGAGAGAGAAAGGTTGGCCTCTTTTTGTCATTTTTGCTACCCCATCTAAGTGTTTTGTTTAATTACAATAATATGTTGTGTTTATTAATGGCTTGAGCGTTGGCTTTAACTAATTAAATGTATCATAGATGCATAGTAGTGTTATAAGGAGCATCTAGGATCTGACCGAGCTCCATTGTCTGTCATGAAATACTCCAACCTTCACATTTCATCTTAGCGAGTTCAATGTTAACTTTTGATTTTAGGGTTGGGGGGTTCAGGGGTTTCGGGCGTCGGGAGTCGGGGGTCGGGGTTTAGGGTTCAGGGTTCAAAGGGTTCAGGGTTC